TTAGGAAATTTACCAATTAATTATTTTTGAAAGATACAAAACTATGAGATACGATGCTTCGTATGCATGTGTTATAACGATAGAAAAAACATATCTATCACTAAAGACTTAAAATTAATGCCTACAGGAAAAGGTATAGCTAAAAATAAATAAATAAAAACATCAAAGAGTTGGAAGATCAGAAAAAAAAAATAAAACGATTTTATTGGGCTCACTGTCAAGTTTTTTGTTTCTAAGATAAAAGTATAAAAACAGGCTCAGATGATAATGGCATTACAATCTGACTTAGGTTCGATCTACTTATATCTTCCATGCAGATCTGATGACCACCGTATATACTTCGCCTTCTTTACAATTCAGAGTTCCCAAGAAATCTATGTTTAGCAATGCAATCAAACCGTTTTTTTTCAGTTAGGCATTAGAAGAAGTATCACAATAACGTTATTCGTGGAAGTTAACACGTTGTTTTTTTTAGGAAAAAAAATATGTTTGGAGTAATTTTAACAAATTAACTTAAAATAATAGAGTCAATTTTAATGGGCAAGATTGTTTTGCCAGTTTACCTGCCGGCTCTATTGACAACGCCGATAGTTGATCTCAAAATACTCAGTATTGTTCTTCCGAGAGTTAAAACTGGAAACCGCATCACTTTCAAAACAATGAAAGCCCGCCAATGATCGGTTGTTTGGTTGTTTGAAAGACCACGAATAGGTGACTTCTTATGGGTGGACGTCAGATTCTAATGCGTAGCGTTATTAAGGAGGTGATTGTTAACAGATTGAAGGCATTAACAATAGCTGGCATGCTTGGGTTATCAAAAAGTAGAATGTTCATTGAAACGTAGCATAATGTTTAAGCATTGTAATAATTTTGTCTACATAAACTTTTCTTTTAAATAACGTTAGTTTCTATTTGTCTGCAATCACATAACGGTGTTGGACATATGCTTTAAAGAACGGTGCATAACCTTGCATATTATAGAATTTAAAGTTTATCGTAATTTAAGTGTTTGGTGTAGGTTGCTTATTACGTGGTAGATAATTCTTTTACATTGAAAATGTCGGCGGCAAATTCGGTATACTATATTACTTATCAAGATTTATTACATGCCATATGGTCCCAAATAAAGGGATGCTTTTAAAAATAACCCAAGCACTTTAAGTTTGATAGGTGAAAGATTACCAACAATTTGTCTGCACATGCTGTTATTACTTCGATACCTGATTGTAATTTCAAGCAGCGATTTGTTGGTTTTCAAGTAATAGAAAGAGGCCATTGATGTTCTTTCTCTTTTGTATTATAGACAAAAATAAAAACATATTTCCTCCCTGTTATCATAATATTATGCCCCAGAAAAAAGTAACCAATGTACGAGCATCTTTTTTGCATCTAAATAAGACTTTTCTATAGTTATCTCTTTCCCTGTAGTTAAAATAAGTACCCCCCCCCCCCCAAAAAAAAAAAAAAAAAAAAAAAAAAAAACAACAACAACAACAAAAAAAAAAAAAAAAAAAAAAAAAAAAAAACCAAAAAAAAAAAAAAAAACAACTGCAGTTAACGTACTATTCATGTTTACGATTTAACTCTGACACGTTTTCAATAGAAAAGTCTCCAAACTATGAATCAATAGCTCAATAGCAAGATAAAGACTTGCTTCATCAATAAAATCGATCAAATTCGATTCAGTATTTATCAGTATCATAAATGAGAATTAGAAAAAAGCAGATGGCCAAGAATCGAGCCTTCAGCAACACCAGATGAAAGAAATCCCTAAGAAGATTTGGCATTTGTTACACACACGATTCATTAAACCGTTTAGCAACTATTTTGTTCATGTCATTTTGTCCATTTGGTTTTACATAATAATCAAACATATTTCTGTCATACATATGTATTTTAATTTCACACAATGGTTTTGGTAACTACAGGCAGTGCATATATAGTTTCAAAAACTTCAAATCGTTTTTGAAGAGAAGGAATTGAAGGATGGGAAAATATCTAAGAACGTAAACTTGTTGCTTTGAAGAATAAATAAATAAAAAAAAAAAAAAAAAAAAAAAAATATATATATATATATATATATATAAATAAATAAATAAATAATAGAAAATAAATATATTATAAAATAAATAATAGAAAATAAATAAATTATAAATAATTGAATAATAGAAAATAAATAAATAATAGAAAATAAATAAATAAATAAATAAATAAATGCGATGTTTGTATTTCAAAGAAAAGCAAAAATTAAAGGAAAACACATCCCTTATATTTTCTTGAAAAAAAAATGCACAAAGAGTTTCCCGAGGTCTTTTTCAACCAGTCAAGCTCGAAAGTCATCAAATGATATTATTAGCTCTGGTGTGATTAAAAACCTAACCACACATGAAAGTACATAGACAATTTCAAGATGTAGGCCAATAAATTTCAAAACTAAAATGTGGTATTCATTGCAACACCTGGCAATGAAATTCCTTTTTTATGGATTTATTCATTTACCTGGCGAAGAAATTCTTTTTCATAGATTTATTCATTTACAATTTATCTCAAATGTTGCTACTGATTTTTCTGCATCTTTTGGCCTGATTATTCTGTCAATGTATTTTCTTCTTTTTATTCATTTTCAAAAAAGTATAGAAAATCAGTCAGTTTACATAAAGTTGGTAACAGCCGATGGAATAACATTTTATAAAAAGGAACATGCTCTTTAAGTAAAGGGTATCTATTTAAAATGAAGTTTTTGATTTTCTCTCCGTTAACTTTGCCTAAATATTACTTTGGTTTACCACCCTGAAATACAGTTCTTCATAAAATACTATCAGTATACTTTGCACAGATCATAAAATGTGCAGACTTTGTCTCCTACGTCTGTACTCATAGCGAGTACCATTCAACGGTAATGTTTAGATTTTCTTTCCAGTTTTTGCACGGCAGAAGTTTGTTGAGGAAAATACGAACTTTCAATATTCTAGATGCAAACAGATATCGGACAATGTCCTGTGCGAGTCGCTTAACATAAGCAAGGGTAAAAAATAAATATGTTTAGATTTATATTTTGTATAGATGTATCTAAAGTACATTTCAATTTTATTATTCCTTTTTTGTTTGCGTGTTTTCGACCACCTTGTGTATAACGTCAATATTTTTAGAGACTGATTTATTTTAATATATTTATTTATATACATATTCTGTTAAGAATATGCTTGATCAATATGTGATATTAGATTTTGAAAATTATAGGATAAAATATACGTTATAGATATAGATCGTACATTATATAACTAAAATATATTTATGGTTGAATGGTCACAGGTGAAGCTCGTGCAATTGACACGAATTATCTGAACCTCATTGGCTTGAATACTTTTCCCGAACAGTATAATACAAACTATTTTATAATTGCTTTTTAATGCAATCCAGTTTGATTACTAAAGATTGATAGTTAAGACCAGTTGCCAAACTTTCTTCGGCAAACAAAAGAGAGGGAAATCTTATGATTGTTCTAACTTCACAAAAATGTAAAGAATATTAAGAAGATGTTCTTGTTATTCAACTGCCAAAGCAATGAACAACAAAAAAAAAGCAAAACAATATTCAATCTCTATCACTTTTCTATAATATAAAGATACTTATTTAATAGCGAGTATTACAAGTAACACATGTTAGTCATGGTAAGTAAAATACAATGACCCTTTTGTTTAACAGATTCACAGCAGAAGCCAAGTCTATGGCCTCCAGGTCCATTTGCAATACCTATGTCAAATTACGGGTGTCCAGAGTCAGGGAGTCGTGGATGGACACAGAGCGATATGACAATGAAACAAACGAAAAGGGCAAAGCAGAGGAAGAAGCAACTCAAGTTATGTGTTAAAATGCGACATGATTCTGAACTAGACACGGAAAGTTGGATTCCTGGAAGTTATACCGTTTACAAGATTGGAGAGAATTGCCCGATAGGTTTTCTTTTTTATTTTATTGATGATAAAAAATTGCATACATTACGATGTCTGTTTCACACACCTTATTTTATAAAGATAACTATCTTCAAATGACATGGGAAGAAAATCCTGCATTCAGAGAAAACACTGTTTTATTTTACTGCTTTCGTTCTGAATACGGGTAGAAAATTACCTTTATTTGTTGTGTTTCTGATAGAAAGCAGATATCTAGAACTCTAGGGGCTATATGACCAGGTTCTATACAGTTTGCTGATCAACTTTTTTGTTGTTATGTGATTAAATCCCTAAAACATTACAATAACTCTTTCAAGCAAACCCATCACCAACGCTGGTAAAGAATTGAGAGTTTATTTCATTTGTTTTCATAAGGTTTTTTCGCCCATGATGGCACTACAACCATAAATACATCCATGTACAATTTGTAGTGAGCATAATACAGCGAACAAAATTGATATTGCATAAACTTTTAACCTTTCCTTATTTTTGTACAGAAGAACAAGCATGGCATATGTATAAAGCTTAACATTCATTTCATATTATCTATACATGTATTAAGACTTGAATATAAATATGCCAAGACTAGTAACATGAAAATACAACATTTTTTTTCCTTAAATCACAATAAGAATTTGTAGACATGTAGGTACATGTAGAATTTCTCGTAAAAAAGAAAAGGTAACACTTGTTTGTACTTAATACCACTAATACCACTGAATAAAATAATAATAATAATATTTATCTGAAGTATAACGATAACATACACATCACATCCATTTTATCTAAACGAAATGAAAGATCCATTATCATGGAAGCATGAAACATGAAATTGCATGTGCCTTTTATTTAACTAGGCAGATGGTCGAATGCACATTTTCAAACTAAGAACATAACTAAGTTTTGAACAGGGTTTGTTCTTTGCAACCCAGAAAAGAGTAATTTCTTTTGTAAATGTCAAGCTATCCATGACACCTGTCAATCAAATATTTTAGACAAATCATGAGACGCTGGCGCTGCACTGACACCTGTCAATCAAAACCTCTCAATTTATTTTTTTGGTAAATGATATGCAATAGATTAAGTATTTAAATTGTATTGTTCCAAAAGTCACTACATTATTATTGTGTAGTAATTATACTTGTGAATCATTTCAGGTTTTAGAGATAGCCAAAAAAGAACATCCTTCTATGAATATGATTCGTACGGAATCATTCCAACTATCTCAGTTTACGAGACAGGTATATAATATTGTTACACATTTAGCATATAGCCCGTATGAAGGCTTTACATAATATAATTGTACAGTAACATTAACAGCACATCTGCAGTATTTTATAAATTATCATACAATTATAACATGTATGTGTTAATATAAAAGCTATTTGTGAAATTAGTTTGTATATTTCTATCAAAACGATTTTTATTTCAGCACAATCACAGAGGAAGAAATTGGGTATAGCGACGTGTGACAAAATCTACACGGAATCAGATGTAATTGAAAGCAATGTTACGTTTGGAATGCTGAAAACAAATTTTAAACTGATAAAGGTAACGCCAATGGCAAACTTTCTCCATTTGTGGACCAGGAATACAAACACTCTTTTCAAGTATAATTGAATAGCGATTTTAAACAAACAGTTTTCGGTTACCATAGAAAAGAAGACACCCAATGCCAAATTTTGGTCATTGTTTTGTATGTTCGAATTAAAGGAAAGCTTGATGAAATGTTACACTTACTTTTATCAAAAGAACAGTTCAGATTTAGAGACATGCTCCTAATTGGCTGATACGCATCTCGCTTTCTTTCATTTTCATTAACGTCTAATCACTTCAATAACTTCATGACCTAAGTTTAAGTATATCGATATATGAATATTTGTCTTACAGAAAGGAACCAAGTGTCCAATGTCTTCCATTTCTTCTAGAGATCAAAAATACTGCGGCATTGTCCAAGGTTACAACATTTCTCGTACATTCCAAACCTTATATTACTGTTTATCTTCTACCTAACGTTCATAACTAACCACGTGCATTTATAGTATACTTACCCGTTGTTGAGCTTAATCTTTGTCTAATAAGGAAGTTATACTTACAAATTTAAAATGTCATAGACTTATCTGTTTCTGACATAGCTTTCAATGGAAAAAAGCAAGAAACAACATGTTTGGATAGCATGTTTATTTTGTTATGTGATATACACAGTCAATTAAACATACAAAGCAAAAAGTGATTGTAACATCATAACTATTTATATAAATAATAAACTATCTTATGCTAAAATAACTCACTGAGACTATTGATATGTTGAATGTCTTCAAAATCGCGTCAGTATGATTTCAGAGATGCTCCTGTTTCATAGATTTTGTTTGTATCATAGAATAAACTTCATGCTTTATGAACATTTGTATGTTTTAGTTGCTGATGATATCGTTGGAAGGGCGGCACGTATGTATTAAATTGCTTGCTATTATTCATAAGATGTAGAAGAAAGGAAATAACATATAACATTATGATGTTGACGTGAAATTATTGTACTTGATTTATCTAATATGTCACATCTTACTTTATTTTAATGACTACAGTAATGTGTTTCCTTTCAATTAGTAAGTAGATATTGTTCGATATGTGTATTCCTTCAAACTCAAGGCTCGTCATCAGACCTTCGTCATCCGTACTATTTTTGTTGACTTATAAGAGGTGTATCTTGTCATTTTAATTTTAGTTCCATTACTTTTTGGTATTTTTTTCTTTCATCTCATATTAAAATGGAGTTAATTGCCCTCTGTATCATTTTTCGTATGAATATGTGAATAATTTAAATGACTTAAATTACAGAGTTGGTTTCGGGCTTCGACGTGTATTGGAAACTTAATTCAAAACGTAACGGTATGATTTTAACAAACCAGTTAAACAATTATTCAAGGTTTAGTTATATACCCTACCATTTAAACAAGATATCCCGGGGTTAAATATATATCAGCATCAATGTATTTAATTATTTCTTGTAAACCAAATTGCATCTTTTCCATTTCTATTAAAATTTAAACATTCTTTTTTGTTAATAAACAATTTTGATGTCATTTATTTTAGATGTAGTAGATTAAAGAGCATTTACTGGGAATGGTATCAAATTGACTTGCGGCGTTCTATGCATGTGTCTAGAATTGAAATGGTTTTCAGTCAGAAAAACGAGGTGAGTGTATGTACTAGTAACATTTTATAGCACGTGTACAATTCATTGTTTAATTCTATACCGATTTTATTTAACCAATGATTATAACTTTTTCGTCATGTGACCGAACAATTTTATATGCCCTTAAAATATGCATGCATTTTTAAAATCCCATAACTATAACCATAACTCAAACGGTCCCGCGCAAACGTTGTGATAAAGTTCAAGCTCCAAATGAACTTGCTAATCAGACTCGATAAGGCAATGTATAAAATAATACCAGCGATTTATCTACTTTATATCAAACCATTGTTGTTTTTTGGTTGAAGTTTACGTCGCATCAACAGTATATGTATTATTGTGGCTTTCCAGCTTTTCTGGTGCAGGAAGACCTCAGGTGCCCTTACGGCAATTATTTCAGGCACGAACGGGCACCTATATATGTAGAACCACTGACGTTCCGTAAGCTAGCTGGATGGCTTCCTCACAATAAAGAATCCAAAGTCCCTGTTGATTCGAGCCAAAAGCGGTAAGGGGCAATTGGTTTTAAGCCAACGGCCTTAACCAACCGGTCACAGACACCCCTCCAAATTTCTATTAACAAAACCATTCGAAAATTATGATAATAAAGTATAATAATTACGTTATTTTCAGATTTTTAAAAGGTCCAACTGAACACTCGACCAAAAATAACTCAGTATAAGTGTACTGTAAAACAAACGTGTATTCTTTTGTAATTACGTATGTTTTATATTGAAACTCGTAATATATCTTATTTCGAAATTTAAAAATGACGTTTGCTTCTTTAGTATAAATTGTAAATGAAAGTAAGGAAATTGATCACCTTGTATTATTTTATTGATCAGCTTGTTACTTGAATAGCTTTAAACGTTCCATAATATTTTTTGAGTTTGACTTTTTGCCACTTCGGCAGTGTTTAACTTGATTGATTTGATAGCAAAACTGTTATAGTCGCAGGTAAACGGAACCTTCAGAGATATTCCTTAATTGATTTTTAGCTCCAGTCATCTCATTTTTTCCATGTGTTTCTCCGAGACATTTTATAATCGTCATTTATGTTTTATATCGTCCTAAGCCGGAAATACGTTATAGATAAGTGTTCCTAAATGGACACAGTATCCTTAAATATTTTTTTAATTGTTGATACAAACTATCGAACTTTATCATTTGGATATTCTTATAAAAACATGACATGAAAAAAATGTTGATGAAGTTCTAGATGATTTAGCATATTCATATGATAGATAATATTTTTTAGAACTATTTGTTTTCTGCTAAACAGATAAATGATTGTATTATAGCTCTTCCATGATTTGTTGTTATGCCCGATACCAAATACTATTAACGTTATTATTTATTGTATAACAGACCTTCTATTATGGATCAATTCATTTTGAGTTAAAGAGTCAAATGAATTGTATGCAGTCTTAAAAGCCTACCTATCGATAATAATGCTCATCATACCATCGCCATGGTCCAGCTCATAAAACAGATTTTTTTTGTGAAAGTAGCAGTAATAGATTAAATGTATTTTTAATGAGAAGTTTAAGAAAAGTTAAATTGTTTTATTCAATTCAATAAGATAACCAATACAAAAATTTTACGTAATCGTTGAAAATTACATTTCTTTTCCTATTCCGTATACGATGAACTTGTTTTGTTGCGCGTATATATTCTGATCACATATATCATGTAGCAGACACATTTAATGCGCATGCTGTAAACATGTAATACAAAAATATGGACCGTGAACATGTGAAATGAATATCATCTGAGAAAAATAACGTTTATTTAGGCTTTATGTGCCTTTACCATCTCATCCATACTTATTTCAATACATTTACAGTACAAAGTCATGTATTTTATGATCACAAGTGTATACTGTACCGAAACATAAATTCACGTTTTGTCATATCCTGTATTATGAAGCAAACTTAGTATGCTTAACATTTATTTTACAGCAAACATTTCAACAATGCTGGCATAGCGAGATGAATTTGGGATTTCTTTATGGTGAAGCATTGAAGTGCATTTATACATACAAGAATGGTCACTTATTCTTAAGGTGCTGTATAGACCTACTGATAAAAAATCACAGCTAATCCGGGGTTACAAACAAACTTTTACACTTACAACTTTAAATTTAGCGCAACTAGACCTTAAAAACGTAACGTAATTTATTTTTCGCTTATTATCGATATATACTGAAAACTGAACATATGTAGTTTTTCACCAACTTAATTGTAAAAGTTTCTTTGTACCACGGAATTAGAAGTGAAAACCCCACATTTACTGAGTATCTCTATTATAACCTTTATTGATTATTAGAACTAAATACAGTTTTCACTATCTCATGAAAGGGTAAACATGTGTTTTGTAACTTTTGTTATCTAATAATATCAGATTTAGAGCACATTGTATGCTGCATGCAGCCTTTTTTACTGATGACAAAGTATAGTCTCTTTTCGGTTTAACAGGTAAACGGTTAAACAAGACATTCTTAATATATCTAGTAATAAAAAATGAGCGTTTTTGAATTATTAGTATACTTTCAAAGATGAAACTCGTATGTAATGATAAGAAATCAATGTTTGGGAATGCTGTTATTCAGGTAAAATGACGACATTGATGTGATACTACCTTTTGTAATATCAGCACTAAAAATATGCAATTTGCAATTAAATTCCAGAAAGTCAATGAAAATTAAAATGTACAGCATTGTCAGTTAAAATGCAATTACAATAGTCTCCGAAAACACAATTAACACATATAGGGTAGAGTGTTCATGAGTCACCCTAATAGGTAATCTAAACAAGAAAGTTGATTTTTATCTATTTATCTATGTTTTTTCTCTCTTATTTTTAGTTTTTTTTACATTTTAGAAAAAGAGTTTTCAATTTTACCTACACAAGTTTTTACCGCTGATATCTCCACATCTCCGCGTAAAACAATACAACATTTAGGGAAAATAATATACTTCTATTTCAGACACGTCCGTGCCCGTTACATCGCCTTGGATTTTCAAGTCTATACTTTATCATCATCGGCATCGAAATCGCAACTGAAGAATCAAGCATCATTTAAGATCTATACAACGGATTCGGAATCCAGTAAGTTGTTCTTCATTATTTTACATCATATTATAATGTACATGTATTCGATAATATAGTTTTTAAAATAAATAGATTTTCCGTCTTAAGAAAGAATAAACATGTGTTAAGTAATTCATTAATAAAGGATTTATAGGATGTTGGATGCTAATCACCTGAAGAAAGTACAATTTGATATGAAATCATTCGTTATAAATGTAGCACAATGTAAACAATACGGTATTCTGACTTCCATACAAAATACCAAGTCACTATAACTGAACTTATTGTTAAAATGTATCAAAAGCAAACGATGTCCTAGCTTAATAGCCCATGACAACGTTTGGAATGAACTATAACAGGACACCAAAATCGAACCCATTTTGAGAAATAAAATTACAAGAATTTCTTGGGCTAATTTGGCCTTTTAAATAAAATGAGATGTACTTCGTCTGACTTGACAATCCGAATATCATGTTGTAAATCGTTCATTTTTAGAATTTCATTTTAATTATTTTTTGTACAATAATATCCTTATGATGCATAAATTACTTCATATTTGCTTTACCATGACATACAGTGCTTGTAAAAGGTCGTACATGTATGTATAGTTTGTAGTTTTATTGTTTACCAATCACCTCACCAAAATACCAACAGACAGCAAGATCCCCACAGACAGCAAGATCCGTATACGCCGCAATAAGAATAATTAAAGTTTTATACTCCGCTAATTTGCTTATTTTTTCAAATACCCATATAAACTAACATTAGTTGATTCACTTTCTCCTTGACGTACCGGTACAATTCGACTGTCGACTGCTAAGTAAAAGCGTTAAGTCGTCATTCTTTATGGATTTGTAAAAATTTAATCTTTGTCAGAATCAAATGCTGAATTCTCTCTTAACTTATCTAGAAAATGGTTGTTGGTTTTGTTAAGGACACTTTCATAATTTATTGTGTCGTTATATTATCGACTTAGTTTTATCACACAAACCATGCCACTCCGAGAGTGTAGTAAATCCATCAAATACAAACGATAATTGTCGCCGTTCTTGGACATAAACAATTAGTTAGATTTCACCATTTCAACCCGTTCTCCGTCTGCTCTAAACAAACCAGAATAGAGAATTTATTACAACATGATAAAAAAATACCTAAAACCTTTTGGGAATGCTTTCCGCCATGATTTTTTGTCGTTTTTTCCCTATCTTCTATCCTCATGTGCGAAGCTCGAAACCAGTGTGTAGACTCCTGAGGGGTAAACAGTATTCAAAGTTTTCCTCTTAAAGAAATTATTTCTCAGTAATCTATTTGATGAAAAAATTCGAATATCCGGCTGAACGGCGAGTCCTAGCATTTTTGGATATGCTTAAACTTGTCCATGAGTTCAATAAATTAATATCAATGCAACGAGACGCCAGTTGTGTTTAAACAGAAATAGCACGTTCATGCTGTCGTTTCACAACATGCGCGTACATGGAAAAGAAAACTTTTGAAATCGTTCCTTTTTTGTATGGAATTTACAGAATATAACGTTCGATAACATTAGCAATTTTATTGAACTCGCCAGTATGGTTTATCCAATTCGTCCAATAAATTGTATTGACACTAAACGCACACGTATTTAATAGTAATAAGAGTGGATTAAATTTGCACTCAAAGTGGTAGATATGATAAATAACAAAACAGTGTTACCTTTTTTTACAGTGGATGGAGAATTATGTAATGAAGATCTTGGAATGAGTGATGGGAGTATTCAAAATAATCAAATATTTGTCTCATCATGGTCAGAACTTCATCAACCGTTCAATTCAAGACCTTCCTCAACTGGTTGGTGCAGTGACAAAGTGAAGGATGCAAATCCGTGGATTATGGTTTGAAAATCTAAATTCCATCATATCACTCGCAATTAGCGTTTTTCTTGATATATGTACAGTGTCATATTTACAAAGTATTTTGAAAATCAAAAGGTTGACTTATATAGATATGTTATACTTGCTAATACCATAAATTTATTGTAGAATTTAATTTTTAAGATGAACAGAAATTTTTAATTTAACCAAAGACAAACAAATAATTGATACAATATTTTGCTCTTTGTATACGGAAAGTTCCAAACAGTTCTTCCACGTTTTGTTTAACATCTTTTAAGTTAAACGGTAACTTCAATCCTTTTAATATGTTTTTAATTTGTTAATTCATTTGCATAGACATATTATTTTAAGTGTATTTATGATTTTAGGTTGATTTGATATCAATAACGAAAATTGAAGGGGTTACTATATATGCTTCGAAAGGAGCACATATTCATTCTTCAGGAAGCTGGAACTCATTCCATCTACTATATGGGAACCAGACAAATAATTTAACCATTTATGGCGAAAAGGTAATATTTTTACCTGACTTGAAATATTTCACATTTATGTCAAAATTGAAGTTAAAAGGGTGATAAGTGTATCTGATGGACTGTTACACATTTTTTCATAGCCGTTCATATATATATAGGAAATATGACATCTTTTTATATTACAGGTGATATGTTCTATATATTTATTAAATAGACAAATTTTGTTCTTTTTCAAAAAGCTGATACAACACAAGACACTTATGATAAAAGCCTTTTACTAAGTAAAACATTGCGGCAAGCGATTCAGGAGTACCCATATTAACGTTAGGTACTCCAAAACCTTTCTTCGATGAGTGTTCAGATATGAATGCCTCTATATCGTTGTATTGTTATATTGCGAGAAACACGAGAAATAAAGGTTATTTGGTAAATATGCAGGCAAGGTGAACATTGATATGACATTCATTGAAGATCCTGTATGTTGTAATTAAGGTTGTTACCACACTTAAGTGAAATTTTATACATTTATATAATTATACTTCTAAAACAATTTGCTCAAAAATCGAAGAATATGTAAAATATGTACTGCAAATATTTGTCCACATTATATGTAATCATTAAAATATATGCATTCATTTCTTATTGAAAAAATGATTAGACTTGATAGAAAATAAAGTTCTAATTACCTTCTATTATTAACAATAAATATAAATTCAGTAATATCTTTACAAATAATGCTTTTTAGAACTTACATTATAGATAAATCCTTATTTGAGCATTATATTTATGATATATAACCATAAAAATTGAGTTACTGGTTCTTTAAAATCCGTTTAGTTTAGCTGTGTTTAAAATTCGTTACAAACATCGACTACTCCTGTAATGTAATATAAAAATGGTTGGTAGAAGATCAGAGTATGCCATTAAAACACGGTTTTAATTTAAAAATCGTTCGCACCTTGGCATACGGTGAATCTGTTTCGTAAATGGACAAATTGAAAGCCTATTTCATCAGTTATTCGTTGGTTTAAGGAATTCAAATGTGGGTTAATTCTGACAGAACATACATCACATGACTGTCGGCCTACCAAGAAGCAACGTTTGTCAAGACGTTTGCTAGAGGAAAAGAAATAGTAAACAACGATGTAAGAGGCAAAACGTATCGTTGGAATCCCATTAGGTTTAGCTCATACCACTCTCAAAACGTGATTTAATTTTTTTAAATAAGAAATATCTATCTGTGATAAATGGATTTGCAGATCGATGAGCAGAAAAAGAATCAATGCGCTAAGTTGTTGCTTAAATAGTTTCCAAATTACAATGCACGATCTTTTGTAAATGCCAACACTGTTGACAAACATGTGTTCATTTTTATGAGCCAAAACGAAACAAACAACACAACAGTTGGGCTATAACGTCCATTTTCTTTACAACTCATGATCCCGTCATTCAAGTTGCTGTTCTAAAAGGCAAATCTTTTAATTCGAAATTTTACAAGACAAAAATAAAAAAAATGCTTCGAAAACTGAACAAAAACGAAGACGCGCGACAGGTTTGACCAGTGTCAAATTGCTGCATGACAACGCGTCATCGCATAAGGCGTGTATAGTGCAGGACTTCCTGAAGCAAAAATGTCGTTATTCTACCCATCCTCCGTATTACCTGACATTGTCACTTATGACTCTTTTTTTGTTTCCGAAGCTGAAACAAAACATTTCCGGTATTCATTATGCAGTGCAAACACATTGGTTATGTAATATTTCTGTGTCTTTGTTGCCGAGGCGCCATACATACCTCTTACGACTAGGAAATGGGGCCAGGGGGATGACAGATCAAATCAACTTCCAACTGTAGCAAAATATATTCCTTTATCATAATTAATTTAATGATTCCTTTTCCGGTTATAAAAACTAAACGTACACAGTACAATCTTATGTTTTTCAAAATATATTGTTTATTGGACCATTAGTCTATTAGTCAACATATGTGCCTCAAAGAAAATCATTTTTACAACAAAAAAAAAGCAAAGAGGAGAGGTGAATACACATTGTTATTATAAACCATGTTGAGTAGTGGATTTACAATTTTACGGCATACGTATTAATATTTTGGGAATCTATGATATAGGTAAATTTCTACACCTGTGACATCTCCATAGTATATCAAAGAAAACTATGAAAATGCAGTCAAAAATTTGATTTGCATTCTGAAATTTAGTAAATCTCTTCGAGATCCGCTGAGAGAACAAAAAAAACCAACAAAAACAAATTGAATGAAACATATGAATAGTCAGGATTTGCATGCTTAGATGCATATATATTTGAACTTTCCTCCTATAAAAAACAGCAGTGCTTGATCTTAGAAATGATTGTCTTTAAGGTGTTTGTCAAAGCAGGTATTTTATAATCGTTCTGATGGAAAATCTAATTACGTGCTTGGATAAATGTATCCATGTATCTATGTATGCATAATTGCTGCGTTTTGGATGCTTTATTTTATAGTTGAAAACTGATTTTGACCAATCAACGTCTCGCAAGTATAGATCATTTTTGCTTCAAAACTCAGTTGCAGCCCGTTTGATCAAGTTGGAATTAAATAAAAGTGACGAGGCGGAAGAAATATGTCTTCGATTTGAAATTCATGGATGTAAACTTTCAGGTATTCATATTCTTTTTCATATATCTTTTCTTTATATTTCCAAAAATTCAAAACAAAGATACTTGTCCGCAGAGAAGTACTTTATTCATTTTTTGTTGAATTTCCATCAAAGTCAATCCCCTTATGGAAATATAGACTAAGCGAATAGAGTTACCTGAGGGAGCTTACTCCAAACAGTAGTCAGGAATTGCACGAACTAGATCTTAACTGCTGTTAAACCATACTAAGGAGACCGGTACGATACACAGTACTCTTTTCCCACTACATTAAATATTAATACATTTGCAGTGATACTATATAAAGCTATAAAGCAAGTGCTGTATTGAGATATTTAGGACGTACAGAAATTTGGTTAGTTTACTCGAGTAAATAAAAGTAAAGGTAGGAGGATTGCATGCTTACGATGTGAAAATAACCATAATATGACATTAACCAAACCCAATCAAAATATGACATTTACAAAACCCAATCTCACAAACTAACCTAAAAAAAGAAGCAAAAATGATAACAAAAAACAACAACCAACAACAAAACAACAAAACAAAACAAAACAAAAAAGCGAATAAATAGACCGTTTAAAAAATATATATTTAGACTAACCTAATAAAACATGGATATAGTCCGTCGATCATTCATTCACTTCGCAATCCGTGCCATTATTATATTACAGGAATACCGATTTCGTCGGAATGTGTCCACAAAATAAAGTCAAATGTCTTCGTCGCTGAACAAGATAACAGTCATGATCACATCGACGAAAGCTCGGGGGAAGAGGCAGATAATTCCACTTCATCAAGTGATTATAAGTCTTATAACTATTTCAACGACATGGAACATGAAGATTATAGCTACTATGACAACAATAACTTGTCTCTAATTGAATCAAACAAGGAATCAACACAGACTGAATCAGATGTTTTAACAGCTGAATTTTGTATGATAGGTAAGATATTTTCCAAACAATCGGACAAATTCATATCCAATACAAAGCAGAAAATCGATATTAATAGATATACTAAACTAAAAATAAACAGCGCCTTGGCATCTTTATGCCATTAGCATTCCAGACATACCATATACCTCATATTAAATATTGACACATTGTTGAAGCAATAAACACTAGTTTAAGCAACCGTTATCACTTTTATAGTGGCTGTACCAACTGTGTTACAGCCTAAAACATCTAAGTGTTGCTATATTTTGTCGTCTTTCGGTATTGATTTCAATAATTTTATTGCTAAAGAATAATAAATAGTGAATCCAGTGTTTGTGCCTTGGGAGATATTATAAAAACATAAAAAGTAACCTTATATAAAAAAAATACGTTTCTTTTAGATGCTGTGGAACTGTTTCCAACTTTTATAGATGGTAATGCAACGATAATTACGAATGCACTGTATCTTCAAAAGGCCTCAGTAATAATGTCTATAGGTTATCCTTTTCTGACGGGAAGTGGCTACTGTTATTCATGGTTAATAGATTTTAATCATCAGCACTATGTGAGATTAATCTTCACAAACATCACGTTGAACCAAATGGTAAGACTATACACTATGTAGACATTTACAGGGTTCTTTTGAGCGAATTCAATAAACGAAGATTGGCTAATAGGATAAAGATTGTAAAGTCTGTCAAATATTGACGGAAAATTTATAATAACAGTTGAAATTTAACGAATTGTAATTTTGTTAGAACTATTTATTACAAATACTTTCCGAACTATGAGTCGAACTATTACCATAATCCGCCAGAAAGCGTAAGGGTTCAAGAACATTCATTTGTAGCGTTAAAACAAGTATGTGACCTTACACAAATCTGTTTTAATAATTTACGAATATTACGAAGGAGCACAAAAATTTCTTTGCTTTTTTCCGACTGTTTCACTTTTACTGAGAAAGGGATGTAGGCATGAAGAATATAATGGCAACATACAGGAACTATAATGCATTAAAGATTCTGAACCATAAACCTGAACAGCTATATGAATATTTGTCGTACAGTAAATACATTACAACCTCTGCAGAGAAAATTCTGTGAATGTCAAACATCTTTGTTGCTGCTGAAAGATGTTCCTCAAAACAGATTGATTTTTGTTTACGTAAATGTTTTCTTTTTGTTGTGATTGCTCTACTGTTGGCTGTTTTGCGGCGGTTACAGTATATGTTGAAAATAGTGGAATCTATGTGGACTTACAATCACCACTTCAGAAGTTGTTCCATACAAACTTGTTTGTACCTTTATAGTTATGGCAGAAGGAATCAATTATGAATTTCAGTTATGTAGTAATATATGAGCCGCGTCACGACAAAACCAACATAATGGGTTTGCGACCAGCATGGATCCAGACCAGCCTGTGTATTCTCGTAGTCTGATCAGGATCCATGCTGATTCGCTATCAGTTTGTTTACTTGTTATAGGGTCTGTAAGCGAACAACATGGATTTTGATTAGACTGCGCGGATGCGCAGTCTGGTATGGATCCATGCTGGTCGCAAACACATTATTTTGGTTTTGTCGTGACGGGGCTCATATAGTTTTTTTGAAACCATGGCCTTGTGTTTCTATATATTTTTCCGGAATTACTTCATCAATATAATATTCATTCTAATGAACATTAACATGACTAACTTACCTTTTAATGCTAACAGCAGCAATTTTTAGGCGTTGTTTGTTTGTTTGTTTTGGGTTTTACGTCACATCGACACAGTATAGGTCATATCGCGACGTTCCAGCTTTACTGGTGGAGGAAGACCTCAGGTGCCCTTCCGTGCATTATTTCAGGCACGAACGGGTACCTGAGTTGTTTGGCACAATAAATTACCCAGTGCCTCAAATCAGAGTTTATTTTGGAGTCCTTCCCATTACTAGAGTGTTAAGCACTAATACCGCTTAAGTCGGTGCTAGTGTTTTTGGACATTTTTCATTACACACAAGGAGATATCTCCCCATTTCAGAAATTTGTTCTCTGGCAATTACAGTGAGAGTATTCTAATCAACCCGATAGGCGTACTGCTTATCTTAAAGAAGAAAACCAGAATACAATGTGTGGCAGCTTAACAGTTGTTATGACTAACACTCTTAACTTTTTTTTTTGAATATTTCGAATATTTCTTTATATGCGCTCCCAGACTTAAACCTGTTTTGTTCAGGATAATATAGAATGATTATGCTCCCCGAAGGGTGAGCTTATAGTCGCCGCTTTGTTCGCCCGTCCGTCCGTCTATCCGTCCGTCCGTGTGCTATTCTTGTCCGGGACATAACATTGAAACAACAAGAGATATCAACATTAAACTTTGTAGGTAGATAGATCTCATTAAGGAGGTGTACAATGCACACAAACCATAACTCTGCCATGCCTAATTTTTGAACTATTTCCCTTTGTTTATTTTTACACTTGAACTTTGTCCGGGACATAACTCTAAAACTATAAAAGGTATTAACATAAAACTCTGTAGGTGGATAAATCTATACAGCGCACAAAAACCATAACTCTGCCCTGCCTAAATTTGGAATAATTGCCCTTTGTTCATTCATACACTTTGAACTTTGTCCGGGACATAACTCTAAAACTATAAGAGATATCAACATGAAACTTTATAATTCCCTTATGGGCTTGTTTTAGTTTAGATTATTTCACATTAAATGTCCCACTCCTTTCACCCTTATATCCGCTCCAGGTTTTTTTTTAGTGTGTCGGGGGCCGCGTCCTGTGAACGTTGCCTTTGCCTTGTTGATCTTTATTCTTGTTTTTATAGGTAGATAGATCTCATTAGGTAGAAGTGTAGTTCCTAATAACCATTACTTTGCCTTGCCTTATTGTGAAGTTATTGCCCTGTGTGTATTTATACTTTTTGACTTTGGTCCGGGACATAACTCTAAAATTATAAGAGATATTAACATGAAAATTTGTAGGTAGATAGATCTCATCGGATAGAACCTAAACACAGCCTTGTATAATTTTGGAGTTATTGCCCTTTGTTCATTTTTACAATTTGATTTTTATCCAGGACATAACTCTGAAACTATAAGAGATATCATCACGAAACTTAATAGGTACATAGATCTCATTGAATAGAAGTGCAGTGCAAAAACATAACTCTGCCTTGGCTAATTTTGGAGTTATTGCCTTTAGTCCATTTTATTTACTTTCCTGTGTCCAAAACCTTCTCGGGCAGCATCACCCGGATCAACCGTTTCTTGTTTTTGATAGTTAAAGTAATTTTAATGTTATGTTATTAAGCTGTCTAAAGGCATTTACAATCCAAATACATAAATTACAGTTTATGTTCAATATGTATATTTATTATTATAATAGCCTATTGCTTTTTAAACTAAAAAAAATCAAGAAATCACGACAGACAAAACACAAAAGTGTACTCTTAAAAAGCTCTAAATTACGCATCAAATTTATATTGGTTATGATTGGCATGTACGTGTTTTCTCATGTCACAGTTACCTTTTTAATTATTCGCTTTCCAGCTTGTTCCGTTCATTTCTCAACATCATTTGCTTTTGTCCGTCATGAATTTCGTGCATGAATAGCTACAAATCGCACAAGTTTGCAAAGTATCGCTAAGATTCTTTAGTTATGCAAATTAGCCACTCATAAGCCGACAACTTGCGAGTTGCGATCTTTTGCGTCAATCAACGAAAGGCTTTTCGGTTGGTAATTGTAATCGTTATACGATACCACCAACTATATATATAACGAAATTGAAAGAATGGTGACGAATCCTCCTAAAATCTTAATCGCAATAATGCACAAGACGATGTCAATTGTTTTCGCTTAAGTGTAAGGAGGCTTTTCGAAAATAAAATCCTAGACGTTAGAAAGTTTATGTCCGCAAGCAAATAAATCTTACCACCTTTTATTTGGGCTGCTCATTAAGTGTTGCTGAACACTTTATTTTCAGAAACAGAAAACATTTCACAAACTCCAAAATTTCTGACACAGTACTGCCAGTCTGTTATTGTGTTCTTATAGCTGTCCTTTAAGAGCATAATCTAAAAATTATAAAACGAATGTGTTGTTTTGACAAATGCAACACTTTCTGTTGTACAAAAGAAATGTAATCATTTTTAAAATCAAAATGTGTTTTGTGTTAAAATGCCAAAAAGGGGACCTTTTAAGTCTATTTATATCTTTGCCTGCTTTTTAACACTGATTTGACATACCTTTGGTCGATTTGACATACATTTTTGTACTTTTGGTCGATTTGACATACTTTTGGTCGATTTGACATACTTTTGGTCATATCACGGCGTACGGTCGACCTAACCTGCTCTCCTGGGAAACTAATCAGTAATAACGAACTACTCCGCAAAATACCGACTAGTAGTCCTAGTCCAACATGCTTTCTAAATCGGTAGTGCAAGAAAGGAGCTCAATTACCATGATGAAATTTCAAGTCAGCGAACTCTGAATTACACATATATCCCTGTTGAGGTAACCGGGCGAACGCCATGAGGGTAAACGAGTTTTGAACAATGGATAGGCTTAAGTGTAAAACAAATATAGATTGAAATAGATTGATAAGAGTGTTGAATGAATATATATAATCACGCTCAATTATTATTTTCTTTTCACTTCAGGCGGTAGATGATCATGATGGCTGTGAAGACAAACTCATTCTAGGAACAGATTTACAGGAGGCAATAAAGGGGACTGAAATTGATAACAAGTTTAACGAAAGTGTATTTATTATTGAAACAAACAATACTTTTGTAGTTATAACTTTTCAACTGTGTTTTCATAAATTCAAAGGAAGTAGGTTTCGTGCAGTTGTTAGTAAAGAAGGTAGGTTACTTTTATAATCGAAAATGAAATGCAATTTTCCGCCACATTTACTTTCTCTACTCTATATAAGTATGGAACTTAATTGTTATGAAATCAGGAATATCGTTTAAACATACTTCAATTAAAGATGGTTTGTCTGCTGAATCTTATTTAAAAAAATCTTTTAGATAAATACAGAGTAACTTTTCATAATTTTACTTTAATACCTATAACCTTTATTCTACATGAAACTACTGGTTTTGAAAGATGATGTGAATTGGTGTTTTAGATATTCCAGCTTGTTTATCCATCCGTCCGAGCGTGAATTGGAGCAATGGAAGGAAAGAGATTTGCATAAATCCAGAAATGATACTTACGTCAATGTCGATTTTGAATATTCCGTTTGGCAATTTTGAAGAAAAGTTTAAGATCCGGGCAAAACATCACCACGGCATCGAGATCGAGTTTATAGACTTTTATATTGTATGCCCGATAGGTGAGTTTCGTTTTCCTAAATTTTTTACTTGCAACATTTTATCAATGATTCAAATTTTCTCTCCTGATGACCTGTTCACGGCTTTACAATGGACTATTTGGAAATTCGTGATATTGAGGTACTTGAGAAACGCAAACAAGTCAATTGTGAAACTAATGACTTAGACTTTGTTTGTAGAAAACGAATCGAAATTTTCCTGTTCTATTGAAAACTGTGTTGATAGGTGTTCTGTTCTGTATAATCCGTATAATTATACATTTAACAAATAATTTTAAGTATTCTTCGGAGAAAATTAATCAAATATCTGCAAAATAGACTTAAAAGGCTATAGTCACGGAGAATACAATATAAAATTAAAAATTAAAAAGATTTTCACTTCAGTTACAGTTATCAATACATCATCTATGTAATAGTTTGATTGTTGAAAATTATGAACATCCTATTTCTTGTTTTAGAAATAACCGAGAGTCGCTCTCGCCTCACAATAATTGAAAGAAATGGCAATAAAGAAAATACATACTGCAACACAAATAAACCTCCGGAAAAAATCAGTTCCGAAGAAAGAACTTTGTTGATTGTATTTCGTAAATACGAAGACTCGACTAAAGACTTTACTGGAAAGGAGGGATTTCGATTACATTACAGGACAAAAAACTACTCTTTGGCCAACTGGACCGAAATTGCCGAAATAGGTAGGTTCATTTGAATGGACATATCTGATATAAATTCAAGTAAAGTTACCTATATACATTTCAATATTTATAATGCCACTAATTTCCATTGCCAATAATGAACTTCTTGTAGAATTATATGATGCGACTAATATACATGTATTAACAAAAATAGCCGATGTATCGTTACATTAGAAGTTTAAGAAATGTTTGTTGTACATACTTATGCTTATAACTTGTTTTAGACAATGATTTGTTTAATCACTAAGGTATTACTATTACTTCATATTGTAGATGGCGACATTAAGGGTTCAAATATAACAACAGGTACTTACTTACATTTAAGATCCATCTTTTCTATTCCGTCTTTTATCTCAACTTGTCTTATGAACAACTCACTGTTGTGTGTTTGAAGCCGGAGACACTATCATGTGAGGAAATCATCCAGCTTGCTTTCGAATAGGTCGGAAATGTATACATAACGTGTTCGCCAAAGAGTTGTCATGAGACCTTGCAGCTTCGTTACTTAAATGACAACTTAATAAATAAATGATCGTCCGATAGGCTCATTGTTCATGATTAGAACTTAAATGATATTGAAGCTGTAAATAATCTCAACTGTGTTGTATGTATTTAATACTTTGGAGAATGGTCCGGGTATTTGTTCCATGCATATATCCTTTCACTGTAACAATTAGTTTGAGCATATTTTTACTGAATTTATATGCTACATTGTTTTAGTTAAATATGTTCTATTTCTTATTTTGTTTAGAACATTATTGTTATTGAAAACAGGAATAAGCGAAATAAATAAAATGAAAAGGTGATGAAGAATAAAATTAAACTTTCTTGTAACATAAATCAAGAGAAGTCAATGAAGTCATTTAACATCGTGTATATGCCGTAATATACGAATGCGATATATTTACGCAGGAATTGTGCAGTAGTAGTTTATATATACAACTTAATTATTCGAAACTTTTACGAAGAGTATTTAGAAGACGAAATGAAAAATCAGTTTATTTTGCAGTTTGTTCGCCGAAATTCAAAAAGTGTTACAACATATTTTCGTCATCGATGTCCTGGTATGAAGCCGGTACTGTTTGTGGGGAATATGATCAGTTTCTTGTAACCATACAGTCACCAAAAGAATTACAGTACATTAACTACCTACTTCGTGAACAGAGGTACATTGATGGAAGAGCTGAAATTAGTGATTCAAAAGGTTCAAGCTATAAAGCACACATAGGTGAGATTTCTTTTAGCTATGACAACATTTTAATTACTGGGTTAATTTGTATTTTGTTGAATTCTGTGCATTTGTAATTATTAAGACCTAATACAAACAATTTTTAAAATTCTTACGATTTGTAAGTTACAGCCATTATTGTAAGTTATAAATACACTTTATTTAAAGTTTTGCACGCATGCATGTACCTTTACAAAGAATAGACATCAGCCTTATGTTACGAGCACTGACTGCATGAGTAGTCGCAAAGTGTGTTTGAGTGATAAATTGAATCTGAAATAGTTCTATCGATGTTCGCTGTTATGGGGATGGATGTATGGATGTATTCACATTTCAGGATTAAAGCGCAAAATGGTCACAGATAGGAAAGAAAAATATGTTTGGTCGAACAATTATGAAGTAATATTTTCGCCATGGTAACTATGTTATAATTATATATAGACACAATGTGGTAGTGTTATAGATAGATTGGTGAAAATACATGTCGTAAAACAACTACAAATTTAATGTCAACATCAAGAAATACATGTGAACATGAAAGTGCATGTGCTGATGCCATGTATTGAATACCAAGGATGACACAAAAAGAAGGCATAAAGCCGACTTATTTCCTTTGTGGTACTTTGACACCAGAAAGGCAAATTAATTACTATCATCAGACATTGCACATAAATTATTCAATCAAAAGTTCTTAAGTTTCTTATACCAATTATTGCACATAAGTAAATACATCACAAAGTGCTAAACACATGTATCATCATCATAGTAATGACAGAAAATGTCTCACAATGAATAGGTACAACTAAAATAATACACTGTACACAAAAATAAGTAATTAAATTAGAGTAAAATGACTGGATTAAAAAGACTAGACATATACTGTTTGCATAAAATGTTCCTTTGGAGATTTTTTAAAATGGCCACGACTTATTATGGACCTATGTTAGTATCCTGCTCCAGTCCTGATAACAAGTATATAAAAATGTTTTCACTCCGAAACCCTTAACTCTGGGAATAGAATAACTGTAACTATCTCTAAAACGAGTTGAGTATGAGTGTACCTCACTTGGAAGTTAAAAGTACCCATTTCAATAACTAGGTGCATTATTATTGTGTTTCTTATCTACATGACCAAGGATGAGGAAATTCACCCTCAAATGTACTGGTAAACAACCAACATACTTAAAATGAGCCCTCCCTATATGAGTACGGGCACTGAGATTAAGTATAAATATCACCATCTTATTCTGTGTGGCCTGAAGTCTATTTTACAGATTTTGACTCAATCCCAAATACAAGGAGGCACATGCATAATCAAAATGACATTGTATTAATGAAGTACTAAAAGCTGTTAAGTTTTGCATTGGCCTTCTTAATTACCTGATCGGCTATAGACTCACCAGATAGTCTTTGATCTAGGTCAGTATCAAAATATTTAACATATTTGGTGGAAGTTATTGAAGTATCATTACATACAATAATTAGTTAAGCTATAAGCTAATTAACTTTCTTCACCTTCATGTTTGGTTATGTTTTTAAATATTTCTGTTAAAAATATAAAGCTGAAAACGAAAAACAAACAAACAAACAAACAAACAGACAAACAAACTCCGTCAAATAACAGAAATAAACACAACCTAGCAAAACCAAATCAGCAGCAGCAACAACAACAACACGTCTATACAACGTATGTTTCACGTATTTATAAATGCTTATTGTTTATCAAAGTTTTGAGAACAACTAAAGTTATATCGTTGAAACTAAATAATTTACAGGTTTTCTTCCATTTATGTTTTTATTTTGTCTTAGATGTATATTAGTTTTAGTTAATATTTTTTGCTTATCATTTTTTTTTTTCGAAAATTTCTCGGTTCAAAAATTTCAGGGCAGTTGGTGAGCCATCAGTTGGAGACTGTACTTGCACAAACTTTCGGTCATTTATTACGGACAGAACATGGGAATCAGAAGATTGTAACAATGAACATACAGCTTATTTCATTTGTCAGTCGGATTATAATGAAAAGGCTAAAGCAAAATGTAATTTTTTTTCATACTCCTACATAAATGTTTTCGGCTTGGTAAAATTGTTGCTAAGTGAATATATGATCATAACAGAATTTTGTATTAGATAGATGAGACATTAGTAGTAAAACATGTTTGTTTTCTTTTTTTGAATTAATGCTGTTTCTGTACATTATTCTCATTTTGTATATTTTGCTTTCCTGCATTTTCTATGATTGAGTCATTTAAATGTTTAAATATTTAAATGTCAACAAAATCTCATTTCTTTAAGATCACATCTTCTTTATTTGTTTGTACATTTACCGAAAGAAACAATTACGTATTGCAAAAGCCAAAAATAAAGTATTAAAAGGATAAATAGAAAAATATATCTGTACATGTATTGTGTATGATTTTTTCGCGTTTAAACATTTGAATATATTTCAGCAAATTACATTAATTACATTGACAATTCAATTATACAGTATATATGTAAATGTAACTTTCGAAATTAGTTATTGTTGCTATTTTGTTTATATGTTTGTGAGTTTTAAGCAAGCATAAAATAAACATGTATTGGTAGATATTGTTTCAGTAAAAGTTAAAAAATTCTATTTGCAGATAAAGTACAATTTTGCCATGGCTTACATGATTTTTAAATAAATATATTGTAACATCTTCATTTGTAGTTGCCTCAAAGAAAAGCAGGTGTAATACTGTGACTGAAGGAAATAAAACAAAAATAGATTACTCCTACTCCGGGAAATTGTGTCAGAATTGGAGTTATCTAACGGAAAATGCATTGATACATTTCTTTAAAACATTTGGCAGTCGACGAGATGTTTTAAAGACAAATTCTACATTATGTCAAGATCTATCTCATTCTGGAATAATGGGTTGCTACGTGAATGACAGCGAATCGACGTGGGAGCCATGTTTCTTTTCACGTATGTTTTTGTTGTTGTTCAATGATGTTTAAAAAGAGTTTAAGCTATAAAGTAGAAATCAGAACCTTATACGCACATATAGATCTTTTTCTTTACACTATAATTATTAAACATTTAATGTCCAACGGCAACTTGTAATTTATCATATAAATATTATGATATTAATATTATATATTATAAAATATTCCGAACTATAATTAGTTTATTGATTTACTTATTTTTCTGCTATGCGCGCCTGAAAATAAGTACTTCTCATATAACGTTACAATACAGCTTGTGATCTAAACTCCCTTATGATCTGAAAACATTTTCAGCTCGTAATATTCGAGCGTTTCAGGGGTAATTAAATCATTCTGTTTCCCTTCGTTGTTTTGGAGAAAAAATCTCTGCTTTTAGAATGATAGAGAAAGCACTTTAATGTAAAGCCCATCCGAGTGTGAATTCGAATATCGTCAATTACCGTGAGATAGCTATCCAGATAACTGACGGAAGGTCGGTTCTACTCAGGTGCCCGCTCGTGTCTAAAAATGATGCATAAATGAACACCAGAGGCCTTTCACAACCAGTCAAGCTGGAATGTCGCGGCGTGACTTTTACAGTAACGATGTCACCTTTAATTAAAAGACAATATAATAAAAACTGACAAACAAAAAAGTACTGATTCAAAACACTTGCTGTATTTATTATGTTTTAAATATCATTCAACAGTGAAAAAAATGTTTCCTTTTTATTAACCCATTTTTTCTGGAAGATTATTTTCATATTGAAACTCGATTTTGATTCTGTGATTTTCATGTATCAAAAACAGTCTTTTATATCAAAAACATTTTCTTATTAGGTTGTGACTTTTATAACATTATTTACCAAGTTCATTTTTACACATGTTTATCCGACAAGGACTTTTTCCCAATTTAGAAACTGGTTCTGATTCTATGATCATGGACAGTTTTGATGGTTTATTTGAATGCAACTCTACGGGACGCCTTATACCATTGGTGAATAAATGTGATAAAACGTTCCATTGTGAAGACAAAACCGACGAAGTGAATTGCGCCACAGAAGGTAGGAACTATGATATAATTTAGTATTTTCATACAATGTCATGCGTTATTTTTATTTAAAAAGTACATTTTGTAGTGTTATATATTATTCACTTAGTATAGTAAATAGAATTAATCGTGCATAATATTAGAGGATTATTATTTTGTGTTAAGATAGAAAAAGAAAGAACGCCCAAAACGCCAAACTAGAATACACTGTCTAATTGAGCCTGTCCATGGACGGTATTGGAAAGAGCAATCAAAATGTCATTTATGAATATAGTTTTCTACAATCTATTTAAAAATATAGAACTTTCAAGGAAGTTTAAGTCGTTCGGGAAGAAACAATAGCGTAGGTGAATTACCTGAAAGTGAAATTATATATGCGCGTTAATAAGTGTCAAACTGCATTTTTACACAGATTTAGCTAGAATGGATTTCTTTCTTATAATTCGTTTTGTTTATTTAAAAAGCGTTAATGACTGTAATGCCGGCCATTTTTCAGTAATCTTAAAACTGAGAAAAGGGGTAATAATTATTGTAATATTTCAGTTAATTTTTAATGATAAAATGACGATATGATATGTTGTATAAATCATCAAGATAAAATAATAACACTATAGCATTATAAAAGATATACTTACAACTGTATTGGCGAATTACATACATATCCTTAATAAAGACTAAATAAAAAAATTCAACCAGTATTTCAAAAACGGAAAAATATAATTAGATGGCTGTATATCACCAGTCGTCTTTGAGGGAATTCGTAAACAATTTATTATTTGCGTAACGCCTCGTACATTTCTCAAGGATTTTGAAAGAATTATTTACAAAACCCTCGACAACAGGTGCGATGATGCATATTGTTAGCCTTTGTGATATGATCAATTTGGAAGTATTCTGTTCATTGGATGTTTTTTATATTACGATTGACTGACAAGCTGGTTCTCAACACTCGTTTTAGGATGATACTTTTGGGATAGGGGTCACAATAAATTGACATTCCATTTCTTTATAGTGTGTAACACTATTATTTTCTTTAACTATTTAGAACACGACCTTACACGAAACGTTGATTTAAGCTCCACAATTCTAAACGTTACGGCCGCTGAAGAAGAAAACTATCACCTATGTGGAAGTAAGGAATGGATTTCAATAGCTGCAAAATGTGATACTGTAATAGACTGTTTAGATGCATCTGATGAAATTGACTGTATACGACAAAGTACAGGTGACAAAAGCTTCCCGTTTGACTTTTTTTAAAAAATCTATTTGCTAATTCTGTAAGTATAACTCTTAATTCGTTTAAAGTGTTCAAGTCGAATCATTGTGGGTTAAATTTTGAAGAATTATTGTTATTGCGTTGAAATAGAAGGTTATGACTAAACAATTTTATGTATCAATATCAGATACGTTTTTTTAAAATACTTATGTTCATTAGAAATACCTTAATCTAAAAGATATGAACCTCTATATAATCATTAAATCACCTTTTGTTTACTTGTTGATGTATATTTATATATAAGATATATTTATGTAAATATGTTTATCAATAGTTAAGCGTTTTCATTCCTAAATAATGAAAAATTGCCAAATAGGAAACACACATATAATTTCATTGATCACATCCATGTGCATGAATATATACATGTATGTAGTTCATATTCATTCTTATCAACATATCAACTGTCGAACATTTTTAATATTTAATTATTCAAGCTTTTTCTGGTACATGTATAATATCTGATTTCTCCAGTATATTTATATAATGTATTTTTATAGGCTTTTTCTTTCGGGTAATATTGAGTCATGTTATCTCGTACAATTGTACTATTGGTGTGCCTTAATTATACACAGATGGCATATATGCAATAATACACAATTTAGTAATGAACAGTAGCAAAAAGTTAAAAAGTGGGAAGCATCTAATGCTTCGTTTATAATATATTGTCGGCGTCCACGGCATCCCGTTTTTTTCCCCAAAGCTATTGCTCTGATGAATTTTGGTCTTTTTCGTCTCCTCATCCTTGTCTAAGACAGGTTGTTCTTAGTTTTCACAGGGTTAGCCGAGATATCTGTGATTAGTCTTTGGGATAAAGAAATGGATCTTTCAAGGGGCACTATGGTCTTTGTCGCCGCAACACGGTGTGATTCAAGATCATCGGCCTTGTAGTTTTGAGAAAAGTGGAAATATTTATACATGTGTCTATATTCACGCTGATTTTCATCCCGTTTATGATTAACATTTTTCTTAACGAACATTATGAAAATAAAACTCTCGTGGATTTTTACAAAAAGCCCCTGCATCAATGTAAAAACTCACCAAAGAAGGTGGAAATTGTGACCGACTTAACAAAATTTGATAGATTTCCATTTCTTTTGGGGTATTTGCATGGAGATCCTTTATTGTTCCTTGTTTGGTTAACAGTCAGATTTGTTGATAAACTGTTCTGTAAAACGTCTTTAAATTAAATTTTATCTGAAGTTGCCAAAGTGAGATGGATTATCGCTGGCTTCAGTGAAGATAATAGCTGGTTACATTTGAAAGATAATGACTAGGCTACCTTTTAATCATAGTGTTTATTATCTCGAAGACGCATTTTCATTTTTTAGAAATATCCATCCATGGACAGCTTCCTTCCTATTTATATGTGACTGTATAACATATATACGTATTACCTATAGTTTTTAAAATAGAATAACTTCTATGTGACTAATAACATTAGCATTGAAATAGTTACATATAAGAAACGTTTTATATCTTTTTTCATTATTAACTTTTTCTTGAAATCGAAACTTGAGTTTGTAAGACTAGATTTCGACAGTTTCAGGTTTTTTTATGATACAACTTTGTTAGCTGTATTTCTATCATTCATGTTTAACAAGTTGAAAGATACTTTAAGGTATAAGTTATCTTAATTTTGTACGGAGTCGAGTTCATTTATTTAACATCTAATATTATACGAGGGATAGTCAAGATGTTTGATTCCTTGAAATTTCTACTGGTTGCAATTAAAACCGGAAGTTTGCAAAGAAAGAAATTTTACAATGTGTTTTCCCACCTATAAAAAATTGATCCATAGATGAGATGTGGTCTACTCGTGCACGTACAGACGACTTACAAAAGGATGAGCACAAAATATCATATCAGAAATGAGAATTGATTAAAAATCTTTTATTGATATACTGTCTTAAAGATGATATTAAAATCCTGATGATTATCAAGTTACAGCAATCTATTTTCATTTAAAATTTCAATATAGCCAGCAACTATCCGTCTCGCGTTGGAATCTTCAAAAGGAATTTAATTAAAGTCGTTTAACGGAAAAGCATGGCGATAACGTTAGTGTTTACCAACAGAGAGAGGATAAAGGAACAGATTATTGTATTTGTAACAAATATTCATTAAAAAATGTGGTAACATCCATAACAATTTCATGTTGCTTATGTTCGTTTCGAAAAAATGTCAATCAAAAACGGAATTGAAATCAGGGCGAATACCCCCACCAAAAATAAAAAAAACAACATCTAACAAGCTTACAATATTTAAACGGTCCTTTAGACTTCGAGTCTGCTATAATCATCAGAGCCTGGCTTATTATCAAGTACTGATGATCCGGATACATACCGTGTGTACAAGAATTTTCCGATCCGATCTGCTATGTGGAAACGGTACATCTGAAGTGACAATATTATATTTTAAAATTCTCACAGGAAAAGGACTATTGAAAATATGCATATGACCAATCAGGCTTGCAAGATTCATTACTTGTATTTAAATGTGTTTTTTTCTTTTGTTTCTTAACTAATATGTTATCATTCAATAATTACACTAGACTGCAATGAAAACGAATTTGCATGTGCTGATGGAAGCTGTATAAAACTAAGTCAAGTCTGTGATTTCAAACCAGATTGCGCTAATGAAGAGGACGAATTTTGTGGTACAATATCTTATGATAAAACATGTCTCAAACAAATTAAATTGTGGTTGGTCCGATGCATGACAATCTGTAATTCTGTAATTATGTAATTCATAAAATTATCATTTTCATTTGAATACGAGTTTATGTGTCAAAATAAAACTAAATAAGCTCGCGATTTTGCAGGCATATATACATTTAAAATGAGAATTGTCGAAACGTTAATAACTGTTATTACCTTCAATTTATTTATTTTATTTTATAATGTTCAGATGATTGCTTACAAAATAAATGTTGATGTTTGAAGACAATGCTATGAAACACTAGGACACATTTTAAAAATTTTGTACCTGAACAATCGACAAAAGAATTTTTTCGTGAATTTATATGTTTGTATAACGATTAGTTTAAAACGATTCTCTAGAAAAAACGGATTGTGCATATTATACACGTATATTAGTTTTTTTACTCATTTATTCAAATAATATTAGATATTACCTTGTTACTTTGCAGAACTTCGGAACTGTCATCTCAATGAATATGCATGTGATAATAAGCAGTGTATAAACGACAGCAAACGCTGCGACTCAATCCCGCACTGTTTAGATGGTAGTGATGAAATCGGATGTTGTAAGTTAAACTGTTAACACTTTAATCATTCCGAACGACATGTATTCACATTCTTAAACACAAATGCATTACAGGCACACTTTAAAAAGACGTTTGTTTCAGCACACATTAACATATGCTGAAGGTTAATATGCTTCTCAGATAAAATGTTTTTTCCGTCTGTTTTAAAGTGGAATGTCGGGAATCTTTTCACTGTGATGGGGACAGATGCATAGATAATATACTGGTTTGTGATAAAGTGCGGGACTGTGAAGACGGTAGTGATGAAAGTGATTGCACGACAGACGATGCTTTTTCGTGCGAGAAGTGGTGGCACAAAGGCTATTTTGAACCTGGCCAAAGAGTTATTGGTAACATTTTAATATAAGTTAAACCAAACAACAAAATATTTAATGAGTATGCTCATCCGGCATACTTCGTTACCCTCCGTGCTATTAAAAATTGAATTGATATGACTTTGTGTAGTATTGAAGTCCTCTGAATGAAAATCATGATATGTACTTATTAATAAACTTAAGCTATTGTACATTGTACTTTGTTAGTTAAATCTTAAGAGCTGTGATAAAAATTATTACACCAAAATACATTTCAGATGGCATGAAAGTGTATTGTGACTATGGCTCGAGGGGAGGTCTTCCCAGAAAAATAACTACAGAAATTAGAGATTTAGATTTGGATGCAAAAAGGAAAACTTTATACACAGAGTCTTTATACAACAAGTCAAAATATATTGCTTTCACCAAAAACAGTGAATTTTATAATTTGGTAACAAAAATGAATACATGCACAGTCGATGTGAGTATAACATTTATTTCGTATTTCATAATATTGTATGTAAAGTTTTGTGTAATTTGTTTTCAAGGTGCCGACCGAACCGAATTTCGACTTTATTGAAAATTATACACTCGAACCTTGTTCTGTATTTTATATTTCACAGAGCCTGTTAAGTTTGCATAAAATGCATTTTTTGTAATATCTTTAATACGATGGTACCCTATATTAAATAGCTCTCTATATAGGAAAATAATGTGCCTGTACGCATCGATCAACAGGGTTTTCATATATATATTATACACGTATCGTACATTTAAGGGTATATGCTTCTAAATGCCACTTGAGAAGAAAAGTATACAAAATTGTATTGACTATGACTAATTCGGATGTAAAATGTACAAACGAGACATGGCATGCAAAAACTTTACAGAGAGATTGCAGCACATTGCATTATTAGCAGAGCTATCAGCTTGTCCTGGCAAACATAATATTAGATATATTAAAACCTGGCTAGGATTTTAAAATACAGCATGAGGCTGAGTTTTACAATAAAAAAAGAACAAAGTAAAATATACAACTAAATTTCGTTTAAAAATATCTTTCCCCAGAAAAAACTGTTTTGCAGAATGCACCTATTCTCATTGATTCCCATCAGACCAAGGCAAAAATCCTTAGATAACGGTATATTCGCAAATTTATAGACACTATGCCGCGTATGTCTTGTTTTTCTAACAATTGATTAATCACCCTTTGACATGCTACTTGGATTGGAATTCCGGTACTTGCTTACTCCACCAAGTGTAATATTACGCTTTTATCTGACAAATATGGACTATTTTAAAGGTACTGGTTAATATATAAAACAAACAGCTCACCAAAACTTACTTTCATATTCTCGTTACCAATTTACCGAAACGAACGATTAGTATGTTATCTAAAAATGTATAATACCGTTTTTAAACCCGGCGTAGCAAATAATTATGATAATTGGTCTATTCCAAGATTAAATAACATCTCAAAATGTCGAGAGCAATAAAATAAGATTGTAGAATGTCGATCTTTTGTTTATCATGGATATATGAATTAACATTTAGCAATCGAAACTGATGATTTCGGTCCCTCTTGGCTCCCTGTCAGTAGTTCTTGTTGATGGGTCGTGTGGGGGTTGCGTCCATAGAACGCTACCTTTCCTTGTTGATCTTGTTTATTATATTTAAAGGTAATGTCAATCAACATTAAATCGATTATTCATATCCTGAATGAACGTGTTGGATAATAACACTAATAACAAACAAACAATCTTAAACTTAGAAACACCGTTGGTAAATCTTTTGATTTTATCTTTATTTTCTGTTATGAAAAAGAAGTCGTTACAATTATATGTATTTGAAGTGTAATGTGATATGGTTTTGTATATATTTCAACCAGATTTTGATTGTAAAATTCCTAGAAAGTAGATTGACGAATGACGTATTGGCGATTGATTTTCCGACGTGGTTTCTAATCGCTTACTTAATATAGGAATAAGATATTGTAATCAAACTTTGTATGTAGCAAGTTTATATTGAATTCTTTTGCGCCCTCTATAGTCATTGTGACTGTTATTTAGGAGAAAGAAAATAGTTTAACTAAAATTGTTAAGACTATCGTTTATCTACTATTCTGAAACAGTAAGTGTGTATTTTGTTTTCCTTATCTAGTAACATATCCCATTACAAACCATTTTCACTGTGACATTTAAAAATGACTACTTATTTTAACAACACGTTTAAGGATGGGAAAGTCGGCATGTCAGTAAATTTCTTGTCTATTAATTTATTTTTTCATACTTGGGCTTAAGATCATAATGGACCAAAAATTCGCATTGAATAATTCAAATTTGACATCGAACCTTAGAATACATTCTCCACAGTAATACGAAAAAACTGAGAGCGCAGTCCTGCTTACGGAATCAGGTGTTGCAAAACCTTGCTTCGAGGCAAAGCCATGCCCATGTTTCTTGTCTAAAATTTACTTTTGTTTTATAGGTAAAAAGTACTTGTCAGCTTCCCGAAAACAGCGCTTCAATGTTCGACGAAAATTATCAGCAATTTACAAATGAACTTTGTCAATGCTCTATAGAGACATTAAATCTAGGCACTGATGTATATGATGACTACAATTACTATGAGAAGAGTGTTGATGATGGATATGAATATGAATATGAAGATTTTCTGATGTAAATTTCACTTATTTGTTAGAATACATAATACTAAATGAAAACAAGCAACAAGATAACAAGTGTACATATATATATTTGAAATTAATGGACATGGGGCATGAGATAAATACATAAAAAATCTAGCATGGATTGCACCTTGCAATTAACACAAAAACAGACCACCCCTCCAAACTGCTTACTTTGAAATTTAACAAGGCAGTCTGAAGGACAGCTAAATCCCCTTTCGCAGCAGACATGAAAATGTGTACTTCTTGACCTTTAACATACCATGACCTTGATGTTGTGCCATGTACATTAAAAGCATATAGTCTCATGATAGTAATTATTTGTACCAAGTTATTTAAAATCTTCAAAAAGTGATGGAGAACATTTAACCTTGACCTTAGGGGTATGAAGCTGGATGTTTGGTTCTGCACATAATGTCATTATATCTACACATTATGTTATCATTTGTGCCAAATTATATCAAATATTTTTAGCGGCTTAAAGTAATGGACCGAACACGAAACGTAGACTTTTTAACATTTGACCTTTAAGTAAGGACTTGACCTTGGCGGTAGCAACTTAATTATTGTGCTCTGCACATCATCTCACGATGGTGGTCATTTGTGCCACATTATTTCAAAAAAAAAAATCAGCGTTTTAAAAGTTATGGAGTGGACACAAAATGTAGAATTTTTAACATTTGACCTTAAAATGTGTTCTTGACCTTGGGGGCAGCAATTCAATTTTTGCATTCGGCATACCGTCTCATAGTGGTGATCATTTGTGCCAAGTTATTTCAAAATTTTTGCAGCGGTTTTAAAAGTTATGGAGCGGACACGAAATGTACTTTTTAATACCTGAATTTTAAATGTGACCTTAACCCAATTGGTGCGCTCTGTACATTGTCTCATAATGGTGATCACTTATGCCAAGTTATTTAAAATTGTTCGGCGGTTAAAACGTTTTGGAGCAGACACGAAAGTGTTACGTACGGACAGACGGACGGACATGCCAATATTTGGGGATTATATGCTTTTTTATCTTCATGTGGCACTTTCCCCCATAAATCAGTAAAATTTACCACATAAACCAATCGGTTTATGGGATTTTCTCCTTTTTCAATTAAAATTATGGGCGGAATGGACAGGCGTAGGTCATTCCTATCACCCCCTTCACACTATGCGGAAGGTGAGTAACAATCGGCCCATTTAAATTTTTTCATGGTCGACGAATTTGATGCTATGAAAGTAGGCTTTTTCCTTCACTAGCGTTTTGATTTTTTTCTTCTTACACAGTATTATCATGATAAATAAATTGTTTTCCAGATTTCAAAGTCGGAAGAGGAGTATGTTTGAAGATCCTGATAATAATTTCATCGGGTAAAAGCTGATACTTGTCTCTATATATCCTTGTTTCAAATACATCTATCTGTTTAATAAAAGTTTATATACAAAACAGTTGCTTTAAGAAAGTGTGCACCTTGTGTATATTTTTGTTTCTAATTATTGTCATTTGATAATTGTCATTCATAATTGTTTTTTTTTCAAAATTGCAATGAAATGCATTAAAATGCTTAGGTGTAGAAATTGCTTTATGATGTACTGTAAACTACATTACTGTCAATGTATTACTGTTTATTTCATTGGTAGGATACGACGTTATCGCGCACAGACGAAATACTCACAATCGGACTTTTTTTTGTCGACTCAAAGATAAAATCTTTTTTCATTCTAAGAAATCGTTAAAATGTCAAAAAGTAATGTAGCGCACCAAAGATTGGCTAAATCCGGTGCAAGGGGCGTGAGTGATGTTGCAAATATTCATTATCTCTCATGTATCTCATGATATAATTGTAAACAACGTTAAAAGTTTTAGTGTCTGGTTTAAGCCCGATAACAGGATTAATTTTGTTTGGAATCCGAGTGAGAGCATTTAGAAAAAACTTTATCCCGTTTTCAGGACTAAATCAGGCAGTAAAACTTTAATTTTTTAAATATATCAATGTGTAAAGCCAATCTTTGGTGCGCTACAATATTTTTTGATATTCTAACGATGTCCTGGAATAGAAACATATTTTACCTTGGAGTCGACGGGATGTTTACTAAAAAGAAGAATAAAAACAAAAAAAAAATCGGATTTGGAGCATTTTGCAGATGCGCGATGACGTAGTATCCTACCATTATAAATGTCTTTGGACAAATATGTAAAATGCAGTTGAAAATTGCATAGATGTGCTGTTATTAAATGCATTAGTCGTAAAATGCGGAAAATGCGGAACGATTAACTATTTCTCATTTAAATACATTCATACTGTACAGCTTTGCAGCATGTATATGTTAAATGCATTTGTGCATTGCAGTAAAAGGCATTCATGTAAGACGTATTGAAAGGCATTGCTGTAAAATACATTGAAACATTGCTGTAAAATACATTGAAACGTTGCTGTAAAATACATTGAAACATTGCTGTAAAATATATTGAAACATTGCTGTAAAATACATTGAAACATTGCTGTGTAATTTATTTTTGTAAAATGCATATTGATTTGTGATATTTAAATTGCTTAGATTTTCTATATGATCAATAATGCTTGATTATATCTGTGTTTTCTTTTCAATAATACATAGATACATAGAATAGTATCACACAAATTTGTTCTTAATATAACACATAGAGATTTAGGTTACCAATCGGAAGACTCACAACTCAAGGCTTGTAAGGAAGGTGGCATTGTTCGAAGTGGTCGTACTTATTACACATTTGACAAAATGATACAACAGATAGATGTTAAAAGTGATGTGATAGAAAAAAAAGTTCCTGTCGACATCAGAATAAACAAAATTTCCTGTACTCAAAGTAAGTCTTTTTCGAGTTGTACGCAATACATAGACTTGTGCAGTTATTTAAGTCGGTAGACGTATATTATGAAAACGAAATTTGAATTGTTATTTTTTTTGTTTTAAATATTAAGATGATTTAATCTTCATTTATTTTCATAATGTTAATACATTAGCTGAGACATCTATCTTCCTTTAGTAGGTCAAAGATCAAGGTCACAGTGACCCAAAATGCTAAAACATTGCTTAGAATAATTTAATCATCAATGGCATATGACCCCTATTGATTTTGAGATTAGTAGGTCAAGGTCAAAATGGTAACATGGTAAAAGGGGGGATATTACGTGTTCTACGAACTTTTGTTTTTAAAATGTACACACAGTGCAATTTTTGTGACCTCATGTACATAAAATTTTAATGTAAGATCGCCACAACACGTAACTTTGCAAGATCAAAGGAAGTTAGAATTCCCCTTTTCTGCATTATATATGGCCCTTCCTTACTCTTTATACTGTATACATATAAGTTGTGTAACTCCAATTACTGACTTTAACATAAATTCTACTGCCGGCGTATTAATATTTAAATTGTTTGCTGATTGCTTTCACATGTTGTCAAGTTCAATGAGAAACAGTTTAGTCTTTATTGAACAATAACTTGTAGTAATTGAATGATATGAATAGTGCATTTAAAGCACAAAATCTTGTACGTTGCAAAATAATGTGTGTTTTTATGTTTGATTAATATTAATCCTTCAGCATATGAGGCAGACATACAAAATATATAATATCTGTTCGAATTTAAGATTATTCTTTCACTTAAAAGACATGGTACTGCAATCTTTATGGTGAATAAAACAAATTAAATCATAGGTTAATACATGATATACACTTTCTATGTATTTTCTTTTTAAACGGTGGTTAATATCGTCACAAAACTATAATTTAATAACTAAAATTCGTTTCGTGGCTGCACTTCTTTTCTTCTTTCTTTTCGTTAAAGCAGTGGCAAAGTCAATAAGCACAGTTTAGCATGTAATGCCTTGGTGTCATTTTTTAACCTGCCATTATTATAATAATCCCAAGGACTTTGTAATTTTCTTTAAATATGCCTTAAAAAAGATAAATATGTAACGAATTTTCATCGACGAAACAATATATATGTATTCAAATATCACATATAAAGAATTTTACAACAGACTCTACAGATGCATACGATAACAATATGTATGTTTGTTACGGGGACAATGCAACGATACCAAAATCTGAGGTTTGTAACTATGATGTAGATGCAGCCGGTTATATGACTGGATGTAGGTCAGGAATTCATCTGCAAGACTGCAGTACGTAAATACATTTGTAATACAGTATTTGAAAGTGTTAAATACATTTGAATTACATCTTTTAGGAAACGCTAAGTAAAGATTGGAATATATTCCAATTAATTCTACAGAAGAACAGTTAAACAGATATAACCAGATCATCTGTAGAAGTGATTCTACATTTCTGGTAGAAATCAGCAAAAACTCCCACCCAAATTGTTAAATATAAGTAAGTAAAGATTGAAAGAAGCAATGGACGTTTCACAAATCAAAATTTTAATGACCCACTTCTAAACGATGATTCTAGGTGTTAACCAGACGTACCCTTATAGTTTTTGGGTCAGACTATCGTCCCAGTTTGACTCAATAGCTCATTAGATTGTGAAAACTGACATCTAAAATGTCCGATGTTTAATGTACATTTTTTCAATACTGTCGGAAATTCCTTTCTTGTTTTGTAATTTCATCAAAGCTCTCAATCCTGTTCAATAGATACTAATACCAATATATGTATTTTATAAAATGTAGTGAACAGTACGAGTGCGAAAAGCCAGTCTTTTATTTTGAATTTAACCATTGTCATTTTCTAGTAAGCTACTCTCTTGCATGGAAACATTCTTAACCGTAAGTCAGTCTTGCCTTTCAATCAAAAACACTAAATGGAAGGGACTTAAATAAAAGTAACAAGAAATGAACTAATTCAAATTTAAGTGCATCAAGGTATTCCCGTTGTACAATTAGGTAGAAAAATTGTTAAAAGGTTTCTTCTCATGAAATAAACATATTTATTCATCATAACTGGACTTCAACAGTTGATGTAGCATTAATTAAATGTCTACAAAACTATAAGAAAAAACTATATAGGTACTAATTACATTCTTGTTTCAGAGGATTTCGTTTGTCCTCAAAATACAGTTAAATGTCCAGATAGTTTTTGCATTGCTCTCCGATTTGTGTGTGACGGGATTGCCCAGTGTCCTGGTGGACAGGACGAACACAATTGCTGTATGTACTAAATGTTTATCCACATAGGTTTAGAATTTAATTTTGTTGGCTTGTAATGACTTGCAATTTCATTTTTACTGTATGTACTATCGTTTAATTGTGTCAAATTACACAAAACAAAATCGTTGTACTCCAGATATAAGTTTCGTTTTTCATGTAGACAGTCTTCACAAAAGGTATGACTTTTTTGGGTAACTTTCAGCATGTGTTAGTGGGGACAAAGAAGTTACCATTTTGATAGAGGATACAAAACAACAGACACACAGTAAAAAAGCCGCAACATTTTTAGCAAAACAATTCAAGCATGGGAACAACAAAGTTAGGTTACTTTTCTACCAGGCGGAGACAAGATTAGACGGCTTTCCTCTTTTACATCGGCTGTTAGAAATACGTGAAGAAAACATTGATAGCTTCGACGAATTAAGTTACGATTGCACATATAAGACTATGGCTAGAAATTTTCTACCATCTTTACAGTTTAAAAACGATGAAGCCAATTTTCTTATTTTTATTGAAGATAGTGTGGAGTCATCTACAGTTGCTAGGATTATGTTTTCTAATATATCTAAACCAGAATTTACCATCTATCGTGTTATCAGAAATTTCAGCTTTTTGACCAACATTAATCATACGTACGAATTTGTAAAGGATGTACGCATCAATAAATGGAGTTCACTACATTCGATAGGATACAGGCATTTCCCAGAAATATGCAAAGGTTGGTTAAATAATAAATGTTAAGGCTTATATCAACAAATAATTTTTTGAACTCACATCCTTTTCAAAATACATAATTATAACGTAATTGTTAGGTAATGTTTAACCATCCCCATAATTTTGTTTGCTTTCTTACAGTTACTTAAGTAACAGAATATTTTCTTGCACAACTTGATAATCTTCAAATGGTTGGAACAGTATGGTATTGGACGTTTCATAGTGTCTTTCAGTGCAATGGCAATCTTAAAATCGGTCTCTGTCATAATTAATTAGGCATTTATTTCTTTTAAATATGCAAAGTACATTTGTTATTGAAATATCTTGATTTTAAACGCTGCATTTTACTACCCCAATTGAAATTGGTTTTTTTTAATCAACGCGCAATAAAAAACTAAAAGAGATGAAAACGCGATAAAGAAATAATGTCCAAAATGGCAAATTTGACAATGTTGCAATTCAGTCACACCATACATCGTTAACTATCATTGAATGTCTCTATACTTGTGTGCTTTCACTTACACATACATCTTTTAAGTTAGGAAATCGCGCATGCTTTTTGTATCAACATCAATTTTCCTATTATTTTTTGTACAGAGGTTTCACATGTACCATGTGCTGGTGGTTTTAGGTGCTACTCCAGTAAGCAATGTATACCTCTTCACCAAGTGTGTGACGGCATAGTTCATTGTATGAATAATGATGACGAGCATATGTGTGGTTTTAGATGTCATTACAAATGCAAGTGTGTAGACGGCGTTGTTGATTGCCGAAAAGCAAAGATGAATATTTCAGATATACGTGATCTGTCAAGGAATACACGAAGCGCCGACTTGAGCTATAACCATGGAATTAAAGATATTTTATCAAAAGAAAACATTAACTTTCCTTTCATGATGTTCCTTGATGTGTCAAACTGTCGTATAGAAGTTGTAAGCAGTAAGGCATTTTCAGACATAAACAATTTATTGAAACTCAACATTAGTCACAATGTAATAAAGAAACTTTCCGACAACGTATTTAGAGATCTTCGTCACCTAGTCGAGCTAGATCTTGATGGAAGTTCAGAATTAGAAGAAATATCTGCTTTAGCATTTCAAGGTTTACAAAGTATTAAAACAATAAGAATATCGGGAACAAAATTGAAGAAAATCGCAACCTTAACATTCTCAAATTTGAAATTGGAAAGTATTGATATATCAAATAATGAAATTCGTGAAATCGAAAATTTTGCTTTTAATAATACGTCGGTTAAAAAAATCAACTTCGAAGGTAACAATATACTAGAATTCCATCAGCTCATTTTTTCGGATGTTGCTGCTTTGATTGAATTACGTACACCGGCGTATAAATTTTGTTGTATACGTCCGTGTTATGTTAAAGAAAGTAACTGTTACCCGTCAAAGAATGAGTTTTCATCTTGTGATGACTTAATGAGACATCCAATTCTGCAGGCAGTTTTATGGCTGGTCGGAATAGCTTCATTATTCGGAAATCTTGCATCAATTGTCTACCGCGTTGTTTATGACAGACAACGACTTAAGATTGGTTATGGAATATTTGTTACACATTTGGCGTCTGCGGATTTCCTTATGGGAATATATCTGATTGTAATAGCATTTATCGATTCTATTTATAGAGGCAGGTAGGTCTAACCTCTCTTTTACAATTTTATCATCTTTTACATTAAAGATATTTAGATTAAACATACATGTAATAAATAATCCTATAATGTTGATCATGTATCATTACCTTAGTCAAGTAAAATGTCAAATTAAGCATGTAATCTCTTTTACAGGTATATTTACATGGACGACCAATGGCGAAACAGTATATGGTGTACCGTTACCGGATTTTTGTCAACTGTATCTTCTGAAGCAAGCGTCTTCTTTTTATGCCTTATAACAATTGATAGACTTCTTGTTATCAAATATCCTTTTGGACACGTAAGGTTTACACCAAAGAGAGCTAATATTTGCTGTTTCATTTGCTGGGTCATTGCAATATCTCTCGCGGCTATTCCTATTTTTCACACAAGCTATTTCAAGAACAAGTTCTACTCCAGATCTGGAGTATGCATTGCACTACCATTGTCACGTGATAAACCTCCGGGTTGGATGTATTCCGTTTCAATATTTGTCGGCTTAAATTTCGGTACCTTTATCCTTGTTGCATTTGGTCAGTTGTCAATCTTCTTGGAACTTCGGAAATCTAGCATGGGTGGCAAGAAAACACAAAAATCTAGAAAAAGAGACCTGCAAGTAGCAAAGAACCTTATTCTTGTTGCAACAACCGATTTTCTTTGCTGGTTTCCAATTGGATTAATGGGTAAATAATAAATATCAGTAACATACAAATTGCTTTTATCTTTTAAAGCTACACTATATTTTTTTGCGATAATATATTGCTTGATATTCTTTAAAGCATATCTTATTGTAACATGTAAAACCTTGTGTCTAGTTGAATTGATTTCCACTATTAAGTAAACATTTAGTTTATGCATAGAACATGCACACAATTTGTTTATAGTTTAAGCAATATTTTATTTCAATCAAACAAACACATGTATACGCAATATAATTACAATCAAGTGAAAAAAATGAGTGAGTAGAAAACTAGAAGCTTTTAAGAAACTCTCTCCTAGCTATTTTATAATCTCTCCTAATTATATGTACTCGATACTCGATTTTCCGTTTTATACTTAATTTAATAATGCAGAAGTTATTTGTTTGTTTATGCAGTAGATTCCTTTTTTATATGCACTGCATTTTATGCGACAAACTATCATTTTTTGCTCGCCTATTCGAATAATAACGGAAAAGAAAGCTATTGTATTCATCATGACGTCGGCGTCACACTTTGGTATATATTTTGCTTGCTATATGCTTTTCTACAATTCCAGAAGGGAATTGTTTAAAACTTAACATACCTTCACACGATTTGAGAGCATAATAGACGGTCACTCACTTTCCAGGGGCCAAAACACTTACAAGGATTTAGACATACCCCTTTTTGTACTGAGAAAATTCTACATTATACAGGCTCTCGTTTACTGTCAAGCACCGAGAACAGTTGATCACACTGTCCTGCTGACAGTTCTTGTTGTACTTAAGTATATGCTGCATATTCACCTTTTTGTTTTTCTTTTATGCTGCAGGCGGTTCCTTTTAAATTTCCGTTGATGCTGCATATTTTTATTTTCGCATTTTAGTTTATGCTGCAGACTTTTTATATTCGCCTTTAAGTTTATGCGGCAGACTTATATTTCTCCACTTACTTTATACTATAGACTCTCTTTTCCGCACGTATAATTATGCTACAGAATCTCATTTTTACGCCTGATTTAATGCTACTGACTCTCTATTTTTGCCTTTTGTTCTGCTACAAAAAAATCTTTTTCCACTAAATTTTATGCTACAATTCTACTTTTAACATTTTCGTCTATGCTTCAGTTTGTCACGTTTACATTAAGTTTATTCGGAAAGTTGGCCTCCCCCCTTACTTTGATGATACAAAGTTTCTTTTTTGTTCTTACTTATATGTTGCCGACTATCCTTTTTACAGACTCTCTGTTTTGCAAATTTATTTTATCAGTGTTCAGTGTTTCACAAAGCGTTAGTAAATTTTCAAACTGTTATCTTTAGTTTTTTTTTAAATTTTTGTTTTGAAATGTGGGTTACGGTTAATATTTTTTTATTGTGCAATATGAATAAATAAGGTTTTGTTTCAGGAATACTTTCATTGAATGGATACCCAATTTCTGGAGATGTATACGCATTTACTGCAGTGTTTATACTTCCTTTTAACTCGGCATTGAATCCTTTTCTGTACACACTTTCAGCAATAATTGGGAAAAAAGTAAGACATCACACAAGCTATATTTTTCAAAGGTTGGCTGTTTAGATTATATAACATGTAATGCTTGCTGCATATGGCAATGGTGAAGTTTATATCTATCTACGTATAAGCATTTCTGTTGTGGTTAGCTTTATACGAGTAGTCAAGCCGAATATATCTATTTGATTTTCAAGCTATATTAATGGAGGAATGTGCGCTCTCCGTGCATTATTTTTAAGGCAAGAGCGGACACCTGCGCAGATACGCAGATCTTCCGTAAGCTAGCTGGATAGCTTAATCACATAAAAAATCCATACTCACCAGCGGAAACCAACCCACAGCAATGAGAAGTAAGGGTTCGGCGTCACTGGCCATAACCACTCAGCCACAGATGTGGCAGTCACTCTCACATTAATGCAATGCTTTTTCTTTCTTTGGATTATTAATCACAATGGCAAAATTGATATCTTAAAATTATATGTATTGTATACTTAATAAAATATTTTCATAATGAGATATCAAGTATTTAGCATGGTGTTTTATTAAAATGCATTTTTTTTCAGAGCTTCAATCCAAGTCTAGATGAACAGAGTAGAACAGAAATGCAGAAAGGTAAATATAATTACATTAATATTAACTGTTTTTAAGTAAGCAAAAAGTAATAGGAAAAAAAAACAATACCATTGAAGATCAGGGAATTTTAGTAAAATTGTTGCGGTATGGATGTGCTGTTTTGGACATTGTGAAGTATTATACTACATCATATGAGTGTATTTATTCTCCCTTATTGAGCGTCATATAAGCAAAATATATATAAAGAAATGAATAAATAACAATATAACGACATTTGATAACAATGATACTAGTAAAAATGCCAGCAGAAGTAATTGCAACAAAAGCAACAACAGCAGTAACATAAAATTGAAAATGGATTTAATATCTGTTTCATAAAGACAAAGATAATTTAAATTTCCTGTAAGGAAGAGACTGACATTTTCATTCATAAGTTATTTTGTTTCTTTTCTCAATACTTCCATGTTTTACAGTATGTTGATTATTACAAAAATCAAGTCAATCAATCAATCTACTAGTCCATATTCAATACCTCAACAATTATCTTCAAATTGCTAACTTTTATGTTACAGTGAATTTAGTGACACCTGATCTAACATATTAAGATATTTTGGTTGCTGGAATAATAGTGATATCATATTATAAAAACGAAATATAAATATCCAAATATTAAGAAACTTGAAAAGGGTAGTCACTATAGGGTACTGAAAATCCACGATACAGCTAATGAGAACAACAAAATAAATCACTGAATCACATACGAATGAACTTATATTCAAGGTCATTTAAACTGATTATTCAACACGACATTTTTGCAGAGATAGGTTCGGCTATCTTGCAGTACACAGATTTTAGCCGATCGGTTAGAACTAAACGAGAAATTGTGCCAGGTGGGAAGACGAGAAGAATCAAGGATGTTATTGATGATGAAGAAAACATGTCTGTAGCAAGTGTTACTGCGATATCCTATCAACTTGCTAACTATCTGAGACTTCTACATGAATCATCTGTTGGTATTGAGAAACTTTCAGAAACTAACACTTTCGTCCGATATGGAAAGAAAAATGTAAGTGTCATAATAATTATATGCAAATTCAAATGCTTTACATCAATTGTAATATAAAATTTCCTTGTCACATTAAAGTTCCATTAATTAAACAATGTAAAGTTTCATTTCATTGTTTTATGTTATAATTATCGCTTTGCAAGACTACAGGGATATACAAGGTAACTGAACGTAAATAGTCGTGTTTTTTTAAATAAATAAATGGCTATAGAAATGTCTCTGTTTTTTTGTATCTACAAAAGATCTAGTAATTGTACACACTTTAATTGATATCTACATATATTTTTAAACAAGCTCTTTAAGGCTTCACATGTCAAAGTGAGCTAAGAAAGTTTCATTAAAGAAAGTTTAGAATATACTTAAAGTATTTCATTTTTAAATTCAGAAGCGTATACGTTTAAGAAAGATCCTTTGGGAAATTTAAATAGTTTCCGAATGGCCTATTAGATAACCTACATTCAGTTCTTCCCTGTATACTTTACAGTCTCGCCCATTGTTTTCTCGTTCAGGGCACATGCTTTTCTTTACTTTGGAACCATACGCCGCCTTTAATGGAATTGCACAAACATGTCACATGATGGTTCCATTCTGCGGATGTTTCAAAATTCCAAATTTTATCATTTCCATGTTTAAATGTTGAATTTTGCTTAACCCGATGACAGGGGGCATGGACGGTAACTTACACATTCCAGTACCGATCACGGACATTTTCAATTATGTCGTTTTGTGTGTTCTTTAAGGATTTAGTTTTTTTTCTCTATTTTGCGGCATTGCTAGATATATTCGTTTTGCTAGTCTTAGTCCATAGCAGATGTTTTCAGTTTAACCATATTCCTTTTAGTCGTTTTGGATCATTTATGTCCTTTAAATTTATAAAAAATAGGTGCAAAGAAATGACATATGATTACTCTGGTTTGTCATATTCATTTTATTCAAACAAAGTGCTAAACAAAAACGGAAAACAATTATTTCGTTTTTGAAATATCTCATGATCCGAACCTTTCACGGACAAAGATTGGCAAAATTGATATACATCTTTTGCTTGTACGTCTTGAATATATGTAACATGTTTGATTATATACATGACTGACAAAATAATAAAATGTTAAGCATACAACTTGAAATATTTATCTTTGATGTACCTCGTTATCAGTGTAACCTTTATTAAATTATGCCCTTTTTCAGTCCACGCAACTTATGTTTTTTGTTCTAATTTTTCAAAATCTTTAAACAAAACATTGTTACATTTGTCATAGGCAAAAAAACCAATCATAGTCCTTGATACGAAAATGACACTTGTAACAGACGACCGAAAGAAAGCTGATAATATCTACCAATATGGATGTCTTTTACGAAAGATGATTGCAAGATGTAAGGCAAACGACAGATAAATCCCGAACGAGAGAAAACTGCACAACTTATAAGCATTGTCTAATTTAAAAGCATTGTCTCTAAGAATATGTTTAGATTAGGTCAAATAGTATTCTGTATGAAGAATAAAAGTATACGCCATTTTGACGATGAAAGAAGGAATTTGCTTCTCAACTTATACAAATGATGTAAACATTACAAGTGCGAGATGTTATTGTATTTGGAGTAGTGAACGTCAATTTACAAAAAAAAAAACTAGTTGTTTTGAATTTATTGTTAGAAATCTAGTATAAATGTTGTTGTTTAAATGTTAAAGTTGTGTTAAACATGGTTGATGTTGTTAACAAAGAAATCATTACCAGATATTGATGTCACTGGCATTTAACCATCACAATAGCTTACAAGGAAACCTACGAGATATAATTAATTTTATCTCTTAAGTGATCTTTGGTGTCTGAAATAGTATTCATACGTTTGGTTTATTAGAAAATCTGTCCGCCTAAAAATTGATTAAATTATTTCAAATATTAGTATTTTCATTATCCTTTAAATGAATATTGGTAGGATTTATATCTTCTATGTATATATCTGATGTGTTATTTATTTGATGATTATATTTAAATTTAAAGGAATACTTACATGACATTTTGGTTATTGTACTGATTATTATTGTTGATAGATTCAGGTATCGTGACCTTTTCATATTGTGTCATGACAGCTTATATATTAAGGAACACTTATGCAAAAAAACAAAACAAAACCGTTCTCTGTAATTTTAATGCAAAACGTTTTCATAACAACACATTTGCTCTAAATGACCTGCTAAATGCAAAGGTAGTAATGTGCTAAATACAAAATTACAAAGTGTTGGTGTTAAAGTATAGACATACACAACATATGAATAATGCTAAATATACGTTATGCGTTTGAATTAAAAAGAAAATAAGGTATTTTGAAATAATTGCTATTACCGATTAATACTGTTGTTTAAGCTGTTTTGCCGTGATGGACGTTGATAGTTCCTTTATTTGTAAACTCGTATCTGCTTTTTTGATATCATAAAGGTTTTTCAACATCTTTGGGAGTACTAACAACGGATGTTCCATGTTTGCTATTGTTAACAAAATAAGCATTCAAGGATTGCTGTCACTGACGTTTAACTCTGATTATAGCTATCAAACTGACCAATTAAATATAGCTTAAATGTTTCAATAAATTTGTATATTGTTTTTTTTTGAAGATAAATTTACCTAAAAAATTTTATATTTATTTTGTGTGGTAATTAAATGTATTAGTTATATATCATTTGTATATAAATTTTGAAGAAAAAAAAAATTGATGACATTTCGATGTTATTGTTTAGCTGTTTTGTTGTGATGAACGTTGTTATCATATGATTCGTATATTAATTGATTTACAATATCTATAAGGAGTTTTTTTAATAACTGATTTGCAGTGTATCTGTTGTAACCTAAAAATTGGTGGCAATCACCTTCCGTTCCGACAACAGCTTTAAGGATCAAGTATCATCCAACGGAACTCGCTTGTTTAAAAGTACGGTTATCTGTGATATCTATCCGCATATAAAGAAGCTTATATATTGTAGTAAATATGTATATTTGTTTATCTTTTAATGTAAATTTGCATTATAGTTTTTATGTAATTTGTCTTTGTGTGTCATCTGTTTATCATTGAAATTTTGTTTGAAAGAAATCTTTTGACGACATTTATTTTTCCTAAATAATTAACGTAACGTGGTTATTTTATTATGTGTTGTTACAGCTTATGAACATGTATGCACAAATACAAAAGGTTATTTCCGTCTTGAAAATGTTGTCAACAATATTTGCTTAAAATGATTGTTTATGTGAAATAACGTTCTGTTCATTTGTATAACTTTTCTTAATTATTACTTAGTATATTATCATATTGTTGCTGTTATATATTACTATTATAGTTATAGATGTTATTGTATACTTATGTTGTTTTGTGGTCGGTGTTTCATTTTTTTAGTCATAACAAGAGCTATTGCTTCCTTACACATTGTTTACATGTATGATATTCATCATTTAATATATTAGCATTCTTCTGTAAATCAATATCTTAATTATTCTTTCTTATCTATATAGTGATATATACAAAAATGTATTAAAATTGCCCGTGTTTTAAGATTTTGATTTTGTTTTTCTAAATGAAACAAGAGTTATTATTTACGACATGTTATTGCTACATGAATTGGAGATAACGCAAATTTATTTAATTATGCATTATTCAAAGTTCGAGCATTTATATAATGAATATTGTTTTGACTCTACAATTTATAAATATTTGCATATTTAGTAAAAAGATTAGATTTTCGCCTTTATGTCATTTTGCTATTTTTTTTGACCTTATCATTAGTATTGACTGATATTGTTGTTGTTAAAAAAATGTCGTATAGTAGTAAAAATTGTTGCAATTGAAAATGTTTATGCTAATTATCTTTTGTGGAGGTGTATGATATTATTGGTTGTTATTTATTGCTAATATTCAGTCGGTGAATTGTTGTTGTATTTGTTTGGATCTGTATGTTGGCAACAACAACAACAAATAACAACAAAAAAAATCTGCGGATTTACGAATGAGATGAATTCTTTTATGCAAGAATCGCGCCAATGTGCCCTTTTTCTTTCTTAAATGTATGCAGATGCCATTTGTTTAAAATATCTCTTTTTCTTTAAATTCGTCATTCGGTGCGAAAAAAAAAATCAAAACCACATGTACTGAAATAAGTCTTAACACGTGACTTTTGAGGTAAACAGACACAGGATTTAATGATCCACGAGAGTAAGAATTAGACATCCTTTGGAAAATAAAATTTATTTGCTGTATCATATTGTAAATTAAACTTGACAATAAGATTATATTTAAGAATACCAATTGACATACACTAATAACCAAATCTGAAATAACGCCAATAGTCTTGGCATTTATTTTATCGGTTTCTAAACTTTAAATTATTAGCAAATGAAGTATCTACGTTTTTTTCTTATTTATTTCGATAATTTTACATTATATAAATAGCGTTTGACACGATGCAATGAAAGTAACTCAACAAGTATCTCACCACTTACTTTACTATTTGTTTACATGCAAGTTACACTGGTGTACTGCATCTGTTATCTATATGCATACTACTGAGTAAGAATTTTACTGAAAAAGGCCTGATTGTGTTTTATTATGTTGTTAATTAATGAACGTAAGGAGAATGGTAAGTGTTAACTTTCTTGATATGCATTGCCTTATTCTATATTTGTTGTATTTATTGTAGATTCACTTTGATTTATAAATAAATATTCTTTTGTAGCACTTATCTTATCTTTAACCTCATTACAAAGAAGAAGTATCTTAAATCTTTTAAATCCACTTCCCAGTTTGCTCAAGATACATTTTGTGATTATAGAAAGAATGCCGTGTAAATATGTTCCCTGAGTTTACACATTTCATCACAAGGTCACTTATCCTATATTGTTCAAAGTAACTTGTGTCCTACATTGCTCAAGGTAACAAGTCCTCATCTGTTCAACTTCGCTTGTCCGAATGATTTTATCAGTTAAAGTTAAGATAACTTGTCTCACATTGTTTAAAGTCATTTGTCCCCATTAATTCAAGGTAAATTGGACATATTTGACCAATATTGAATTTTAAGTTTAAGTTTATTTAAAGAAATTCATGGAATGATAAAACATCTTTACGTAATAGTAGTGAACCTGAAATATCACTAGAAAATGTAGTATAACCTCAGTAAACACGTTAATGCACAAGGTCAAAAAACAGAAGTAAATTAAACGTCTTATCCTTGTATTTAATCGGAACTATAAAATATTGTTTATCAAACATCTTCCATCTTCGTTCATGATTATTGAAATATAAGACAACAACAAAAAAGTCATGTTATCTCGATATCTCGAAAAATGCTCTAGCTATTTGCTTCAGTCATAATGTCGTTTCCATTGTTGTTGCCGTATACAAACTTCAAAAGTGTCATTTTTGTTTCAAACATTTGGTTATTGAACAAAAGAATATTTCAGACAAAACTGTAATGAAATTTCAAATTAAGACGAGTATGCTTTTGATTTATAAATGACATTGACTGTCAAGTAAGAATGAAATGTTAACTTATTTTCGAAATGTTAATTTATTTTTTGGCCGGGTTGCACAGGTGCTAACCCGGGTTATTGTATGCTGTATGTCGGGCTGCGGGCGGGCGGGCTGGGAAAATATTTCCGTAAAAGTTTTTTCAGTCTGTCGCTCATCCACTTCCTGTTTACATACTTAGTTTAATTCAAAATTAATGGTGAATGGTAGAAAATCTTCGTAACAGTTTTCTCAGTAACTACTTATCATAGCCTCTTGATATTTAGTATATAGCATTAACACACTGCCCCATACTGTGGCATTCGATTTCAGGTCTGTCGTTCATCCATTTCCTGTTTACCGACTTAGTAATTTTCAACAATAATGGAGAATGGTAGAACATTTTCGAAACAGTTTTCTCAGCAACTACTTAATATTTAGTATACAGCATTAAGATGTGATCCCAAACCGTGAGATTCGATTTCAGGTCTGTAGCTCATCCACTTACTGTCTACAGACTTAGTTAAATCTTCGACGTTAATGGTAAATGGTAAGAAATTTCTGTAACAGCTTTTTCAGCAACTACATATCGAAGCCTCTTGATATTTGGTATACAGCATTAACACGTGGTCCCGTAATGTGTTATATTATTTCAGATCTTCTGCTCATTCACGTCCTGTTTACCGACTTAGTTAAAATTTCGACAATTTTAGTCATAAATGGTGAATAGTAGAAAAATTTCATAGCCTCATATTTGGTATACAAATGCAACCCGGCCATTTCTATCTTTGACCCATTTTTATGAAAAAAGATGATGTATTTTTAGAAAATCCATTACTGAAATGTTCATCCTAAACTGTAGGCCTGTTTGCAGTTGCTTTTGTTTTGACAATTCATGCTGGGTCTGAAAATGATGTGATGCAAAGGTTTCAAAACTATGTTAGTTGCATTTAGACAAAAAAGTTGTTTTGATAATATTAATCGAACGTTTCGTTTCATGATAAATTTGAATGAAATCCAATAAAAACGTTAAGCGTAAACAATGACGTCATCTATGTGTGCTAGAGGAGGGGGTGTGAGGGATGTTGCACATTTTCATTATCCCTCATGTACAGACTCAATCAAACCGAATCTGGAGTTTTCGTGTGTATTTTTATTCTTCCGAGGGATCCCCCTTTTCCAGATTTTTTCCCAATGTATATCGTTGACAATGTATATCGTTGACAAAGTCGATATCACCTAGCATTGTACAAGACAGACACACATTTAAAACATATACCGAGTTTTTAAGTTTAACATGTCCTTGTCCTATCATAACGGACGTTAATGGAAAAATTAATAAAATGCCATCAACCAAATTATATATAATAGTCCAACGTTTACAATCTTTCTCAATATGATTCGAAATGTTGAATTCATTCATCGGTTCTATTTTATTGAAAATATAAAGTCTTTATCACGTGAATAATTTGAAGTTAGAATGCACCGCATGACCTTTATAATTTACAAAAGTACAATATTATTTTTCCTCTCTATATATTGATACGACTGATTCTAATACTTCAGCTATGTTTTAGGGCTGTCGCTTCTATCAGGACTCCTCTTAATCAAAACATTATCAAACCGAATCTGAAATTTCCATCTTTTATTTTTTGTATATTTTGCCCTTAGGAGACATAACCTTTGTGAAATATTCTTTTCACAATAGCATACATACATCCCTAATACATATGTACTTCATATCAGTGTTGCTATATTCCGTTGTTCCTTCGGAATCTCTGATCGCAACATATAAAGTAGTAAGACAGCATATGCTAGGGGATTGAGAAAAGTTTACGATTTCATTTCCTCTTTTTAAATGGATAGATCGCTTCATTTCATTGTCGTTATCATAAATCAGATAACAGCAATGGTTAAATGCTGTTTGGTACCTGTACACAGATGAATTGTTTTATTCTTAAATTTTTGACATTTTTTTATGTAGATCTATCAATGAAATCAGCGGTACCCGACCCTTAAGGCTTTGACATTATTTATATAAAACTCCCTTGAATTAATTGTTGTTAAAATGAGCGCCTATCTTGTCCATCTGTTGCTTCAAATATCAGAATTAAGCACTAAAACTATGAATGTCTACTTCAAGTTTATTTACTTTATTTCGTAGTTAAAGCAAAAAGACGAATATACAATTTGATTGTGATTTGTTCTGTTAAAATGCCAAATTTACTTTTTCTGTTTAGTAATGTATGAGAGTAGGTTATACATTAAGCATTAAATTTGATGATACAAACCTAAAAAGTAACTAATTAATAATAATAATAATAATAATAATAATAATAATAATAATAGATGATGGAATAAATAGAAACAACAACAACAATATCTTTATATACAGAAAGCATTGTAAAGAATTTTATATAAAAATCTATGGACACAATAAGAAATATTACCACAACAATAAAAAATTTGTACCTAAAAACAATTTGATAAAAAATGTCTTGTTCATCAAAATTGAATATAAGGAGACAAGACAGCATCATTGCAATAAATCGCTGAGATGAAATCCACTGTATTTGAGTAAAATAAATACGAGTTTGCTAGACAATGTCAACACCAGATGTCTTAATTTTTACCCTCTATCTTTGCAAGAAGAAGATTGTTAGATTTTCCCTTAATAAGCCAATGTAGGATGAAATGTCATAAGGGCGAGGCAAACTTTGACCTCATGGACTAAACAAAAGTGATCTACTACACATTGCTTCACAAAAGACAGTACTATATTTATTCTATTTAAAAAAATAAAAAGGTTATGCTAAGTTTGTGTAAATAAACTAGTGGTAGTGGTCTACTGCGCAATAATACATTCGACATATCTAAGCTCTTGGCCTTCCCGTTATTGACAAGAGGTATAAGACTGTGTAAGTTTAAGCGACCATCGTGTGACGTCAGCGTCAACTCTAGGTTTAATATGTAAACAAACTATAAAGCTAAAGAAACATAGTTAGTTAAGCTTTATGTCTTGTGGGTTTCAAACGCATCAATTACAAAATCCATTTTTATTGTCTGTGACCCAGAACTGCAATAAACCGGAATCATTTTTCGAAACACTTTGCCAGAGCCTCATTCAAGAAATATAGGTGAGTTTAATAAATTGATTCTATGTGATAAAAAAGAAAATTTTATTTTTAAACAATTGTGAATGGTGGACTAGCGATGGACAACAGACAGCCAAGTATGTAGCTGTGTTGGGTTTTAAGTCAGAATCACATGATGAGTTTCAAGCTTGAGTGTCGGAGGAGACTCGGGTAAAATATTTACATCAGTAAGCAGAGTATATTTATCAAATCGCAATTTTGTATGCCCAATAAAATATAACTAATTTACAAAACATAATAAGATTATTATAGGGACATGCAATAATGATAAAAAATTAAAGCTGTATAAAAGAGATTGTTTAAACATGATATGATCTTAGAATATACGTATATATATAAAAAAAAAAACAGAAACATTTTAAGCGGACACAAAGCAGGTCATCGAGCTTACTTTGAATTATCTGCCCTAAAATTGTAAACTTTGAGTCGATATTTTGTGTTTTACGACACACCGACACTAGGTCATTTGGCGACGTTCCAGCTCTATTGGTGGAGGAAGACCTCCTGTGCCCCTCCGTGCATTATTTCAGGCACGAACGGGCACCTAAGTAGAACCACCGATGTTCCGTAAGCTAGCTGGATAGATTCCTCACATGAAGGAATCCAAAGTCCCTGTCGGGATTCGAACCAAGAGCAGTGAGGGGCAAGTGGTTTGAAATCAACGACCTTAATTTACATTTATTTAACCTATTAAACCAATATCAGGATCAGATAGAAAACCTAAAAGTGTTTTACTATAAAAAAAAGAGACTGTAAAACTTTAAAGAAACGAACCAAGACTAAAAACAAATACTCACTAATTCAAGTGACCCTTATTTTATACAGCGACAATAAAATGGCATCAAAATTTTCCTTTAAATTTTTCATATAAACAACAAAAAAAAATCAAAATCAAATATACACAGACAACATAATATTACAAAACTATTAAATAAATTTATATTTCAAAAAATCCAATCACAAATGTACGTAAATACTAACATTAAATAGGCGAATATATATCTTAGAGAAACGGAAAAAATAAACGATAACTATAAAATGAACAAAATAACGACACCTAAAAGACTATCTTGAACTATAATCAAAGTTAAACGTCAATGACACCATCATCTAGTAATGATTACATTGTTAATAAAAGAACACGATACACTATTAATAATTACCCACAACAACATGGTATCATGTTTACAATAATCAAATATATACCAAAAAACAATACTAACTACATTTATTACAACAATACATCTGTTGTCTGTATTATATAACATGTCTTGATGGCTCGCACACGTAATGTAAGTTTCATTTAATTTGTTAGAAAAGGTAATTTATGTCATTTCCTAAATCTTCAATATAACTTATATTTCTATACTTCATTCAAAACACCTTTTCATGTTATACGAATATATTTTCCTTAGAAACAATGTACACACAATTTTGTATTTTTAACTTGTTCGGAAACGTTTATTCTTTCGATTTGCACCTTGCGATCATCTTTCGAAGAAGACATCCATATTGATATATATTATCCGCTTTCTTTTTATCGTCGTCCACAAGTGTCATTTTCGTATCCAGAACAATAAATGGTCTTTTTGCCTGTGGAAATAAAGCAGAAGATTTAATGAGTTTGGTTATAAAAATGAAAGAAGAGATCATGATAAAAGTTTTAGTAGTCTTAAGAACCAATAATTTAAATGTAACGCATCGAGAAAATTAGTATAATGTTTGTTAAATATCTGATACACACATACACAAATACATACGTATCATCCGTCTATGTGTCCATAACACGATATTCTTGTGAAAAAATAAATGACTAAATAAAAAAAAATAATAATAAATATATTTTGAAGAGCATCTCTTTTACTTTAGACAGCTGAAGAAATATTTTCAAATATTGCGTGTGTCTATGCTTACTTTGCGTTAAACAAGAACATGCCCAACGTAAGCTTCTGTACTAAGTAGTAAAATTTACAACTTTAACCCCTTACCAGACTCTATTTAACATGTTGTTAACAACATAATTAGAACAAATTGAATGTAGAACCAATAAGGCCTCAATTTGAAATATGTATGAAAATATTGTATTATCAGATAGATTTGCATTAACTATGTGTCTTACCTTTTTGTTTCTGTATCGGATGAAAGTGTTTGTTTCTGAAAGATTCTCAACGGTAATAGTTGAATTATGTAGAAGACTCAGATAGTTGGCAAGTTGATAAGATATCGCAGTTACACTTGTTACAGGCATGTTTTCATCAAGAACATCCTTGATCCTTCTTGTCTTTCCACCTGGCAAAATTTCTCGTTTAGTGCTAACCGATCGCCTAAAATCTGTGTACTGCAAGATAGCTGAACCTCTTTCTAAAAATAAGATTTTTTATAATTCATATTTTATCTTGTAAATAGGTTTTAATATTCCTCATGATAAATCAAAATTTTGCAGACTTTTAAAATAAGTTAGTGCTTATTAACTTGATAGTCTTAAAGTTCTGAATGAGCGGGTAAGAGAATGGTACTGGTTGCAATCGTACATTTCTTAATTATAAAAATTGAATTAAATTTGCCGCAAACGAAACTGACTTTAGCGCGATATTTCGATATAGCTTCCAATGTTATAAACGATAAAGTGATAAACGATCATTTTTCTGTAGCATTTTAAATAACAATAATTTTTGTCCGGTTGTCGACGCAAACACTAGCTGGAAAAACATTTGAAAAATCTTAAAATGCCAGATACATAGGCAACCTGCGGAAAAATCATTTGTCTACAAATGGCACTAGCGGTTGAGGTCGATGACCTCGCACATAACTCACTGTTACACGTACAGCTGTATGAAAATGTTGGATAACGGCGAAAAGTGAATGACGTTATGTTTTGCAGATTGATGTTTCGCAGAGCGACTATCTCTATGATTTTTACATAGTTCAGCATATTCTTACAGACGTAAATTGGTAAATTTGCATAAAATGTGTCCGGCCATAGGTGGTGATAACGTCGGACACTAGACTTTAGAATCACGTATGTTAACGAGCTTCAAGTATCACAGAGTACTGATGTTCAGCGTTTTATTACATTCTTCAATATGTCTAAATGATATTTGATTTAAATCTCAGTCATGAGTAAATATACTCGTTTTATTAAAAGTTTTGGTAATAAAGAAAATATCTCTCTTATAAACATTTGACACATGCACCTGCCAGAGTAATGTATTGAAACATTGTTATTTGAATACTTTTTACAGAATATTTGTTTAACTTTTTCATTTCTAAAGAGGTTACTTTTATCTTTTATATTGCAATGTATGGGCGTTGTCAGTGATATTTTTTTTAAATAAGTGTATGTGTACAGCAAAAAAATTCCAACAGCTTATAATTTCTATGAAGCATGACGATTATACTTATGTTCAAGTATTTTATATTTTAAGTTTGTGCTTAAAAGTTAATAAAACGGGAATGCCATAATTATTCTATTAATAAATCTACAATTATAAAAAATTTACATCACTGTATTTAAAAAAACAAGTGCTTATTATGATTATTATCTATCATTTCAGCAACAATTTGCTAATATAAGTATATGTGAGTAATAGCACATACAGAAAAATTAAGTAATATGCACTTTAAAACACATACTTAAAACTTCCCATGATAAAAAACAAAGTAGAATCGAAATACTGTCTTCATAAAATTAAGCATGAATAATTATCACTTTATTAGAAAAAACAACAATTTTTTCAAGTAACGCAAGCCTACCTCTCTCAATTTCAGTCCTGCTCTGCTCCTTTGTACTTGGATTAAAAGTCTGAAAATACATCAGATGATATTTCAATGTTCAATACATACGAACACGTAATTTTTGACATAAAAAACTGAATATTTGCCATACCTACGTTTCATTATTTCAGTCGAATCAATTTCCATATTAGCTTAAGATTCCTGACTTAGAGGTAATATGTAAGAATTCGGAACTTTTGTGACCTGTCCAAGAAATCATCGTTTTAAAAGTTTTTCCAGCAGTCGATGTTTAACAATTGTGAACTAAAAATCATTACGAATAACAAATAATAAAATTTAATTAAATTTGCACCTTTTTCCTAATTATAGCCGAAAGTGTGTATAGAAATGGATTCAACGCCGAGTTCAAAGGAAGTATGAACACTGCTGTCCATGCATAAACATCACCAGAGATTGAGTATCCACTCAATGACATAATTCCTGGAATATAGAGATAGTCCGTTGCCTTTTCTTAGTTTTTATGAAAATAGCAACATTTTACCAAAGATAGGTGATCAATTTATCGATTTTGATTCGTGAATGATAATTAGATATTATAATTTTGAGAAAAAAATGTATATATCTGAAATTCCCCTACATTACCATTACATTTGAATTCACGTTCATTATAAAAAGTTCATTATATAAGTTTCTTGATAAAGAATTTTAATTCGGCTCTTGTGCATTATATTAAGTGAGAACACTCTTCATTCAATCAATGCAAGTTCATCTTAGAATTAAAGCAATTATATTGTCAAAATAAGGTATTTAATTTAATTTGTGCATCAAACTTATAAAGGATTCACCACATTACTGATTGATAGGGTCGATATTATTCAATCTTTATTGATATATATTATAACACATCATTTTATTTCTTTAACAGTAAATATAAGTCAGTTGGTATGTAGTTATTCTTCTGTTAATAGAGAACGCGATAAAACTTATTTTTGGTTTTGTTTTAGAAAATGTCAAAATAGATATTTCTGAAAACTGTTTACAATTGATAGATCCCTACTCTGACGCTTTATTTAAGTAGCAATATATTTAACCATAAACATTACCATGTGCTCTTTTGTTAACAAATATGTTGTGGTGGTATAGTTATTATATGCACTAATTTGATAATTAGAATTAGACAGCTATTATATTACCCATTAGTCCAATCGGAAACCAGCAAAGAAAATCGGTTGTTGCCACAAGGATCAGATTTTTTGCTACTTGCAGATCCCTTTTTCTTGATTTCAGTGTTTTCTTGCCACCCATGCTAGATTTTCGAAGTTCCAAGAAGATTGACAACTGACCAAATGCAACAAGGATAAAGGTTCCGAAATTTAACCCGACAAATATTGACACGGAATACATCCAGCCCGGAGGCTTATCACGAGACAACGGTAATGCAATGCATACTCCTGATCTTGAGTAGAAACTGTTTCTGAAATAGCTTGTGTGAAAAATAGGAATAGCCGCTAGAGTAGTTGCAATTACCCAGCTAATGCAACAGCAAATATTCGCACTCTTTGGTGTAAACCTTACGTGTCCAAAAGGATATTTGATTACAAGAAGTCTATCAATTGTTATAAGGCACAAGAAGAAGACGCTTGCTTCAGAAGAAACTGTTGACAAGAATCCGGTCAGGGTACACCAAATGCTGTTTCTCCATTCGTCATCCATGTAAATATACCTGTTAAAAAGATATTTCAAATGAAAAATATATTTGACAGGGGAATATAAAACAATTTATAGAAATAAAACATGTCTTTTTCTGTATCTTAGCTAGACAAACTTACAAAGAAAAGATGTCAGTTACCTGCTTCGATAAATTGAATCAACACATGCTATCACAATAAGATATATTCCCATTAAGAAATCAGCGGATGCCAAATTCGTCACAAATATTCCATAACCTATCTTTAGTCTTTGTCTGTCGTACACAATTCGATAAACAATTGATCCGAGATTTCCGAATAATGAAGCTAGCCCAACCAGCCATAAAACAGCCTGCAGAATTGGATGTCTCATTAGGTCAGCGCAAGAAGAAAACTCATTTTTTGGAGGATAACAATTTCTTTCTTTGACGTTACACGGACGTATACAGCAAAATTTGAACGCCGGTGTACGTAATTCGTTTAGTGAAAAAACATCTTTAAAAATGAACTCATGAAATTTGATTATTTTGTTACCTTCAAAGTTAATCATATTAACAGATGTATTGCTAAATGCGTAATTTTCAATTTCACGAATGTCATTGTTTGATATGTCAATACTTTGCAACTTCAAATTTGAGAATGTTAATGTTGAAATTTTCTTCAGTTTAGTTCCCGATATTCTTAATGCTTTGATACTTTGTAAACCTTGAAATGCTAAAGAAGATATCTCCATTAATTCGGAATTTCCATCGAGATCTAGCTCGACGAGATGACGAAGATCTCCAAACACATTATTCGTAAGTTGTTTTATTATATTGTAGCTCAAGTTGAGTTTCAATAAATTATTTATGTCTGAAAATGCAATATTGCTTATAACTTCTATATTACAATATGAGACATCTAAATTCAACATGAAAGGAAAATGAAGATTTTCCTTTGATAAAACATCATTGATTCTAATGTTATGACTTAGGTCTGCGCTTCGGGTTCTTCTTGACAGAGCACGTATTTCTGAAATAGTTAAATTAGCTTCTCGACATTCAACAGAACCGTCTCCACACTTGCATTTTTTATGACATTCAAAATCGCACATGTGTTCATCGTCCCGATTGATACATTGAGCTATTCCGTCACATACTTGGTTCAGCGGTATACATTGCTTACTGGAATAACATCTAAATCCACCTGCACATGGCACATATGACGCTTCTGTACAAAAGAATGAAATAGCATGCATTTAGATTCATATTTTCAAACCAATAACTCAGGTATAAGGCTGTAATAGATATTTGATGTTTTAATGGGCATGAAGTTATATTGGATCGTAATTGATACTTGGTATTTATATCTGTATCTTCATAATTTTCTACCAGATATACTTAGTTGAAAGAGAGTTGATTGAAGGGAACGTGTTATTCTGTTTCCTTGTATGGTGCATTGCCTTTTAATTATTGTAAAATTAATGTGAAATTTATCTAAAATATAATTCGTCATTCACTTGTTTTCAATGTTATATGAAAGATGACCGTCTTTTTCGTCTTTGAGTTAATGTTTACAAGGAATTTCTTTTTTAAAAGAAATACCGAGCTACAACAGAAAGCTACTGAAAATCACGAGCACCTGATAAGTTGTAACACTATCTTAATGTATATTTACCAGAAATACTTACTATATATAAAGAAATAAGTAAGGATAACTGTTAAAAAATTACTTACTTTTATTCGTTGACAATGAAATAATTGAAAATTCTCACATTTTATCAATTCTACCAACCTTTGCATATTTCTGGGAAAAGCCTATATCCTACAGCGTGTAATGAATTCCATCTGGAGATGCGTACATCATTCACAAACTCATATGTTCTTTTATTGTCAATTGAGTAACTGAAGTTTTTAATGACACGATAAATTTCAAATGCTCGACTAGATATATTTGAAAACATGATCTTAGCGACAGTAGATGACTCTATGCTATCTTCTATGAATATGATAGCTTTCGTTTTTTTATTTGAAAATTGTAAAGACGGAAGTAAATTACGAGTCATGGTTTTATAAGTACAGTCGGAATTAATTGCGTCGTAGCCAATCATATACTTTTCACGTATTTCCAGAAGTCGATGTATAAGAGGAAATTTGTGTATTCTAGGTTCCCCTTTGAAATACAGTAACCTAACTTCACTGTCACCAGACACAAATTGCTTTGCTAATAGTTCAGCGGCAGTTTGACTGTGAGTCGGTCTCTTTGTATCCTCTACCATTACAATGATGTCTCTAGCTTTACTATCACAGGATGAAAAATATATTACAATAAGCATTTACAACATTGTCTAAGTTATATTATATTTGTGGTTTAAAAGTCTTATAAATAAACAAAACAATCCCAATGGCTGCTTATATTTATTATGTTATCTACATATATGACTGAAATAAGGTATGTTTATATGTATAATCGTTCGCATTACTTACTACAATTATGTTCATCTTGCCCACTAGGGCACTGGAACCTCCCATCACAAACAAACCTTAGGGAAATGCAGTAACTATTTGGACACTTTACTGTATTTTGAGGACAGTCAAAGTCGTCTGAAATCACATAGTACTTCATCTTAATAACAAGAACAGACAACTAAAAAATACGAGTAAACAAAACAGGAAATATTATTGTATACATATATATGTCAATTGCATCTGTAGGTGTAGGTATATTTATTAAGGTTTAACAGTAACATCATTTGTGGTGAAATAAATATAGTTAGTTATTTTCAGATAAGAGTGTATTTATTTTAGGACATACACATATTCCTTATATACTTGGTATAACATGTTTATATTGACAACAAGAAATGTACAGCATGCAATTTCATGAAACAGATCACTTATTAGGGAAACAAAGAGCCATTTATGAAATAGATAATCATGTTCTTTTTTGCTGTCGTCCTGTTATATTTTTAGGCTTATTATAAATGTTTAGTTCAAATTCTTATAGTTTCTGTTGTCCGTGTTTCCAGACAGTTAGTCAAGTCTCATTGCTTCAGTTGGTCTTTTAGAAGAAGGAATAGATGGTTACCACATTCTAATACATTCTACAGTTCTATAAAATTGATTAGACGTTTACAGCAATTTGTACCTTATGTAGACCTATAGATGAACAAAGATTTCTACAACAGCAGTTTTCACACTTGTTTATCTAGAGATAATATTTTGATGGATATTTACTAATTGCAGATTGAATGTTACTTTTATCATTAAGTATGATTCAAACACAAAAGGTACGGACTCCGGACATGTTGCTAGTCATGCCCGTAAAGGCTTAATTATGGAGCACCAGTTGTGCAAAATCACCACCGTGTAATATTCGACAACAGATGAAATTTTTGCCGACAAATGTCACATTACTGCGGCTGATAAGACCAGAAACGAATGTAACCTGATATTACAATGGAAACTAGTGTAGCCTTATAAGGGTTAATATGCCAGCTTATGTCAAATCTTTTAAATCATTTTTACGCGCATTTTCCTCGTCATTTTGTCTTTTTTGTAGTGGTACAAGCTCCTCTCCCGGCCTCGATAAGGACATCAGCAGGTAGTCCTAAGGATACAACTTCCGATTTTTTCACCATTTCGAGTTATATATTTCTTTTCCCGATGCCAGTGCCTCTCTACGTAATGATCTTACCGAAATAAGAGAGAGAGAATAATCACCATAGTCCTAAGTGAACTATAAATATACAAATGAAATCGACGTCTACTTCAATTAATTACTTACCGCAATTTTGCAGATGCATCCCCGACCTACATCCAATTATATAACCTGTTGCATCTTCATCATATATACACAACTGAGATTTTCTTATCGTCGTGTTATCTCCGTAACAATCATATAGGTCTTGTTCAACTGGCACTGAGTAATCTATTTTTCGACGTTTTGTTTGAGAATGATATAATTATTCTTTAATTTACGTTACAATATAAGTATTTATTAAATATAATAGTTTTATTGTAAATGGCATTTAAAAGTTGTTGATGTAGCAAATTTGTAAAATGATCAAAGCGTTTTGACTAGATATATTTTACACATGTGAAAAGCATGTATGACGTTTTTATAGAATGTTGTCTCTAAGTTTTGATATTTAACTGGTAATATAGATATTATTACATTTGATGGTTAGCAAAAGTTTGTGATGGCGAATTTCCTATTGACAAAATCCTTTAATAATTCCTTAAATTTTGCAAGTAATAAAAATTTACAAAAATATTATATATCCAAAAACAACACATACTATAAGTGCACGAAATCTTGTTTAATCTAATGTCAATCGGAACTGTTCCCTCCGCCACGCTTGGATTAACATGTATTGCATTTTCGTCAAAAGTGTAGTAGGTAAGGTCATGACGAACTGTTTCATTCCCATTGCAAGATGCCAGTTGTTTGTGCTCCATGCCGTTGTTAAAGGAGCTTTTAATTTTACAAAAAATACATTTATGACTTCATGACATTCATATATTTCTAAAAATAACCATTAATGTTAAAACGAACATTAAATTGCAAATAATAATCTCGACAGGCTAAATATGTTCATAAGGGATTTAATAGGTGCAACATTGCTGACGTCATTTTAACGGTCATATTAAGTATTGAAATCAAAGATATTGAATAACAAAAAATATATAACTGCACATTAATAACGATAATTTAACCAGAAATATTAAATTATACATTTCAATTACCTGAGGTCATCTATTTCATTTTGACCTGTAGAAACATCACGTTTTCTCCGCCAATCCCTGAAATAATCGCATGTGACAAATGCTTTGTTTTATTTAGATAGAACAATCACAAACACCTGAAACACACAGGTATACGCTTGCAGTCTTCCACACACAGACACACACGCACACGCGCACGCACACACTTGCACACACATACGCGCGCACACACATACAAATAAAGACAGGAAATAATTATTTTATATTTCAAAATCATCAAAATAATAGTATGCCAAACCTTTTTGCATATGATAGCAATATAGGAAGTTTCGTTTTTTTCATAAAGACCCTAAATGGAACTTGAAAATATTAGAGAATGTGAAAAAAACAAAACAAAACGAAGTTTCTTGTGATATAAACGATAACTTTATAGTAGAAGAGTTGTTCTACTGGAATGCTTGAAAATGCCCAAGCTATGCTCTAAATCGAGGACTTAAAGGCGTTATATTTGATAGAAAATAAGTCTGGAAGGTAAAAAAAATATACCCGCTTGTATCGTAGACGTAGATGTACGTGTCTTCATAGAAATAATCTGTCGGAAGGTAAAGCCAGCGTAACATTAAAGTCTCGATTGAGCATTGACAAGTCGTATTAGTAGCTTGTTTGTATTTCAAGTCGTAAATTGATGCAGCATACTCTGGTAGATGACATGTACTTCTGACCTATACAATGACCATCAAGAACATATTGTCCGTTATAGCAAGTGAAATATTCCGAACTTATCTTAAAGTGATAATATGATGTCTTTAATAAAGTCACTTATTGTCTAATTTTTATTGTCCAGAAATAAAAAGACGAGGCACACCAGTTTAAACACAATGCATAGATCCCTGACCTGTCTTATTCCAATAATCAGGTTATACATACATTATGAATTTCACCACCACATATTTGTTCACAAAAAGCACATGTCAATGTTTAGTTTAAACAATATTTTACTTTTAATCCACACATTTACATAATAAATTACATAAAATAAAATTTACGGATTGAGTAGGAAGCTTGTAAAGAATTACCTTAGTAGACCAAAGACAGAATAAAATGTTTATTTTAAGAAGCTAGAAATCAAATCACGAAATTTTTTTTAACTTACATCAACCGTGCAAATACTGTTGTTCCTAAAAACTAAATCGTAGAAAGAACCCCTCGTACTTAAACGAATCTGCATCAAGTGTGTCGAGGATGTGTATATATAGCTGAAATCAAAATCTAAATTTCTGATTTCCATTGTGATTCCTCTTGATGACTCTCCTGTCAATCTATAGTCACAGTACACATTTATATTGCCTGCAAAAAAGTTTCATTTTTCAAGATTATGTAACATTACGGTTTAATAGCATTCACTTTTACTCAAAGTGTGCACATAACGACAGATACACCACGTCAATTCCTTAAGATATCTAGATACAGTTAAACACATTGGGTCATTACTTAGTAACCTTTATTTTAATGGCAAAGATGAGCGGCGCTTAAAGATATGGACTGAATATATAACAGGCGCGACGGTCGGTCCTAAGTCTATAAGCAACTATCCCTGCAAGATAACACTTTCAATGGAAACAATTACAAGGAACTATACTGCAACTGGTAGAGGGAGAGAATGAACCAGGCCAGGAATCTTTAAATTATGAATGTTAACAACAAGATAGCAGATCTCCTGACAACAAAACCAATTATATAAGCTGGATGCTAGTATTTATGTCAAAAGTAAGGCCAGCTATCTTATACTGAGAAAATGACAAAAAGGTAAAAATATCTGCGAGAAGAGCAAGTACACTAGGTAACTGTCTGTGGAAGCACAGGGGGTTTATAAATAAAAAGCAACAACAACAACAACAACAACAACAACAAATAAATGAAATAAAGCACACACATGTATACCTTCTATCAAATAACAAAGACATTTAAGTCAGAAAGCGGTTCTCTTATTAAAGAAGTGACTGTAAAAGAGAATTTCACAAGGATCCTGAATAAATACTCGCTGACATGCGTCAAAAATACAACATAAAACGAGCACAATCCCAAACAACTTCAGCGTATCCTTCAAGACATATGAGACAAAGTGTATATCCCAGATGAATAGAAGAAGTAAGTCACAGTCCAGCTGCCAAAGCAAATTGAACTGGAAGACTATAACATCTTGATCTGCATCACTTTTCTGCATCTCACAAGCAAGGTACATCATATTACATAGTAGCAATGCCGCTGTAGAAGAATTACAAAGTCAGGAACAGGCCATTCTCTGGAAAGGAATATCCTGAATTGACCACATATTGGTACTGAGACAGAGTCTAGAGACGTCAAGAGAATGGATTAGCACATTCTATGATGTGATTGTTTACTTTTGGCGTCCTGATTCACTCCGTAGGATCCTTCGTCAATATGGCATTTCAAAGAAGCTAATTCATATTATTCAATCTCTCTAAAAATATTTGTATCATCTCAGTAAGCCCTTTGAAGTTAAAAGCAAAATGAATCAAGGCTGTATCGTGTCACCCTTGCATCTGTCCTTTGCAATCGACTAGACTTTGAAGAAAATAACCAAAGGAAAAAGATTGGATTTACAGAGTAAACTGACCACAGTTGTAGATGACTTATACTATGCCTTGATCTCCCAGCAAAGGTCACCAATATAACTAACAGAATAAAGATTCCTCAGTGATATAGCAAGTCAGGGCTGAAGATTAAGATATAAAACAGGGGTCTTATAGATAAATGCAAACAACAATCCAGTTTCGATAATTAGAAAAAGACAAAGTTGATACCAGGATAAGCGAGTAAAACCAAGCCTTTACAATTTTCAGGCCCATATGTAGATTTGCAGAATCCACATTTAGTTCATGCTCTTCAACATCAATGTTTTTCTGAGTGCAGGAAGACCTCTGTAACCATTGCAAATACACTCGAAGTTTTTCAAAATGAATCCTCAAGAGTTTGTACAATATTATTTTAAACGAAGACCTGCACAACCAAACAGGGACGCTAACAATAATAGAAGCTATCCAAGCAAGACGCTTGCGATGGCTTGGCCATGTCCTACGCATGCTTTCTAACTCGCTACATAAGATTCCGCGGACATGGAAATTCAGGGGAAAAAGAGACATAGGTCAACTAAGGGAGACATCGAGGCGAATTATTCAGAAAGAAAAAACTTGATCGTTTAAAATTGCTGATGAATATCAAAATATAATATTCGTTCATTTGTACATTTTTTACGCATTTGTGTGCTGCAATGAGTTTTTAGCATATTAATTTAAGAAACACATGAATATGTAAATATATGCGTAATTCAATGTAATGTAAATACAATAACATAATATTATTAATTTTGTTGAAAGTTAATTAATTTATCTTCTAAATGTTTACAATATGAAATTAAAACAGAAGTACGTTACTTATTATATGTGAAACAAACTAAAATAATAAACGGCTTAATACTAAGATAAAAGTAATATCACAAAGGCAGATTTTATGTCTTCTAAGGCTTCTGCAATTTATCTATAACAAGATATTTCATTTGCAAACTATTTTATGATAACTTTATGATTATTGCTACATAATAAGAATATGTTGACAATTATAACGACTGAGGAGAAACAACAGCTAGGTCAGTCATCTGTTTTTCTGAATATCGAGTTTCCTTCATTACCCCCACAAGGGTATTGCCACAAATCTTTGTTAAAATTTAGCAGAGAGTAGCTGTATCAATCGAGAGCGGAAACGCCAATCTGTGACAATGTCAGTAAACTAAACTGAAATTTACAGAGCCTTTGGATAAGCTTTCCTTTGTTAGTTAATCCTTCAAGTACGAAAGGTGATTTAAATTAATGTGAACATATTTTAATTTGATTTAATTATTCTATAATTTTCATTTCGCAACCAATGTTCAATTTGTGATATATTGGCACATTGCATCTACAACGCTTTTTAAGTTCATTCAAAGTATATTTTCTCTTTTTATCGGCGTTTTAGGATTCCTGGGATTCCATAGTTTATTGTTGCTGCATCAGGACTCTTTGGCATCCATTCCTTCGGGGTAACGTACTTGACCTTACTTTTTTCAAAAAGCTGTTTCGGCCTTGCGGTCGCATGTCTGGAAGCACTGTTCCGATGGAATATCATTGACAATTCACGACCAGGAAAAAAACACAGAACGTCATTTTTCATAAAAGGCCGTAGAAGTTCCTGTCCATACCATTAACGCTTGTGCAAACGAATCCAGCTTAACGACCTTAAATGTTTTCAGTCTATCTCTTTTCCCCTTACATAGAAAACATGCCTTCGACCATAGCTACCACTTATTTAGAATATTGCATCGTCCGTAGTGACACCATCTTTCCATTTTCCACTATTAAAACGGATGTACAGATGTGAAGAACGAGTATACGTCTCTTCAGAATTGGCGTCTTATTTAGCTTATGAACACTGCCTTATTTTTTATTTTCATACGCATAATCTTTGAAATGATTTTATTTTGACAGAGATACTTAAAAATTATTTGCCATCTGTCTTTTGTTTCTGGATTCACCGATCTAAACATACTGCGTATCTCTTTATTTCTAAAGAGCTTTTTTCAAGTTATTCCGAATTTTACTTCGAATAAAATTTTGGAATGTTCATACGATTAATCTCCCCGATGGAAACAGTATGTCCCATATCCTTTAGATCTTTTACGACATTTGTTTCTTCAAAGGCCTAACAAAATGCCTTGAACTAAATCTCTAAATCCACGTTTTACCTGTGTAGCAAAACCAATTTATATCGTATCTTTAAACTGTTAAAACAATTTGCATGGACAAGCTCGTGCAGAAAACGTGCAGAAATATTGGTTTCAAAAGTGCCCACCTAAATATAAATCACCTCTCCTATAAAGTATAAAGCATCTCATTGAAATCTAAAAAATAATTGATCTCTCCAGAGAAAAGGAAAAAATGTATAAAGTAAAAACAAATAAGAAATATTTTTTTGCATTTCTGTCTGTGATTATTTCCAAATCCGTAACAACGAAAATTGTTTAATTAAATTTTGTCAGGGAATTATTTTACATACATTGCCTTATCATAAAGAAACACATTGAGGTGTAGTGACCGGTTAAGTCCCAAGGAGTGGTTTTGCTTCTTACTGTTTCAAAGCATTATTACTCTTTGCTACTTCACATATGTTGCGTTTGCCGTTATGGTTATGTTGTAACAGGTGACAGCTTTTGTTGTGCTTTTGTATATCCCATCTTGCATTTGTCGTCAACGTTTAGTATTTTCTGTCGCTTCCAAGACTCATTTTCAACTTTTGTCCCAACCTCCTTCCATTTCATGTCCTTTAACCCAGTCCTTTTTTCTTTATTACCAATCAACAACCCTATGTTGTGTTTATTTTATTTTCCATGTAGTTTTGCTTTCCGAACCCTGCTGAATGACAAATGTATGGTTCGCTCAAGTTCGGCATATTTGGTTACTATCATTGATTCAGATATGTTAATAATGACAATCTTTAATTCTACTCTCGACAGAAAATTCCATTTGCTTAATCTTTGCACGGGACTGAAGGCAACAATTTTTTAATAAATATGAAATAATATCAGAATAGTTCAAAAAATTAAAGAAATATAAACAATTTTACATACCAATGTAATATTGACCTGACTCATGGTTTCCTTTCTCCCACAAATCCTCGCAAGATAAAACGTCGTAATCCGTACAATCACTTTCATCACTGCCGTCTTGACAGTCACGCACTTTGTCACAAACCAGTATATTACTTATACATCTATCAACATCGCAATGGAAAGAGTCTCGACAAGTCGCTTAAAAAGAAATGTCAGCTTTTTAATAGACGAATTTAACTTTGGTGAGTGTGGGAACAAACATCATGCCTTCATGAGCACACTTAAGAAACTCTAAAATCGCATTATGACTTACCACATTTTATTTCGTCGCTACCATCTATACAGTGCGGGACTGCATCACAACTCTTGTTGGAAGGAATACATTGCTTGTTATCGCAAACGTATTCATCCAGTCCACAATTCCGAAGCTCTGAATATGTAAAGAAAACAACATGTATGTAAAACAATTAGATATTACGCTTTTACTACAGTGATATGATAGATAAGTAATAACATTGTAACTCTCTAAGGTCCTTGCTGTGCATATACACAGTTACGATATAGATATAGCTAAATAAGTTAGCATTTGAACGGTAAGATATGATTTCAAATAGGAAAATTCAGGAAACTATTGTGTCAATGATCTGTTCTATGTTAACAATACAATTTCAAATGGATTTTCATATTCCAAAGCCAATCGGTCCATTTGATTTATCTAAAACCGATATGAACAAAAATTATCATATATTTACGTTTACTAAGTGTTTGTTTGTTTGTTTCATTTTTACGCCTTTCTCCCAACAGTATTTCAGTCATATAGGCGGGTATGTTTCTAACCATCGTTCCTGGAGAGTTATTCCAGTACTAGACTACCTTCTTCCGCGCTTAACTACCAAAGCATCTCCCGGGATCGAACCCACGCTAGAGAGGTAACTAGATTAGAAGTCATCCACTCTAACCCCTTACCACGGAGGCGGTTGAAGGAACAACACATTTGTAAATGCATACCGTGTACATAAAGTTTATGCGTTCCTTTTTAAAAGATATCTAACTCTTAAAAGCTATTCATTAGTTGTTTAATACCAAATATCCACGTTTTAATTTTTAGTTATGAAATCGAATTTAAAGTCAAAATAAATTTCACCTTTGGAGAGTAATCATTCACATATATACTTTAACTTTTTTGTCACATTCGACATTTAATTGTTTAGTTGATTTTTACAGAAACTGCATTCGATTAAAATGAGACATTTCCTTTTTGAACTACATATAAATTAATCAAACAAAACACGAGATGCAAAAAGTATAGAATATAATAAGGTTTGCTAACTGTACCACAAAATTCATCCTCGGCATTAGTGCAATCTGGTTTAAAATCACAGACTTGACCTAGTTTTATACAGCTTCCATCAACACAAGAAAATTCGTTATCGTTGCACCCTGGTATATTTTAAATAAATGTATATAAAGTTATAAATATTGAAGTAACACATTAAATATACAAATCAAAGAAAGTCCTTGTTTTCGAAGAAGAGTTAGTGCTTCATTTCATTATTCTCTTGAATCAGAACCTAGGTAATAAGCATTCAAAATTCAGGTGTCATAAAAACAAAATTAAAATCACCTAATGAATATTGCTTTACTATTTAACAGGATCACCAAAATCAAAATATAAACATATTTTGGCAATATATTTGGATGTGCAAAAGTTAAGAGGGACACATTTCGTGTCAAAATTTTATACATCTCAATTAATACTTTTGATGCTTCATTTATGTACAAAAATAACATATTTACATTTATGACATACCCGTGCCACTTTTGCGACTCCATTAAAAAGATATGGCACGGCTGTGCATATATTTTGACGTGACTTCATTTGCATTACATAAATATTTCGTTAAGTTGCGCTAATTGTTAGCGTTATTCTATATATGTGCGTCAATGAAAATGGTTCTTTTTCAATTCAAGTAGTCTTCATTTTGGTATGTGATAAAAGAATTTTACATTCGTGTAAGTTCATCACTGAATTTGTTCAACTCGTTGAAAAAATAAATTTTATGCTCGCCAGGGGCTCACATAACATAATTTTATCCAACTCATTCAATAAATTCATTATTTAACTTACTGTCCTCTGTATGAACTATCTTTCTAATGAATTTTTAAAAAAGTAGAAATTTAATAAATCTAATATCAAACGGATATCATAGGCTGTTGCTCTTTAATTCTAGCATACTTGCTAATTTTTATTCCAAGATTAGATATAGTAAAAATGATAGGGCGAAAAATCTAACCTGTAATGAATCAGCAGCATGTAAAAACCAAAATTACTTTAACTTCTGTCGTTTTAAACATCTGTATGGAAAATGAGTTATGCTTTCATGATAATTCGTCTATAGTTTATTGTTTCCTTTGTACCATTTAATCACTTAAAATGACTTTAAAAAGTTCAACCAATCACAGAACACAATCTTACATGATATACAGATGTGCAATGATATTATAATAAAATCTAGTAAGGCTCGTGTTACCTGCATTATTTCGCAAACAATCAATTTCATCAGATGCATCTAAACAGTCTATTACAGTATCACATTTTGCAGCTATTGAAATCCATTCCTTACTTCCACATTGGAAATAGGATCCTTCTACAAGTCTCACAGGAAAACTTGTCGGAAACAATTCAACGTCTTGCACAAGTCCATGTTCTAAGTAGGATTAAAGAAAAAACAACACAAAACAGTATCATGTCGATATTTAACAATTAAGTTGATAAAATTGAAAATCACGTGACAAATTGATACATGTATATGATTTTACCGAATGACAGTTGAACTGTCAAAGAGGGGAAATGACTTCAAATTTATTTAACAGCTTTTGAATTTGATGTTATCTTTTAAAATCAATGAAATTCTGTCTGTTTATAAACGTCAGGTAGTCACTCATAAAACTTTTGATCCTGCATTGCTATTTTGTTTTTACAAAACGATAATCATTCAACATTATCTACAAAGGGAAATATTGATAAATTTAATTTTAAATGAGGCAATGTCTGATTCCCCTTTTAATTCTGTTAGAACATTTAATAATACACATACTGAAACCGATAAAATTTTAATACGCGAAGTACCAAAATTAATTATTAATACCCTTATTTGTTATCGATGTCAAAAGAATAGAAAAACAATAATCAGAGTGCAAGTATCTTCACGTCCTGATATTTATTACATACGCTTAATTTTATATTTGCATTACTATCTTTTCAATTCAAAAGTACATCGTATATTTTATAATTTATTGAATGTTTTTTTATTATCAATAGAGAATTACATTCCTAAGTAAATAATTTCAATCATGCACGTTTCACACAAATTATGAATCTGAATAAAAACAGTGCATAAAATACAACTTATTGTAAAAACCTCACGCATGAAAACATATGACACATAATGATTAAAAGAACTCAACCGAGGTCCAAACGTATAAAAATGAATTTCTTACATTGATCGGATAAATCATTTACATCGCATAAATTACAGAACATTATTAAGAAATATACCAAGAAATATATTGAAATTCGTTTTTGAGTTATTCGTAGCACCATTTGACCGAAAAGCGTCGCAACGCTTCTCAATGTTATGTCATTTTTAACAATTATATTTTTTATTCTAGAACAAACGGCATTACAGAATAATCTGAAATTTTGCACACAGTTTATTGCTCTGGGACTACTTCCAATGGAACATAAATATTGAATAAATATTTCCAGTCCCCTCATGTCAAGAAACCTCAGTTGAGTCCCTGTAATAATGAAGTTCCTACCGTTCATATTACAGTTCACTTCGTCGGTTTTGTCTTCACAATGGAACGTTTTATCACATTTATTCACCATCGGTATTTGGCGTCCCGTGGATTCGCATGAAAAATGGTCACCAACACTCTCGGTTTTCACAGACACGGGATCGGCTTCTTAAAACGTTAAAACAACATTCGTCAAGCAAACCTGGAGGACTTCTTTAGGAAATGATTTATGTTTAAAAGATAAATCTGTTCATCAAGTGATTTGTATTTAATAAACGAAAATTCATTATTTGTTTCTTAGATTTAAATCACACTTTTTATCATCAAGTTAATTTGAATATCTATTTAAAATGTCAAAAAGACAGAGGAAAAGGGGGATATTTAATCAAATTTACTTTAATTGTGTTAGACTCCATACAGGACACACATACATTTAAGACAAGTCTTAAAAACATGAAATGGAAAATCAATCAAGAATGATAAAGGCAGAGATCTTTAAGTGTGACATCATTATGTATTATAAAGACTAAACAGACATATTTTGCAAAACTTATTAGGTGATTTGAACTATTTATGCCAAAAAGAAAGTATATTCTACAGTTAGATAAATGTTTTGTCGGTTTAAAACAAATCGATATAATTATGTTTTAATTGAAACACAGTCTTCAAAATCTACGTTTTAAGCGCACATATGATTATAATATAATTGTGTTTTGTACTCATATGAGTGTGGGTCAATATGTAATGCAATTTGAAGAATATTTTCTTGTCAAGCTGGTAAACTTGAGGTTAACATCTGCTTTCAAGTGAAATTTATTTTTATCTAAATAAAACCTTACACGAGTAGCTTAATTTTTAATATGGCTGGTAAAACGCTCGGTTTTTTAAAAAAAAAGCGCAAATGGATCACATGCAAACTCGGGCATAACCAGGAAAATCTGCTATAACTGTTTATAATGATATTCGATATATCTAAGGCAACAATGAAATCAATCTGACTAAGGTTCAGATCTACTTATTTCTTACATGTAGATCTTATAGCCACCTTATCTTTTTTCGCCTTCATTCAGGTTTGGATTTACCGTGTTTGCTCAATTTAGCCATTCAACTAAATCGCCCGTTACAATAGGAATTAGAAACTGTGAATTTTGTTGTTGACAGTGTAGTGATTCTAGGTGTATGCCATTTTTAACAGCTTTTCTGTTGGGTTTACCTTTTAGCGAAGTGGTTGAGTGTCCGCCTTGTTATCGAGAGGATCAAAGTTTAAAACCTGGTCATCAGCTGAGGGTTTTCAGACTAACAATAAAAATATTATAACACATAATTTTTTAATAAACTTTTACAGGTGTATTTGTGATTGTTTCAGTCACTTTATATTAATAATATCAAACTAAGGAACACATAGAAGTCGTTCCAAATCAAACTTTCTAACAATAGATAATTATGTTCATGGACGGCGCCATGTTTTTTCCAGGGTAATATCTTGAAGTAGTGATGATTACCTTCTGGAACAGAATCGCTTTCAAAACTATGAAAGTCGCCGATGAATGGCTATTTGTAGAAGTCACTCCGTGTTTGGAGATGGTCTAATCAATTATTTAGAACTGGTTTCAATCAGATTGCAATGAAATATATTAAAAATCGGTACGAGGTAATAAATAAAGCCTGTAAGTCTGTTAGATAAAGCTCCATAGATACAAACAAATTTAATATGTCTCACTGAGTAAAATTCAGTAAATATCCATATACTTTTAATGAATTTAATCAAAAAAAAAAAGAATTGTCTTATGGGGTTGATGAGAGTGTGGTGCATGGTTGTGGGTATGCAAAGTTAAAGGTTATTGATTTTATTTCAACTGTTCTTAGAAGTAAATGGTGCAATTGCAATTACATGACAATATCTAAAGCATACGAATTAGCGTATTTTAATTATTTATTATGACAAATAAGGTATCAATCATTTCAATGAACGTTCAGGGTATTGCTGATAGGGCAAAGCGTAGAGATGTCATAAATTTTCTTAAAAGTAAAAAATACTCTATTTGCATGTTGCAAGATACACAAGTCAAGAAGAACATTTTAAACGCTCAACGTGGGGATATGAAACTTACTTTTCCAATTACAATACCTAGTCAGGTGAAGTTGCCATATTTATTAATAATAATTTTGATTGTAATGTAAATGCTATTAAAAAAGATAATGATGGTAATTTACTTATCCTTAATTGTTAATAATGTGAAAAAGTTATAACGTTAGTAAACTTATACGGACCAAATAAAGATACTCCTCAGTTTTATGACTCAATTTTGGACAGACTTTCTAAATATGAAAATTCTTTGTATATTCTTGCTGGGGATTTTAATTTAGTGCTTAATCAAGAAGTAGATTGCCAAAATTACTTACATTTGAATAATCCCAATGCTCGGGATAAAGTTCACTCTATTATTTCAGAGTTAAATTTAATCGATGTCTGGCATGAAAATAACATAGAAAAAAGGGAATATACGAGTACATTGTTTAGGTATAATCCAATAAAAAAGCACGTTTAGATTTCTTTCTTATTTCAGATCAGTTATATAATGAAGTTGACTGTACAAAAATATTACCAGGGTATCTAACCGACCATTCATTAATTTATATGTGCTTAGAATTTGGAAAATTTAGGAAAGGGAGATCTTACTGGAAATTTAACAATTCCCCTTTACGTGATGAGGCTTACATTGTTAAGGTAAAAGAAACTAAAAGACAATACTCAACTAACACTGTAGAAAATCTAGATGAATTAAATGAAATCCCAGCACAGGATTTAATTTTCAATATCAATGAACAACTATTTTTTGAAACTTTACTCATGAATATTAGAGGAATAACAATATCGCATTCATCATATAGGAAAAAAAAACAAGACATAAATAAAGAGGAAGTTATTTTAAGTGAAATAGAAAAAATAGAAAAAGAACAAGATATAAATTATGAAATATTGCAAAACAAAAGAATAGAACTTTCAAATTTGAGGAAAAAGAAAACGGATGGAGTACTTATATGATCAAAAGATTAGTGGATTAATGAAGGTGAAAAGACAAGTCGTTATTTCTGTAACCTTGAAAATAGAAATGTTGTCTCCAAAGTTATGAGTTCGCTTAAAAATGTAAAAGGGAAAATTTTAAATACATAAGAAAAGATTTTGAAAGAAACAAAGAATCATTATGAAAGGTTGTATAACTTAAGAGAAACCAGTGATATTTTTTTAACTAGTCTACTTGCAGCAAAATCAAGATATTCAAAAACGTACTGAACAAGACAAACAAAAATTGAAGGTGTTTTAGCTTATGAAGAAATGTTGAATTCTTTAAAGCGTATGTCAAATGGTACAAGTCCCGGTAACGATGGATTTTCCACAGAATTTTTCAAATTTTTCTGGTCTGATATTGATATATTTTTTGCCAGGTCAATGAATTATGCTTATTCAGTTGGTGACTTATCAGTAACACAGAAACAAGGGGTAATAACTTGTATTCCAAAAGGAAATAAGGATAAGCTATTAATTAAAAATTGGCGACCAATATCTCTTCTAAATGTAGCATATAAAATAGCTTCCTCATCAATTGCATCTCGTTTAAAAAATGCGTTGGATGAAATCAAAAACCATGATCAAACTAGTTTTCTTCCTGGTAGATTAATGGCGTCAAATGTTGAATGTTATATGACAACTTATTTCACTCTGAAAAATGTAATATTCCAGAATTGTTATTATTAATTAATTTTGCCGCTGCGTTTGATACTGTTTCTTGGAAATTTATGCATCATGTACTATATTTTTTTAAATTTTGGTCCCTCTTTTAGAAGTTGGATCAAGTTATTCTATACTAATACAGAATCATGTGTCATGATAAATGGCCACATGTCAGACTGGTTCAAACTTCAAAGGGGTTTTCGTCAAGGTGATGCCCTATCGCCATACCTGTTCATCGTTTGTGCAGAGGTACTGTCAATATTAATAAGAAAAAACAAAGATATCAAAGGTGTTATAATTAATGAGAAAGAGTATAAGATTTCACAGTATGCTGATGATACTATGTATATTTTAAAGATCCTGTAACACAATTTTTTCATGGTTTTATTTCATAAATATGATGCTCAAATTAAAATTTTTGTCAATATTGTAAGTTCTAATAAGCATTATTTATAAAGATATTACCCAATTTGACATTTCATGTAAATAAAGGGAGGTAATTAGAAATTTATTTTCTATAAATTCTAAGTCAAATTTTCCAATAAGAAATGAATGCATGTAATTTATTGATTAAATATAATATGCACAAATAATTGCAGTACACATTTTACATTTCTTCGATGATTGCAAATTGTTTTATTTGCATAATTACAAACATATATAACTTTTTGCAAGTGTGGTAAACACACAGTTACAATATTAATCACAAAACATACAGGATCTTTACAGCCAAATCATTAAAGAATACCATGGAAGTTTTAAAATTCTATGCAGAGATTTCAGGCCTTAACATTAATATGGGAAAAACCATAGTAGTCTGGTTTGGCTCCTACAGAAATAGCTAAGTAGTTCTTTGTCCTGATTATAATCTAGATTGGAACACTGAAGTTTTTACAGTATAAGGTATTAAATTCTCAACAGATCATAATGACAATAAATATAGTCAGTTGGTAGAAAGTACTTTGCCTTGTATACATAATATTTTTAAGTATGGAACTGATTTCATAAAAACAAAACTAAGTTGTGATTTTTTTTAAAAACCCTTTTTTTGGAAAGATAAAATAAAATTATAAAGTTTTTTCTTTAAAGGGTTTAGCCAAAACAAAAAAAGATCTTTTAACTCTTTTAAAAATTTATGGAAAACCCGGGCAAAAAAATTTTAAAAATTTTTTGTTTTTCATCAAACCCAAAGAGGGAAATTAAGGGAGGAATTCTTATTTTTAGGTGAAAAAATTTCGTCAGACGGGTTTGATTTTTATTAAATTCAAAAAAAAATTTTTTAAAAAAATTAACAAAAAGAACCCAAAAACTTTCTAGAATATGGGGGGGTTATTAAAAGCACGGGAAATGAGTTTTTAAAAAGGGGAAATTCTTTGCCAAGAATTTTCCCTTTAAGGGAAAATTTTAAATAATGTAAAATTTTCTTAAAAAACCTAGGCAAAAATTTTTCTTTAAAAAAAGGGTTTGGCCAAAAAGATTTTTTAAAACCCTATAAATTGGAGCCGGACAATATCCTAACACTCTTTTAAAATGGAAAAATGAAATAACAGAGGCTGTTTAACCATATAAATTTACAAAGGATTCAAAATTAATCTGGTTCCAGTTTAGACTGAACCACAGAATACTTGCCACAAATTATTTGTTGAAAAAAATGAACATTGTAAATAACGATATATGCCATTTTTGTAAATCTGAGAGAGAAACTCTTATTCATCTTTTCCATGATTGTGACATTGTCAAAAACCTTTGGAGAATATTACAAAATTATGTCAAAGATAAATGTAATATTACGTGTGATGATTGGAATGTTACTGACATTCTTTTTTGGTAATACAAAATATGACAAAGTCATAAATGGTCTGATTTTAAATAGAAAAAATTACATTTACTATTGTAGAGTTAAACAAATAAGGCCTTCTATTGCTAATTTTAAAACTCATATATATGCCAGATATACAGTTGAAAAATACATAGCTTAACAGAATCAAACATATGAATTGTTTCAGAAATCATGGCAGAAATACAAAAGCCTAGCAAACTTTGAATAGTGTTTGTGTATTCTGTGTATTAATGAAGGTTTAAGTCATGTATTATAATTCTACAACTTTGCACTTCACTGCTGCGGCACCAGGAGACACCATCAAAAATCTAGAATTCCCTATTATTTGAAATTTGAATCTGAGATAGAAATCCTTCTAGTAGATTTCACCGAACCTTTTTTTATTTTCTTCATTTTTTATATCCTTTTTCTTTGAAAAGCATATTTATCCCATAGGTACAAAATCTGAATATTTAATTTTTAAGAAAACAAAGAAAAAGGTTTTTAAAAGAAGATTTTCTTTTTTAAAAACCCTTTTTTTCTGTTAATTTTCCACTGTAGTGTTTTTGTAAAAAGGATTTTTAAACTTTTTTCCTTTTTTGGTTTAATTTAGTTTTTAATTTTGTTTGGTTGTTTTAAAACTGTTTAAAAAATTGCTAAAAATTAAACTTTTTATTTGACAAAAGAATTTTTTTGTTTCCAATTGGGTTTTTTTAAAAATAAAAATTTTTTTTAAATTTTGGGCGAAAATAAATTTTTTTTAAAAAAAATTTTTAACAAAAAAAAAAATTTTAAAAAAAATTTGTCTCATGACAAAAAAACCCAAAAGGCTTTTCTTTAAACCCGAAAAACCCAAATTATGAAAGGGGATACCCAAAAGGGGAAAACTCATACGTTTTCTGAAAAATGGACAAAATAATTCCCAAAAAGAAAAAGTTTCCCCCTACCTTGAACGAGTTAAATGCACTAAAAAACTAAAAAATGGTTTTGAAATATGACAGTTGCCGAATTTAAAACTGTGCCCAGTAATTTAAGCTGATTTTTTCTCAATTCAATTCAAATTTTTATTCGGCACAAACATATAAATGACCATCGCCAATATAACATATATAAAATGGCGGTACAAATACAAAGAGAAAAACATAGTCATATTTATTAACTCTGTCAAATTCTGTCGATAATAGCAAAACAAAGATGATCCATAACATATATTTCAATATATATATACTAGTTTACGACAATTCGCAACCGTTCGTCGGCCATGCATTGCGAAGCGATTCACAAGTGTCATCGATACAAGTGTAGAAATGGAAAATGTTGAAAATACCTAAAGAGGACTAAGTTGAAACCCTTACAAATTGGATTAAGAATTAGAAATGTTATATTTCCGTAGGAGATAATCTCAAAGGGTTAAAATAAAAAAAATGTAATAAAATATTTTTGTTTTTTTACCATATTGCATCACATATTGACCCACCCTCGTTTATGTTATCTTAAATAATACGTACGTGAGAAGAAGCATGGCTCCCACGATATCACAGTGTTATTCACATTGCAACCAAATATTCCCGAGTCAGAGGGGTCTTCACACAAATCAGAATTTATGTTAAACAAATCCCTGTCTTTATCAACTATCAAATGGTTATTTTCTGTTAAATTACTCCATCTTTGACAGGCCTTTCCAGAGTATGAGTAATTGATTTTAATTTTGTTTTTCTTTGACAACGAGTTGCACATTCCTTGGATAAAAACGTTTACTGTAGAAGAAAGAAAAAAGTTGCATTTATATCAAATTTCTCAAAGAAAAGTAGTCTGGACAAGTTTCCGTGTAGCTGGCAACACACAAATCATTAACAGACCAAAACGTCCTTTTTATTCAAGGACCGTTACCCTACCAAACATTATTCAAGCAGTATGAATGTGAGTATATATGTATTATGAGAACTTGAGCATATTTCCTTTATAAGAATGCGTCATTTTTTTTTCGTACCTATTTGTTTTACCAGAGTCATGTAATTCCTTATACTAGAATGCGTGCATTATTTGTTTTACTAGAATTCGTACATAATTCTTTTACGCATATATTTATTATTTCTGTTTCTAGAATGCATGCAAATTAATTTTACCAGAATCTTAGTAAAATGTGTGACCATTTACTTAACAAAAATGCATATATTTTTTTGTAATGAAGACATAGGTCTTTTTAATTTCACAGTTTGCGAACACATTCATATAAGTCAAATGTGTTTTTATTTCTTTCTGAATGTCTGCATATCTTTTCCACTTTTTTCGACTAGCATTAAAAAACATTATAGAAAGATAAAGAAAAAGGAAACAATTGTGCCGGACTATCAACATAAAAGATATTACGTTTTCTTTTCTTTTCATTTTCTTCTTCAGTCTGGCAGATGAAATAGTCTGCAAGATTAGTTGTACAATCTCCTGTCTCCCATGTTCTGTCCATATTGAATGACCGGAAGTTTGTCTGAGTGCAGTCTCCAACTGATGGCTGACCAACTGCCCTGAAATGTTTTGGAAAGTTCTTAAAATGAATGAAACGGGGTATTATTTAAATGTCAATAAGTTAAACACCGACCGTCAAAACTTATCACTTTGAAATATAAAACTTAAACAAAATATGTATGAATAAAAGTAAATAAGATGAAATAAAATAACAATTTTTCTCTTTCCTTTAAAACATTTAACTAGGAATTGAGGTAACATTGCGGAATATCAGTCCAGTATAGCATTGTTAGGTGAGATTGACGGGTGACAAACTACATCGATACCAAATATGGCTGACCTGTCAGCGGTATGATGCGTTTTTCTAGTGGAAAGTATCATTTACGATGTTGTTGTACAAATACAAATACAAATACAAGACATTTATATAGCGCAAAAATGTATTAAATATTCGATTGCGCTGTACATTATTAAGACTATATACACATATGCTTGATCAAGACACTCCCAAACCCAGTCTCGATAGCACAGCCAATCCACAACTCTAGTTGAAAAACAGTCCAAACAAGTATGTTTTAAGTTTGGCCTTAAACTTTCATTGGTAATGTCCTTCAGATAGTCTGGCAATGAATTCCACCATTTAGGTCCCACAATGGCCAATGATCTATCAGCAAGTTTTGAATTTTTTGATGGTATATCAAACCGAATGTGGCTAGATGATGAGGATCTCAGTCTTTTCCTGTACTGACTCTGGCATTTAGTGAACAATTTACGAAGATACAATGGAGCGGTGCCATTTGCAACACGAAACACAGTCACAATAACTTTGTACATGATTATTGCTCGAATTGGAAGCCAGTGGAGTGATTTAAGAATTTCAGCACTGGATTGATAGTAAGCAGATCCAGTGACAATTCTAGCAGCATAATTCTGCACACGTTGTAATTTATCAAGTTGATAGGCTGGAATATCAACGAATAATCCATTGCAAAAGTCTAAATGTGAATGAATCAAACCGTGAACAAGGATTTCTGCAGATTTCTGAGTGAGATGTTTTCTGATTGCTTTCAAATTTCTTAACTGCATGTGTGCAATCTGACACTTCTTTAGAATATGGATGTCAAAACTTAAAGTGCTGGTCATCTGTACTCCAAGGTCTCGAACATTGTCAACACAGTTGACTTCGACCCCACCAACATTGACACTGGAAATGTTCAATTTCTTCAGCTGATGTCTTGTACCATAAATGATGATTTCTGTTTTGCTATTATTCATTTTTAACTTAAATCTAGTCATCCATAACACAATATCATTAAGACATTCAGTTAGTTTTTGGCGAACGATTTCTTTGCTGTGATGGTCACAAGCTCTAATTTTAAATGCCACTTTATGATCGTCTGCATATCCATACAAATCCGCCGGATATTTCTGAACTATTTTGTTAAGGGCAGCTAGATAGAGAGTAAATATCACCAGCACAAGAACCCTGGGGAACCCCGAACCTCAGTGGTTCAGTATCCGATGAGGACTGTTCAATGACAACTTTCATATCTCTGTTGGTTAAATAAGATTCGATCCACTTTAATGGAATACCCTGTATGGCAAAGTCTTTCTGTAGGATTTCAAGTAATATTGGTATATCGATAGTATCGAAGGCGGCGCTTAAATCAATCATTACAACTATTGTCACATGGCGGCTTTCAGCTGTTTCTAGCAGATCACTGTACATTTTGATCATAGCAGACTCAACACTTTGAAATTTACGGTATGCACTTTTGTAAGATGGTAACAAATTGTTGGACTCAATGTGGCTTGAAATTTGGTTCATTGCAGCTTTTTCAAGAATTTTCGACAAGAATGACAGGTTTGATACAGGCCGATAGTTTTTCAATTCTAAGGGAAGGCCTTTCTTTTTCAAAAGGGGCTTAATAACAACGCTCTTCCACGTCTCTGGAAAAACACCAGAAGACAATGACCGATTCACGATTTCTGTCACAACAGGTGCAATCAAATGAAGATTTTCTTTCAGCTTTGGTGTTGGCATAACGTCCAACTCACATGTTGTTGACTTTGATTCACTCACAAGTTTGATTATGTCTTTTTCATTTAGAGGTATAAATTTGTTCATGATATTTTCACTTGATGGTACATCAGATGCCATAATACTATCAATCACTGAAAATGATGTTTCTGTGTTTATGTTATCCAGATCATCACGAAGTTTAAGGATTTTGTCACTAAAGTAACGCAAGAAATCGTTTGCAAGTGCCGTCTCACTGGTGTGAGGTGGAAGTGGGTTATCCTTCGAACGCCCAAGCAAGTCTGAAGTCACGCTATATAACTTCTTCACATTCCCTTCAGCCTCTCCAATTCTACTCTGATAGAACCCATCCTGTGCTGATGCTATTGCCGCAGTATAGGAGTTTCTTACATTATTGTACACTATTTTTGTGAGATCTGACCTGTCCTTTAAGTATATTTTCTCTATTGATCTTTTGTACTGTTTTAATTGCTTAAGATATCCAGAGCACCATGGAAGTTTGGGTCTAACAGTAATTGATCTTTCTTTCAATGGAGCATGTTTACAAATTATATCAGATGCAGTCTTTGTGAAATCAGACACAAGTTCATTCACGGTAGATGATTTTTCTGCCAAACTCTTTAACTCTTCAAGATTGGCTTCTAACAAGTTCTTCAACACACATTTCCAGTTACGTGATATGATGTTTTTTTGTAACCAAAGGGGGGCAGAATTGTTGAATATTACAACTAACAAAACAGTGATCAGAGATGTAATAGTTAGACTGAAGATTGGTTACACTAGCAAGTTTGTCTTCCTTTTTTGTGAACATCAGGTCAATAATATGCCCACTAGAATGAGTTGGTATTCACATTGTTGGAATTGCTTGGTGTAGCAGTCTGATTGCATGTCCATATGAATATTGAAGTCCCCAAGAATTACCATGGACCTAGATTGAGATGAAACTTGTTCTAAATATTCAGTGAATTCAGTCATGAATGTAGATTGAGTGACCGGGTGTTTTGCACAATATGGCGGTCTATAAATGCCAACGATTCTAAGTATGAATGTTTGGATACATATTTGCCATTCAGCACATTCAAATGATTGATACGATTTGCTGGGTAGGCTTGACACTTTCAGGTTATCTCTGTATAGAAGGCCTATTCCTCCACCATTACGATCAGGCCTGGTTACATCATCAAAGCAGAACCCTTTCTGAGCCAGTTCACCCCTTACAACATCATCACCATCAGTCTGTAGCCAAGTTTCCGTTATTAAACAAAAGTCAATATTCTCTTCAAGGATATGCTGGAGAAGATCTGCCGATTTATTCCGTATAGATCTTGTATTAACTGTGGCAAGTTTCATTTTTCTCTGTCTATGGACATTTTGTATGTATGTGTGATCAAGTTGAATTTGAATTAAGTTTGCCAAATGAACACCACCATTATGTTTAATCCTTGGCTGGCCAGCTCGTTTACCTCTATATTTTAAAATACCATTATTTTTCAACAATTACAGGGATGGGTTCCTTTTGTGAGATGTGTTCGGAAATATGTATTGAAACAGGGCAGAAATATGCTGTCACTTTCAAAAATACAAAGAAATGTCTTGGTGACTGAAATTCGAGCCTGTTTTTCTTCTTCCGTTTCGAACCCACCGAGCGTTCAAATTCAATATTTTCAAAGATCAGTAAGCATGCGCTAACGGCTGGTTTTACTTTTCCCATTCTACCCAGACACTTCTCTCACAGTGTTACATATATCTCCTTCAATTACCTCTTTTGTTGCCTAACGTTATGCACTTTAAGTGTAAAATCACACAATTGAAAAAAATAAAAATCAAGGCTCCTCAATACAACGCTGTATTTGTTAGTGCATTTAAGTGTCTTGTATGTGTCTGATTGATTGCACACCGAACCTCATTGCATTTGTTCTTCTTCTTACGCTGTTATTTTCAATAAGTTGTTGTTTAAAAAGCCACAGTTCAAAAATGCGCCATATCAAAGAAATGACATGTTAAAATTTTAAATCTTCTTAAATAACTATCGTCGCGGTAAACAGACGATACAATTTAAGCACTTAACGTTTACCTGACAGAAATTTTGTTTTATTGAACACGCAGATGCGTGTATTTGTGTTGAGCAGTTTATGCACACACGGTACATAAGTAAAACAAAAACTCGAACTATTTAGGAGGCAAATATTAAAAATATTTAGAATAAACTTGAAATGTTTATTTGGCTATAAAATATATTTAGACCTTATCAAATAAAATAAATCAGATTTGCCTGCGATAACATGCATACATTAAAAGCCTTCTTTTCAAAGTGATTACAACTACACCAACCCGACGTCAAACCATAATATCACCACCTATATGTTAAACCGTTTAAATTGCTATATGCTTCTGTTCTAAAACGGTAAACATGCCAAACTAATAAAGAATAACTTCAACTATTTCTGAATATTCCACATTCAGAAATGGCATTCAAGCAATGAAAGCTGTGGTTGAAATTACCAACTAATAAATAGATGTCAAGATAATATAAAATCAAGTCTGTATAACATAAATAAGTACATAGATAAAATAACTAATCGATTATCATGTATGTTATGAAATTTTCATACATTGATGAGTAAAATATTGACTTCTATTAACTCAACTCATAAACCAATATTGGACAAGGCCTTGTCGAATATGATATATTTTGCAACTGTGCAGGAGTCCAATAGAATCATTATTGTTCTCAACCATGTCTAATTATCTCTTTTTGTAGACCACTGTAATTTAACTTTGTCACCCAATTGCAATAAAAATGATACGAATTATATTCTCTTAAGAAATGAATACGAGGTTAGATTGGGTGTGATATGGACGTTATATTAACGTTTTAGACTCTGAAAATATCAACAAAGCTAAATGGTGTGTGATACGGACTTTATATGGACCTTGTGTACACTGAAATTCAAGCAGAGGTTTAATTGATAAGATTTGACCAATAAGTTTTACTGGAACATCACGAGATGTAAATGCTGAAAATTCATTGGTTATATTCTATAAGTTGCAAAATAAAAAGAAATAGTACACGCTTATCGATTATATCATTTCCAATTATGCATATGTTTAAATGTTACTTACCATGCAGTTAAAGTGACTTCATGACTGTTTACCCAATAAAATCTAATATTTTTATCCGTACCAATGCTCCGCAATAACCCTAAAAACAAATATTTTATATTTATTAATTTATTAATTTTAGAATATATGCAATTGTATCAGATCAACATAATATCAGGGCATTTGTTTCCTAGAATATGAACAAATGTTATAATTGTTTAATTTATCAAAGCGCGTGACACCTTACCTTTTCTCTACCTGAAAGAAAATTTAAGATTTAACATATCAATTTTATACGTAATAAGTAGCTAATAAAGAAACGGTGTTATCTTTGAAGCTAAAAGGGCTTCATGGTTGTATCACAAAATCGCAGATTTTACATTTTGCTACTGTTTTAAGAACTTTAAGGTTCTTTTGAGTTCGAAAAACGTAGGATTATAACCAAACACGTTACAGGTAGTTTATCTTATTATGCGGAGAAAATATCTAGCTTGCTGACAGAAGGTTCTACTGAAATGGTCATAAATAGTGCGTAGATTTTATTCTTCCAAAGAGAAATGGCCGAAAAGACTAAAATGACTGAACATTATAGAAAACAATTAAAAAGAGCATTTATTATATCTAAGTGGTTGCTACCAATTTACGTTTGCATTTCTTGAATGAGCCACACAAAACATTATGATAACTCTTGAGGATAAAATTTTTGTTCTATATCTGTGACATGCTTACTAGTAGCATTTCCGTCATGAACTGACATATTTCGTGCTTTCTCGGTTTAAAGGACATACCAAAACATACTTGCAATTATAAAAAACTAATAATAAATTGACCTATTATACCGGTAAAAACAAGGTACCTATATTTTTACAGGTATAAAGGGTCAATTTAATTTCACTATTTGTTTTAATTATTTGTATATCATAAAGGGTTTATTTAGGATTTTTTTACGAAAAAAAAAAAGATTCACTTTTAAAGAGTAAGGTAGGGTAACTGGACTGCACCAGTGCCTATTTGTGCCATCATTGTTATGCATGCAAATTTGGACAAAAAAGAACAAGAAGTCTACTGATTATAACTGAACCGGAACATGCTGACAATAACAGTAAAATTATTTTTATTTGACAAAAAAATTATTTTTTTGTCAAAATCGATTTGAAATCTATTCTCTATTGTATGCAACTAATAACGAAAGTAATCAATCGTAAAAATACTAACATTGGCTCTTCCACACGAAGGAGATAAAAGTACCTATCTATTACACTAAGTGTGCACATTTCATTTTTCACTTTTTCGCAGAAAGAGTCATTCGTTTTGGCAGTTGCTTATTCCATTTAAATGGCAGCTTTATAGACAAGTAAATGCACTAAAAAACTTTGTTACGTGGTACCAATTAATATGCATGTATCAACTATGTTACACCTAAAATATATATGCCACTTGGATATACCGACAACACAGGATGCGCTACCTGTAGATCAGCACGTGGTAAGGTTGATGATATGCATGGGCTATTTTTAGATTAACGATCACCAAGTTTTAACTCCACGTTAGAATTGCGTTTAAATATAAGACACAGTAGATCTAAATATAACTCGATCGCAGACAAATGTGATAGAGCTTTGAAATTTTAACTTCTTCGCACTAATTCTCTGTATGATGTGGTCACGATCTTTTGGTTAGTAGGGCCTTGGAGACAGAATACTACGACAGTAGCCATTCTCTATTGTATAAAACTAATAAAGACAGAAGTCAATCATAAAAGAAACTAACTTTTGCGACTTGAAAACAAACTGAAACGGAAAATTTTCCTTTATTATTTACTTCTTCCTTCTATTGACGCTTTAAACCGATAAATCAAGTAAAAATAGAAATCATATTTATGGAAACAAACAGGGATTAGTAACAAAAATTAGCTTAGATTTCCGTAATATTACTTCGTCTGTTTTTTTTAGATTACCGATCACCAAATATTAACTCCACGTTAGAATTGCGTTTAAATATAAGACACAATAGATCTAAATATAACTCGATCGCAGACAAATGTTATAGAGCTTTGAAATTTTAACTTCTTCGCACTAATTCTCTGTATGATTCGGTCACGATCTTTTGGTTAGTAGGGCCATGGAGACAGAATACTACTACAGTAGCCATTCTCTATTGTATAAAACTAATAAAGACAAAAATCAATCATAAAAAACTAACTTTTGCGTCTTGAAAACGAATTGAAACGGAATATTTTCTTTATTATTTACTTCTTCCTTCTACTAACGCTTTAAACCGATAAATCAAGTAAAAATAGAAAACCTATTTATAGAAACAAACTGGGATTAGTAACAAAATTAGCTTAGATTTCCGTAATATTACTTCATCTGGTTCCGCAGTATGACGGAATCGCCCGAATTGTCACGATTGCAGCGGAAACCTAGACTGGTTTCCCGTTCCATCATGCACTAACAAATGTTAGCAGGAAACCACCTAACCGGAACAACTTTTCCAAAACAAATGGCTTGCGGCTGTGGCCGCAAGCCAAAATGAGTACTTATGAGAACATTTTAAACCTACACCGTAGTCTATGATATGGCTACATAAATACATTAACGTACAATTAAAATGACATCTTATTCTAACAGCATAACTTTGCTGTGAAAACATAACATTTGTTGACAATAATAGACAAAAATAAAATGTGTTAAAATAAAGCAAAACATAGCAAACTGAATTGCGTTGCTGCCTGCGGCTGAGTGTTCTGTTGAAACAAATTTACAACACACATTCAACACATGTGTCATGTTGCAGCAATTGTTTTAAAAATGGACGAAGCCGAATCCAAATGTAGAAATATTTGCTAGTGCCCTTACAACTTAAGGTTTCTTTCGACACAATTATAGGTATGAGCAACGTTTGTTAGTTTGTCTGGTTTTATGGCGCACCAAAAAGCAAAGGCCGATATAAGAAAGATGAAGTTAGCTAACTTTGTGTGTAAGAAACTTTAACACAACACTAGGAGTCCAAACCACCTCAGCTGTGGTGGCAAGACATGAATAGACTCCTATTATTCGGACACATTAAGTCGCTTTTGAGGGTTACACAGGGATAAAAGGTGGTGACTGCAATTCTAACGACACAACCATTTAAAGAAACTTCCAGCCACAAAGGTCTGGGCTAAATATCATTAGGTTTGAAATGGGTAGTAAATTAATATATTCACTAATTATTTCTCATTTAATACACATTTCTAGGTAAAGAATATTTTGTTTATTATGTTAGTTTAATTTTGGAATGTATTGGTACTCAATAAAATAGAAATAAACAGAATCACTAAAGAACGTCTTAAGCAACAAAATTGAAAATGTTGCAGGCTCGGTTTAATTGAGCCTGTTCAAAAGCCTTTTCAATCTAAAAAAATCAACATTATGTCCCTCATGCGTGTGATATGAATTTCAAAATCGATTCGCATATGTGCTTTGCGGTTAAAACTATTTTGATAAATTCAATTGTTATGAAAAACTGAAAAAGAAATGTGTTCATTATAAGAAAGAAAATAAATCATTGTTCAGCTTGAAACCCGATCTTTGTGAAAATTATAATTTCTTTACGTTTAACATGCTTTTGAATTACTTCAAAACTAAAAGTCCTTGCTTTAACACTCACCTATGTGTGCCTTGAAACTTTTATGTTTTGAATCATATATGTCATTTCTTTGATCGACGTATCTTTGTTCTCGAAGAAGGTAATTAATATACTGTAATTCTTTTTGTGATTGTATTGTTATAAGATGCTCATTCCGTTCCCAGCAGACAGATCTCGCCTCATACCAGGATAATGATGAATGAAATATAGTGTAGCACTTTCTGAATATCTTCGAACAAGCTGTAAATTTTAAAAAAATCATAATTTTTGATCCAGTTTTTTTTAAAAGTTAGAAAAATTTGAACGTTATTGACAACGTAATCAAAAATAGTTCTTATAATTTATTACTGTACCATGCGATAATTCGATGACAGTATAAATCGCACATATTACGACCCTTAATATTTTCCCCAGTAGCTTTATCATTAATGCATAAATGGTGTTTAACTTTCAAGCAAAAATGTGGTATTGTCTTGCTCTCTAATTCGAATTTGTTTTTAGCCATACATGTCAACAAAATATTACTATCATTTGAAGAATTCTTAGGAATAAATAAACACAATATGTTAGCTAGGACACGTTTCTGATAATCATATTTTCATTTATATTCATTTTCATAGAATAGAATTGGTCTATAGATACTTGCAATGATAATATTTAATATCAGTTCTAAAACACAGGAGTGGAGCTTATATCACTAACTTTAGAGAAGTATTTCTTTATAAATGATCGGCTTTTTGCTAAAGGCACAATACACCTCCGAAACAAATACATTTTGCTTTCTTTAAAAAGGCATTTGTTAGTCTTATTTAATAAAACTTATGTTAGATGCTTATCACGTGTTAATAGTAGCACCGAATGTGAAATACTCCTGTCAATTTAATAGAAAAAAGGAAATCAGAGTAGTAATTTAAGCTTCCGTACAAAATACTAAATCACTATAATTTGTCTTATTGCCATATGGCAACAAAAACAAAACAAAACAAAAAAAGAATCAGATTGTTGGAAAAAATGGTGTTTTTTAAAACCTTAAACAGGACACCAAAATAATTTTTTTTGGAGAAATGAAAATAACAACATATATGAGGCATAATGGGCCTTGAATGCTATACAGACAAAATTTAAGTATTATTGTGATCATGAACAATGTAAAGACAATTACGTAATAAACTTGATAACTTTCATAACGTGGAGGTAAATTCCTTCATATGAGTGCTCGTATTCAGATTAATGAATAATGACAATTGTTTACCTTGTGTAGCCCTCATCAGTCGTGGCAGAAAAAAGGCATCTAAAAAGAAGCACCTTTTGAATCAGCATTGTATTAAATAATAATTTTAAAAACATACTTTATGGATTTTTACAGAAATCATCGTCCTTTTTGTGCTGACAAAAATGTAGCTTTTCTATTTGGTTATAAACTATTCAGTGTACACCCTTTATTTGTATTGCAGCAAAAAGAAAAAGAACATGTGTTTTGAAAAGTCACGTTCACATGAAAGAAAACAACAACAACAAACAATGTAGCATCAAGGCAATCCAATACCATAGAGATAATAGGAATACCTAAAGAAAGTCCAAAACTGCAGGCTCGGTACTGGCACGTGCAAACTACTTTCCACGCCCCTAGCATAAAGGCAGGCAACATAACCTAAAGGGGATTCAACATTCAAGTTTGAATATTGGAACCACCCAAATAGAAAAAAGCCAAACAGTTGAAACTAAGAATAATATAACAAACGCAACAATAATGTTAAAACTTATACTTTATGACTGTGGTCGAAATGTTTGTAAATGTGATAATGCGCCCAAACGTGTTTAATGGTCATGCGCTAAATAAGAAGGAAAGAAAAATAATAAAAGTCATAAAAACAACAACAATAACAACAACAAAATATCTTTTTTGTAAAACATCACATAATTTTCAATAGCATTTTCTTGATAAAATTCGATACAACATACAATATAATACATGTCCATTTTCAACTCATTTCTGGAAGATGAAAAAGAGGCATCACATTTTTTTGTTACAATTTCATTTTATGGTATATGTTTTAATGTTTTATAATTCAAATTAACTGGTTATTTTAATTACATTTTCTAATACCTGAATGTTTCTACCTTATCTTTTATAAGTTCTTAGAATTTGCGGCAAACGGATTTAGCAACTACACACATTCTAGCGACAGAGATGTTTCTGAGCAAATTTTACGCTTTATTTTACTATAAGACCATACGCCGCTTTTCATTGACAGTTTAATGATAACTGCTGTATGTATAAATGTTGAATTCTGCTGTAGGGGGGGGGGGTGTGGACGGTGATTTGCACTTGACAGTACCGTCCATGGTCAGGCTCAATCAAACCGAGCCTGCAACATTTTCAATTTTGTCGTTTGGACTTTCTTTAGGGATTCCTATTTTCGATTTTAACCAAATCTCTAAATTATGTTTTAATAATGGGCAGTGAAAACAGTTCCGAAACATTAAACAGAATTCACTTTTAATGTCATACATAAAAACGATGGCTTTGCATGTACTTAAATTTTGATTTTAATTAGGTAGACTTTGTTCAAGCTAGAACAAACAATGTTCATAATATGACCTTTCAAATATGCTGTATAGGTATGTCTGATCACTGGTCTGATATGTTCACAAATCGCAATTTTTGTACCAGGTATGGCGGCGATGGTACACTTTATTTGATAAAGTGCCCAAATTCTGTAATGGTATCTACACTTTACTTCCCTTTCCTTATTTTGTACTTAATATTTCAATATAATGTCTTAGGGTGAAAGGTTTTGGGGTATCTGGAGTGTGAAGTGTCTTGGGGTAAATTGTCTGTAATCACCGGCGATGTGTCCCAATAATTGCTTTGCAGCTCTCCAATCATTCTTTTTGCTTAGTGACATTTTAAGTGTTATGATTATAAATATATCATTCAAAATCGATTTTTTATAATTTAAATCACTTATTGAAACTGACATATGTAACGACATTTTCTTATCATTTTTTAATATATGTACCTTGGAATTAGTAACAAAATGTGTTATTCCGTGTACTGTTAATTGTTGTTGTTGAAATCTAGCTTCGACTTTCCTTTTGAATTCTATTTATCAAAGTGCAACACAACGTCGACTTGTAAAGTGAGTGTCTACTTTTATTTGATTATGTATTTCACAGTGTTTATGTAAAAAGGGACTTGCCGTTCAAAATACATTTATTACTCTTGTCGAAATCATGAGGCAATTCAGTTGAAATATGAAGTAAATTAAATCATAGCTTCAACTAATAAATTCGAAAAAAAAAATCAACATTTTTACTTAAAAAAATGATAGACCATGTTAATAGTAAATTTGAAATTATAGCGTATAAAACTCATGCATTTCTTTGATGCTAAAAACCTGTACACACTTTGATAAAATGTTTAAATTGAACTTACCAGTCAAATGTATGAAATATCAAAACTTAGTTTCTCAAGCCTATATAATAGTATCTAGGGATACATGTACAAAATTATAATAAGTAAAACTTTATAAAACGATTGATATATTTTGGCTTGAGCAATATTTATGTATTTCGACTTTACATAAATGTATTTAAAAGAAGTACTCACATTTATAAAAGGAAGTTTCTGTATGCGTCCATTTTTCTAACGTGAAACTTTGTGTTCTGTATTGCAGCCTTAAACCTTCCCGTCCTAAAAACATCTTTTTTGGGGCATCATATTTTCTAAACACAATATGGATATGATTTTCCTCCGAGTAGATGATCTTCGAAGGTTTATTTGCGTTGCAGTATTCTTTTTCACCACTTCTTTCAATTATTGCGAATTTTGAGCGAATTTCAGATATTTCTAGGAAGAATTCAAAGAACAAGTGACAAGTGAAAAAAGGCTTTTTTTGTTATTTCAGACTGAAATAGGAAACTGAACATAGTCACCCAAATGATAAGATTACTGTGTTAAGGAATTAAGGATATTTCTTTTGCACTAAAGTAACGTTTTAAAACAGACAATAGCTACTTGCTGTTGTTGAATTGTTACACTTGTTGAATTGTTACAGTATAATTATGCATTATGCTTTCAACGGATGTCCATGAAAAAACAGACTCTTAAAAAATAAATACAATATTTCACAAAAAAATAAATTAACTAAATGAAACTGAAAATGTAGTATTCCATTATTTAATAGCAAGAAAGGTTCTTTTTTATGCATGTCACCTTAAATGGTTTCTGTTATTTTATTATGCAGCATTTTTTGTTGTTTTATTTTGGTGTTTTTGTTGTTGTTGTTGTTGTTGTTGTTGTTGTTTGTGCGTGGGTGTTAACCAATTTTGAATCTGTATTATGCTCTTTTAAAATTTGATTTAAAAAGTGTTAAAATTTCATGCAAATTATAAATAATTTAAACGTTACTTACCTTTTGGACAAACAATATAAAAGTCTATAAATTCAATCTGGATTCTGTGATGATTGCGAGCTTGAATTTTAAATCTTTCTTCAAAATTTTCAAATGGTATATTTAAGATCGACATTGCTAGAGTTCATGACCTGAATCAATTCATAAATTTCTCTGAAAATCATGACCTTTAGACTTAATCCGAGCTATTGAATATTTTCGATAAAATTGCATAACATGTATTAGACATTCTAATGTTTCCTTGCTCACAATTTTTTTTAAAAATTTTACTATATGTACATAACCAATGACCCTGGAGCGGGGCCAATTTTGACCCAGGGGTTATAATTTGAGAAAACTTGGTAGAGGTCCACTACACAATGTTTCATGCCAAATATTTTACCTCTAGCATTTTTAATTCTGTGAAGATTTTTGAAGAATTTACTATATACATATATGGCAAACCTATGACTCCGCGGCCTGGCCAGTTTTGACACTAGAGGCAACATTTGAACAATTTGGTAGAGGACCCTTAAATAAAATTATATACTAAATATCAAAGTTCTAAGCCTTTTACATTCAGACAAGAAGTTTATAAAGTTTTTACTATATGTACTTAGTTAAAATTAATGACCAATCTTGACCCAGGTGCTATAATTTGCACAAAATTGGTAGAAGTCTACTACACAATGATTCCTGCCAAATATCTAACCTCTAGCCTTTGTCAATTCAGAGAAGAAGATTTTTTAAGATTTTACTATATGAATATACTGAAAATCAATGGCGGGGCCAATTTTGACTCAGGGGCTATAATTTGAACAACTTTGGTAGATATTCACAACATAATGTTTCATGTCAAATATTTAACCTTTAGCCTTTGTCAATTCAGAGAAGAAGATTTTTGAAGAAATTACTATATACATATATGGAAAACTTATGACCCCAAGGGGGCGGGCCAGTTTTGACACTAGAGACAAAATTTGAACAACTTTGGTAGAGGATCTATAGATTATATCATATACCAAGTATCAAAGCTCAAAGTCTTGAACCTTAAGAAAAGAAGACCTTTTAAGATTTTGCGATATGTACATAGTGAAAATCAGTGACACCCTATGGAGGAACCAATCTTGACCCAAAGGCTATAATTTGAACAATCGTGGTAGAGGTCCACTACAGAATGTTTCATGCCAAATATCTAACCTCTAGCCTTTGTCAATTCAGAGAAGAAGATTTTTTAAGATTTTACTAAATGAATATACTGAAAATCAATGGCGGGGCCAATTTTGACTCAGGGGCTATAATTTGAACAACTTTGGTAGATATTCACAACATAATGTTTCATGCGAAATATCTAACCTCTAGCCTTTGTCAATTCAGAGAAGAAGATTTTTTACATACATAGAAAATCTCTGACCCCCGGGGCGGGGCCAATTTTGACACTAGAGGCACAATTTGAACAACTTTGGTAGAATACCCAAAGATGATATCATATTCCAAATATCAAAGCTCTAAGCCTTGTAGCTTTATACAAGAAGATTGTTTAAGTGTTTACTACATATACATAGTGAAAATCAATGAGCCCTAATTTTGACTCCAGGGCTATAATTTGAACAATCTTGGAAGAGGTCTACCAGACAATGCCTTATGCAAATTATCTAAGCCTTAGGCCGCGTGGATGTTTAAAATTTATTCTTATAAATTCTTTTAGTTGCCATGGCAACCAGATTTCTGCATGGAATCAAATTCTCAAGGAACATACACTTTCTGAATCCGGAACAATATAAATGACGGGTTCATTTACTTGTCATGTTACATTTATGAGTTTTATGAGATTTTCTTGCTTAACGGTTGTCAATCTTTACAAAAGAAATATATCAGTACCAAAAGTGAAATTTGTATCTTACCCAAAATACACGTGTCAGTTGTTAAATCTGTGTTATTTTGTTCTGCTGTTATTTCTGTATCCATAGTTCCCGACTTGGCATTGTTCTCACTATCATTTAAGCCAAACTCATTATCTATTAATAAATTATTATTTTTGTTACTCTCAGCATGACCTGATGAAGCATAATACTGATCATCATCATCATCATCATCATCATCATCATCATCATCATCATCATCTGTGTAGTCACCTTCAATATTAATGTTTGAATCGGTGAAATTGTCGTAATTATTATCTTTTTGAGAATCTTGAACACCAGCTATCCCTTCAATGCGTGTAATATTGTCCTCGAGGACACATTCTTGAGACAATGATATTCCTGTAAAAATAAAATGAACAGTGACGATTGTGCACAAAAAAACCCTATGGTTCATACCTTTTCAATTATGCTTGCCAATTATAGCATCATACCATAAGCCACTGTCGCAGTAGCAATAACAAACTTGTTGAAAATGAATAAATAAATTTTTAATTATCTACTACACAAACTTTTCAATCTTCAACGTTTCGAGGGGTTAAACCCCTCTTTTTCAAGGTGTTTCTGTTTATTTTTATAAATCACTTATTTATATTCTTATCTTACACTATGTTATGTATACAGGAAATGACGTCGTTGACGTCAACAATAAAAATACGCAAAAATGATGATGACGTTTTCCGTCAAACCGTTGTTCCCCTTACTCACTGTTAGTTAGAATATTATATTCATAGCAAGTAATGTGAAACTTATTTCATTGTATTTGACTTAGAATACATTAATAATAGAAAAATAATAAAAATAATAGAATAATTATGATGATAATAATAATTATTATTATATCATTAATACTAAACCATTTTATAGTAATAATATTAATAATAGCAAATAATAATAATAATAATAATAATAATAATAATAATAATAATAATAATAATAAAAATAAATAATAATAACAACAATAATATATCTACCTGTTAGTTTACATCCATGGATTTCGAATCGTAGACATGATTGATCTATCCCAAGACTTCCATTTAATCGTAGCTTTATAAAACGAGCTGTAACTGCGTTTTGAAGAAAGAATGACTGGTGAAGTTCAGACGTAAAATTTTCGACATCAATTGTAAACTGTTAAAGGTAATAACTTTAAAATTAATATACTAAGGAAAACCATCACTGACAGAAACCTATAGTGAACGTTAATTACTAAATATCATAACGATAATGATGATGCAATTACTATGATTTCAGAGATAATCTAAGACTTTTGTTATTTACAACACTTATAGAATGGTTCGACATACTTATGTAAATGTATAAATACGAGAAACAATTGACAACAAGATTTAGCAATTGAAGTTTATTTATCAAACCAAGAATATCATGACACCAATGACTAACAGTGGAAATATTTTAAATATCTTATTAAGAGTTGCAATCTTATTATATTTGTTGCTATTATATACAAACGTTAAACTGTTTTGTACCATTCTTTCTTATAGTCTGCTTGCCTACTATGATACAATTTTGCATGAACTATTTCCGAACTTTTTGCCAAACTAAAATACCTTCAAGTCAGACACGCTAAAATTGTCCGTCTGATTTCCAAATAAGAGATGAACAGACTCCCAATTGGCATTTGACATTAGGAATAAAGTAACACCTTCAATTTTCGTTTTTGATCTCAAATCAACCTAAAATTACAGATATATATATATACAATGTTCTAACCATGTTTTTAGCAATACATTATTGTAAAGTTTTACCATTTAATGTTTAAAATAAATTATCGACTTGATGTAAAAAAATTAATTTAATGTTATTTTGTCTTCAAATGTTAAAACCTGCAATTTCATTCACTGCTTAACTTGAGGATAATTAATCCCACTTGTAGCTTTGCTGATCTAAGGAATGATGGCGGCATGATTTCAATGCAAAACATAAATATGTAAACGCATGCTTATGACTATTATACTGCGATACACAATTTAATTTATAAATCTACGCATTTTTGTTTCTTCTGCGTATAATCTCAAGCTTGGATGTAACGAAAGGAACTATTTTGAAAATACATTAATCATTATGTTTATTAATTGAACATAATTCTCAAACCATAATCCAAGTGTTTGCATCCATCGTTTTGTCAATGCACCAACCAGTAGAGGAAGGCCTTGCTTTGAATGGTGGGTTGCGTTTTGAGGATGGTGAGGCAAAAATCTGATCATTTTGAATGCTCCCATCACTCATTCCAAGATCTTCGTTACACATTTCTCCATCCACTGTCAATATGAAAATTGCATCTAAGTATTAAATCCAATTTACATTATCAAATTATTATGTTTTGTGCTTGTAAATGAAGAGCGCATTCTCCGCCACGAAGTTATCAAAATTTGAGTCAATGCATGTATAATATATGATGATCAATAATTTTAACTGAGAATCGATTAGTATATGGCTTCAAACGGTCGACACACCTTTATTTTGAGACACCTTAATCTAACTTATCCTTTCCTGAGTTCCAAACTTTTGAAGTAATGTATTGGCCTATGTATGTAAATACTCTATCATTTTAAAATAATTAAGTTCTGTGTTTGTAAATGAAGGACGCATTGTCCGCCAAGTATTTATAAAACAAAATGATACATGTATAATAAACGAACGTCAATAAACATAACTGTGAATCGATTATCTTAAACCAGTTGACACACCATTTATTTTGACAAACCGTATCCATTTCCGAGTTGCTCCATGCTTGAACTCACATTATGACGTACGTATGTAAGTATGCCACGTGTCATTATAAAACAATAATAAAGACAATAGGAAGAACTATTATCATATATTAACATTGTCTGTTTGCAGAAGGAAGGAAGGAGAACGGTTATGTATGCAATCAAGGAACACAATTTGCAGTGTTCTGTAAATTGCAGATACAACATTCTGGAACGCGAAAAAAGTGGTTTAGATTTAAAGGGTGATTAAATAATAACTTGAGACTTGTTTGTTTTCGTCCAAATCAGTAGAAGATTTGCATACTATACAATTTATTTACGAGATTGGAAATTTAGAAGCGCGCGATGGATACCCTATACCGTCAGTTATGATAATCATTTTATTTCAGTATAATTTGCGATTAAGAAATCAAAATTGCATTAAACAATGAAAAGTGCTTTCTTTGCCTGATGCATCTTTCTTAATCCTAGAATACACAAATAGAAATTACAAACTGTTGTTTTGATGTAATATGTTTTATACTATTAATTAACGACTATACTAAAATTAATAATACTATATTCAACTTTATTAGGAAAGTTTTATGACAAAAGACTACTTACAAGATTCAATATCATATGTGTATATATCGAATATTTTTTTGTGTAACCATTCTTTTGGATTTTCAAAGCACAAGGCAATATAACGAGCACGGAACTGACTGAAATAAATTGGTACATTTGATATAATTATATAATACAATCATTTCATGCTTGTTGATATGGCTAGTGAATATGCAACATACATATGCGTACAAAAAGAATACGTAGAAACAACTAGCGTGACGCTTTGTTGTAATGAAAATGTATTTATGGAATAAACCATATTTAATTTAAAAAAAATTGATTTTAGTCGTCAGAACATTTTTAACTTATCACTGTAGATTATTTCATTCATAACCTTAATTGGCTTTTTAATCGTGTTGGTATTTGTATCTTTTCCATTATTCTGTTTTGTTTTGTGATCAAAATATCAAAAAAAACTTAAATTGATTGATGTGTTTAACTGCAGTCTTCAAAAGCTCTGACATGATTGTGACCGGCTATTTAAATGATGTCACACTGTTATCATTAATATCATATAGATACATGTATAAAAAATATTTTCTACAGCTGAAGCTCGTTTAAACAAAGTACGTCAATAATGAAGTCATCCCACTATTTTTGCCAGTACACTGAGTATACTTAATTAGGCCTGTATGTAAAAAATCTGAATTTTGGCGTACTTAGTTAGACATGTATGTAAAAAATCTAAACTTTGAGATCAGGATAAATTTTAGATACAGTCGATGTTAAGATGCTTTGATAATTAAATACAGCTATCGCCGATGATATTTCTTTTTGTGTTACGAGCAAAATGTGATTTTTCTTTACATATATAGGTACCTGGACAGCACATTCTTTCCCGGAACATTTGTTTAAATAATCAATATATATATATCAAGTAAGATAAAAATTGTTCGACGTCGTTTATTTATAAATATTAAAAACATATATCTGATAGTAAGTATGTAATATAGTACCTGAAAAACCAAAGCACCTGCCGTGTAAAACCCAGAAATGTATCATAAATGCACTTCAATCTTTTGTCAAATAGAAATTCCATTCTTTTCTCGTCGTAGAAGCAATCCGACACATTCGTCTGTAAAGAAATACTACTTTGGATAAAAGATCTTGTATGTTGTAAACAAAGATGTAACATACAGTCCAGTTAAGTTTTAAATATGTATATTATAATAATCTAAAACATTCAAAACATGCAAAAACATGTAAGATATGTATAGCAAATTATTATATAGAGGATATTTGTTTGTTTGTGTGTAAGATGAAATTTTATTTCATCGAGTGGTCTTTAAAAGCAGTATTCTCACGAATGGCGTAGCCACGAGTGAGAATACTGTTTTTAAAGTTCACGAGATGAAATAAAATTACATCTTACACAACAAACAGACACATTTTCTTTTTATTTTATGCTTAAAAACAAGTTAAAACGAAATTTCCATAATTTTAACGTTAATATTAAAATCTGTTTCCCCCATTGAGAGCCCCATTTAGACGGAATTTCTCATTAAAAACAAGAAGTCTTGAGCTGAAAAATAAGTCCGCCAATCAAGGTTAAATGACGGTGATATTTATTCATTTTATTAAAAAATATGAATGATCGCTTGTTTTTATAATAAAAACAAACAATTCTTGAAGGAGAAAAAGTCCAACCATCCATCCATATTTCTGTTACTTACTGCGAATTTATATTAGACCTGGCTTTGTAAAATGTAAGCGGCAGCCATTTTTTAAAGTTGTGTATTTCATGGGAGGAAAATAATTGTGTAAGATTCAGAGGGATATAATTTGGATTTGATGGTCATACACCTTTTTGAAAGAAAGAAAACTTATTTGAGGATTGTAACAGACAAAAAATAAGTGTTGACAGAAGTGAAAACATTCAGAAAGGGAGATAGGAAAATGGAAAACTTGGAAGCTTGAAAAGGAACGCTGGTTTGTTTTACTTATTCTACGAGTGATGGCTGTCAATGCTTTTCAATTTTTCATAAAGCATACGGCAGTTATTGCTCGTAGGATACTTTAATATGCCCAAATGTCATCAAGGGGAAGGAATGTATTTTTCAGACTGCAAAAACGAAACAAAAAAATTTAGAGACGAAATTTTGTGATTGGAATTTGAATGAATAGAAGTAAGTTTTCTCTCTTTATTACTTTTGACATTTAAGTCATTTATCTATTTCAGCTTTGCTATTTCTTTTAACAGCCTGACATTGTCAGAATTGTCAGTACAAATAAAATTGAGGTACCACATGGGGAAAATCTTAAAAAAGTAGTTTCGTCATTGAAAAAAGTGAAATTATATTTTGATAATTTTCACTGTGAAATTATCAAATATAATTTTCACGGATAAATCAGTAATCCACTGGAAAGCATAAAATAAATGCATTATAATTAAACGTTAAATTCATTGCATTCATTTTATTATTGAATAAAACTGAATTAGACTTGATCGAAAATTAATTTCTAAAACATCCCTTTATTTACACGAAATATTTAATTCGGTAATAGCTTTACAAAAAATGCTTTTTGAAACTTACAATATTGATAAATCTTCATTTGAGATCAGATATATGATGTAAAATCATAAATAAATTTGCGTTACAATCTTTAATATTTACCTTTAACTTATAAAAATTTAATATTTAGAACATATTTTATGAATTTGCACCCCACACATTAATTTTATTTTTGTAGACAGAGAAAACATTTGGACACTTTATCTAAGTGACATGTTTATGACCAAATGAGTGAATGATAGATAATTTAATAGTATTTTATTGTTTTGTTGCAATAAAATCTTTCAATGTACTGACGTATTTTATCCTTTAGGTTAGACCTTAACATTGTTTGTGCTATTACAAAGACACACAAAAATATTTATCTGATAAGATTTGATTATTGAACTTTAAAGATCGCTTTAAAATATATTTAAACTTACATCATTTTAAAAATTTATCATTTCTAAAATATTCTAAATATTTAAAATATCGTTTATGCGTTTACAGATACATGAACTGAATTAATCTCACCTGAAATTTGTATCAGTGAATGTAATTTCTATTCTGGACACCTTCATTGAACGTCGCAGGTCAATATGATACCAAGTCTCTTTGACTTGATTTGGATTTACTGAAATAAAAACTGAATTGCAAGTATAGCATTTATACAAATTATGATATCAAACTTTTTTATTGCAATCTCATTCCCAAAACGAAACAAAAAACAATAAACTTAAACTGTTTAGATAACAATAAAGCAAATTCAAACGATTCTACTTATACTTTTATTTTGAGGGGTTCTAAAGATTTCATAATTATCTAACTGCTAAAAAATTTCCTGAAATATGAATTTTGAAATCAATAGTTTGCTGTCCTATATTGGAATGTTTCCATGCCCAGATATTTAGCATTAGCGTAATTATTGTACTAGTCACACATTTCTTTTCATCAGTAATTAAAGTCATACCGTTGACATCCGGGTGAATTTGAAAATCAAAGTCCAACATCAAATCTGTAAAAACAACGGGTAAAATAAATATTTCTTTGTTTAATATTATTTCATATTTAGAAATATGTCATGCACTCTGATATTTGCCAAAAAAAAACCCCCAAAAAAACAAAAAAAACAACAAACAACAAACAACAAACAAACGAACAAACAACATAATCAAAGAGTTATAGAAATAAGAAATCAAAAAGTGACGAAAACAGACTAAGTTGACAGTGACAAGGTTGTCCAAAACTCAGTGTTTTTATAATCTTATCAGTTCGATTCGTCGAAAGCACGGTTCATGTTCTTTGATAAAATCTCTGCTGTAACTCTAGGCGAATGTTATACAATGTAAGGCAAACAATGAAATCTATACACACACAGCAGTGACACAACTGTGTTGAATTTTGTACATTTTATACCTTCTTTAAAATGCATAATACAACTGTGCCCCTAAACTGACAACCTTAATACCTTTTCCGGCCGAAGGCCGGTCTCAAATCTGTTAAACTTCCTGTAAAATTTACAGGAAAGAACTGAATTTAAGAAGAGTTTTCAATGGTCATTTTAAAATTACAAAATGAAATCTGGGAATCACATTGGCCATTCAAAAATAAAATTTAACGGATAGTTCTTGTCTTTCTTTTAAATATGAATCCGATCGTTTTCGTATTTACACATATGTACCAAAGAAAAATAATCTTGATGTATTCTTTTTTCTTTATTTAATCATCAGTTATTGTTATTGTATGCAAACTGCATTATTTCAGGTTCCTGTGCGCTTAACACACCTTACTGGATAAGAATTCACGTATATTCGTGACTTGTACATTGGAAATTAATGTAATTGCCATATAAATACTTATTTTGGACAAATACTTTAGATTTAGGACAAGAGCTTTAATCTGAGTTAAATTAGGGATAACTTGAAGGTTTGTAGTTAATTAGTGAGATACAAAAAAACAAGCATACTTTTTACAACTAAATCTTCTTCGAAATTGAAAGGAACTGGACGACTTTGTAAATTTTGGTAGTGCAAAGGTATCTTTGTACAGGATGAAAATATATAAACGCTTATTTAAGTATTGTATAGCATCCATTTTTTCGTTGTTGAATATAATATTGAAGAACATGTATTGATTAACCCTTAACATTACATGACATTTTGCGCTGTACCTAGAAATATGATAAACAAGATCAACAAGGAAAGGTGACTTGCAATGAACGCAACCCGTCACGACCCAGCAACAAAGAACATCGTCAAGGAGCCAAGGAGAACCCAAAACAAAAACAGGTCAGCGCACAAAAGGCAGGACACGGACAGGATATTCACTTTAATAATTGGTAAAAGGAAATAACAGTAATTGTCAAGGAAATTAAAAAACAACAACAAATCATTGATTAAATTAATAGGCCCACAAAGTAAAAGGAGCACATTTGAAGATGACTTGAGGTTCGGGAAGGATGAGAGGGTAAAAGAGAACTAGGGAAAAAAGAGAAGAGTTGACGAGAAAACAAAAAACAAAATGGGACCCAAAAGTGTCAATGAAACTCAAAGACATACATCTGAGGGGCGCCGCCTTTAAAGGGTCAGCACCTAGTAGTTCTAGGGGGTTTAAAGCGCAACACCTCATTGTTAGCCCCACCATGTTCCTTTTAAAAGAGAAAATGTAAATAAATTGAATCCCCCACCAAGTGAAATACTAAAAATCCAATTTATTTTAGAAACTTCACCGAAACATTTAAAATATAAGATGAGGTGTCCGTTAATTTCCATTACTTATGTCTAATCATCATTGCAGATTGTTTGGTATTTGATATCCATACGAATATACACTACTGCAGTTGATGTCTTTATTGTATATACATTCCTTTATTGCTCAACGACAGTCAGTATAACAGACATAACGTCATTGATAATTGCTGTGGTGATTGCACTTACAGATATTTTCATTTGTGCATCTATATGCTGTATATTTAAAATTGTATTTCTTTGCTTTCAATTGTGTTTTTACAATTGATTGTTCTTAGGGAAGTGCTAACAGACCATACGTTTTTAAATGTTTGTTCATTTTATTTTGTAGTTGTGTCAGTGACGTTCAGTGATGAGAATCACGATAGCAAACAGACATCTAGAGTGATGATGAGATAGATTTTAGATATTGTTGACCTGCTTAAGTTCGTTTTACTCTATTGATACATTTCAACCTAGATTTCAACCAAGAGTAGACAGACGTTTACATTCCCTCTATGCTTATTTAAGTACACAAACCCTATAAAAATCTTCGGAAGTAATTACAAAGGTAGATCTTACAATGAAGGAATTGAGCAATTGTAACAGTTGCGGAAACGTAAATAACTCTTATGTTAGCATAGCTGAAAGAATAATTCAACTTAGTAAGTCGCCGAGTGGAGAGTCAATTGTTGATTATAATCTTTGCTTGTAACATCTTTTGCACTGATGGGCTGGACACTTGTCACAAGTTTTAAAATTAATCGGATGATTAAACAAGATCTAGACAAGAGGTAAAACTTTTTCAGAGGATAATGAAGTCGTCGCAACGAGGAATGAATCATTTAGCTACCTTATCAGAAACAAAATCTTCCAAATGTTATGCTCCTTTTGTTTATTCACAAAACGATCAAGAGCCAAGACTTTTGTTAAATCCTGAGTCTTAAAGGAATTACAGGATAGCTCAGATGAAAAGATGAAAGTGTTCGTCGCGTATCATAGAGACATACGGCAAGTAAAGATATACAAAAACGGAATCCCTCAAGAATAGCAAAACTTGCAAAATTGAATTATAATGCTGACTCGGTTTGATGAAGCCTCGGATGTTATAATTGCCAGCTATTCACCACTATATCTAGCACAAGTTTAAGCATGTTATGGTGACTATTTGGTAACATCTGCAGATGTGGTCATACGCCGTTAATTATGGAATTTTCGTTTGTGTCATTCAAAGGGTGGTATATGTTGTCCAAATAATATAATGAGTGTACTCGTCATGAGAAAATGCATAGCCAGAACTATTTAATGGAACTTAGAAGGGAATGAAAGATTATGAGGTTTGCAAATCTCAAATAAGACGCCGACAAATTCAAAAAGCAGTTAAGATATGTTATAGGTGAATATATTCGAGTAGGAATACTGGAATCACATAATTATATAGAAAAAGAAGTATAATGAACTAGAAATAACACAAACTAATTATGTCATTCCTAACGATCTTCATATAGAACAGGTATAAATTTGATGGAAACAAAATGTGTGCTTGAGGTGTTATTCGTATGGACATACACCTTCTTAAAAGTATAGTCATTACCATTTATATTCCATTGATATGGTGCACAAGAGAAATATAACGTCAACACGAATAGAACATAAACAAATCAAATGCGCGAATAAAGAAATTAAAAATCTATTTTTATTAATTTCAATTCTTTTGTCATGTGCTAAAACCTTTGCCATAAAATCATATATTCTCTGCCATATATAATCTCTTTTCCATTTTACAAAGCTCGCAGAAGGTTTACTTAATACCATTTTCTTCAACTTTTAAAGCAACATTATATAATTTATTGCGACGAACGTATGTGTAATTAGGAAATATAACTAACTTTTAACGCTTAGAATAGAATTAAGAAATAATTTATTCAAAACAGTGACTTTATCAAGTGATAAAATCACCCGATTTGAATATATTATTTCGATTCTAACATGATATCAACAAGTTAGTGCTGCCGTACCGGATATTCAGCTAAAATGCACCTGATTTGTTTCCGTGCTTATTTTCAGCGCGTCGCATTTTTTTAGTGCTTACGCCAGTTGTCTTTTGTTTACGTCACATGTCTGAATTAATCACAGTGACTTTATTGCATAATAACACAACTTTTGGTCCTTCTATGTTCCAAAGGGAAAAATGCGGATCGTGTTAGAATGTGAAATATAGCATCATAATTTGTTAGCCAACAGCCCAAAAGACTTAGAACAACCACGAATTTAGAGAAGAATAACACTTGTTCAAACTGCCTCACGCAAAATCAATAAAGATTTCGAGCTGTACTCCAAATCATAAACATCATCTTTTCCGATTAGTGTTGTAAACGTTATTTCAGATTAAGAAGATCCATGCAACTCTTATGTATATGTACCTTCGTAACGACATAAAGTGAGAAATGCCGGTTAAAGCAAGAAAATGACATAAATCTAAAAATGCATTACACCAAATCACCATTTTCAATTAAAATACTGCATTGCTTCAAAACCTTGGCCAAAATACTTAAACAAAACACATCATTTTTGAGATTGAAACTGCGGTACCGCGGAAAAATCAAATTGTGTTTTGCATTCTTTATTTCCTTTTCTTAACTGGTTATGAAAATAAGCTTGGAAAATATGAGTTGGTATCGGTATGTTTATGTTTGCTGCTATTCAATTCATTGCCATTTTAATGTCAGCATTAATGATGGATGGCCAACCATTCATAAACTTCCTTTTAAGCACAATCAGTCAGATAGATGTATTTTGCTCTGAACGATAATAAGCTTAAATTTCACGACATTCTATCATGCATTTCCTTTTCAATAATCGTTATAAAATTTAAGTATTCCAACGCTATATATATTTTATGGCATTGTTCATGTGTTAGTCCTGAAAACTGTTCTTTATATTTTTTCAACTTTTTAAAACAAAATGTACAGAATAGCAAACAGTTGAACCAATGGGTATGGCGGCATATCTTGTACTGCACTGGTCGCATGGGTGAAATTAGTTGCTTTCAGCATGCTATGTGTTAAACTAAGCAAATTAACATTTTACTTACAATTTTCAAGTGTTCTCGAAACCACTGAAATAAAAGTAACCAAGTATAAGGTGCGGAAATCTGCATGAAACTCAAAAATATATACAATTTAAATCTATAATACATGTACAAGAACATCGAGTTTGAGGTACCTATTAATAATGAAAGTCTATATAAAAAGACTTTAATTTGAATATTCACAAAATGAGAAAAGTGTCAAATGTTGTGCAAAATATGTAAAATTAAATATAATGAGTTATTTAACGTAAATAGGCAATAAATAGAAAATCATGCACAAATGTTATAATTACGTAATTATGAAATTGAAATTGACTTCGAAAACATTGTTATATATGTATGCGAGAAGTGGTAATTTCATGGTGCTTTTTATTTATTGACGTAAGATCTTTGTTTGTTGTGTAAACTTTAAAAAAAAACTTTATTTTTTTATTTGGGTACACATTTGGTAAAAATAATCTTACAATATTTTTGTAAAGTGTAAATAAGTCGTTTTCATAATAGTTCTCAACATGCAATAGACAGTTCTGAAATCAACTGATGAAATATTGCTAACAGTACCCCTAAGCATAATACGTCTTTGTGATGGCTTGAATATCTATAACATTTGGCATACTAAACACAATGTTTTATAAGAGACGCTTACGGAACTTCATATTGCAATGTTATCTACAAGTATCAATCAAGTTCAGTCTAATTACATTATTAATGTACCAAAATAGTTCTAACAAACCTGGTTTATTGCTGCAATAGATCCTTCCTTGGTGAGAGCTTAATTCCATTGGGCAAGATTTAGATTTTTTCTGTAAAATAAATGATTGGTAGTAAGTTAACAAATGTACATTTGTTTTTATTTCAGTTTGAATATAAATGTATCGTAACTGTAAACAATAGATCATAATTCAACCAATACATTCTGTTATTTATTAGGGATATCTTTGAAATAGAGAAAAACAGAATCCCAAAAGAAAGCACAACACAGCAAAGTTGAAAATGGTCAAGGTCGGTTTCATTGAGCATTTTGTGGAAGGATTGGGCGTCCGTGGCCGAGTGGTTAAGGTCGTTGACTTCTAACCACTTGTCCCTCACCGCTGTAGGTTCGAATCCTGAAATAATGCACGGAAGGGCACCTGAGACCTTCCTCCATCAGTTAAGCTGGAACGTCGCGATATGACCTATACTGTGTCGATGTGACGTAAAACCCATACAAAAATAGGAAGGCATTGGAAAATGCAAGTAATCATCCCCGCTTCAAGCATCGACTTAAGCAAAATTCAATATTTAATCACGAAGATGGTTCAATTTGGAATTTAGAAACATCTGCAGATGTGTTCATACGGCGGTTAAATATGGAAATTTTCACTGTGACACCGTTGTGCCATTCCATAAATAGCGGCGTATGGTCCCAAAGTAAAAGTCTGCGTGTACCCTAAAGAGAAAACAATGGGCGGAACTAAATAAAAACAAAACTAAATAAAAAGGGGATCTGAGGTTAGGAAGCCTGCATATCACATACAGACAAGACGTAAAAGACAAATATAAAAAGCAGGCAACATATCCTTAGGGTGATTATGCAGTTTTCAAGTAGGAATACTGGAACCACCCAAGTTGAAAAAATCCAAAATAGAAGAAACTAAAAATACCAAATAACACATATGCATTACACTAATGTCGTGCTGAACGATATTCAAGGATAAAAATTATAACATCTTTGATTAAAGTACGGGGATACTTTTTTACAGACGTCACAAGGCACAAATAACACTGATCACTTGTCCCTTACAAATGTTGGTTCGAATGTGGCCAAGATGATTCGATAATTTCATATAGGAAAACTAGAAATGTCGATGCTCGGGTCTTCCTCCTCCGGTAAAGCTTGAAATTCGCCATGTTACTAATCTGTCTGTGTGCAATGTCTAACCCGACCAAACAAAAAGAACGGTAAAAAATCATTGTGTTGTAAAAGTTACGAAAATATGTTGGTTTTTTATAAATACGCAAGCCTATTAAACATCCCCCCAAAAAATTTCAATAAGACTATAAAAAATCATTCATGCTTCTTCTATTGCGATTTAAGTACAGAAGAAAAAGTTTTATTTCATTTATCAATTAAGCAGTTCAGTTAATCGTCGTTTGAAAGTTATAAATGGATGGGTTATAGAAGTATAGGGATAGTGGGACAGCGGGAAACAGATTTGTTGTCAAATTAATTTTTTGAAAAATTAAATATATAATTTATGCAGTGAATAATATCACTGAATTAAGTTTTTAGGCAACACAAAGGGTTCATGTAATTAGAATGCTTAAAATAGTTTTGAAAGCATTTGCTCATTATCCTTGATACATTTGGACCTGCTGACTAGCTGACCACAAAATGTTCTAGTTTTGTTTTTAACCTTTACTCGAATTGTGTTTTAGCATCTTGCAACAATTCCAAATTTAAATGGTAAAACTGCTATAGTAATACCACTTTTTTGCGTTTTTATAGATAACATACAGCCGATGAAAATGATTTTGTTTTCTTTTAAGAAAAGTTTAAAAGCTATTATTTCTTTTAGGTTCCCTGTTCTGGGCATAATTATTGCTCAACATTGATTATACCAAATACAGAAAACAGAAGTATGTATGAATTTCTTGCATAACTGTGAGCTTCAACTACATGTAAAACTATATTTATTTGCAGTGTAACACAAAAGTGTCTCAATTTGTCAATTTGATAACACTTAATTAATTAAGCACTGAAATTTCTCTAATTATTTCTATTTTTTAAAGTTTTTATAAATAGTGATAAAGTGCAAGCATTTTATTTTAGTTCTGTTCAATCAATTACAAGATGGAATAAGTTAACAACACCATTACCTTTAAAACAATAAAGGGCGTTTCTAACATTCTGTATGTAACATTACTGGCCTTTTTGTTTCCCGTTGATTTATTACCGATCTTTTTGCAAATACCAATTCTCAATATCTTTTTCGTTAATGTCCCTGAAATAAAAATGTGTTTTGTTTTTGTTTTTTCTTCGAAAAAAAATATATTGACATTATTATACACTTGATTACATGCAAATAAATGTCATTATTATATCAGTAAGTACTACAAATGAACATAATTGTAGAAATAAATATTCTTGCATAAAAACTGCAGGTATACCTAAACGCAGAATAAATCATCAACGAATAAAATATTACATTTAAAATTTGAAAAAATATTTGAAAGTGGTGATAAAATGGCGATTAATCGTTCAACTATTACAGTTAACACCGTATTTTATTTTTCATTATTTTTATAGTGTAAACCTTAAAACGTAACTGTGGTATAAATGATATTTGTTAGACAACCAATAACGAATACGAATTGGGTGAACACACCGAAACACACCACATAAAAGCTTCCAACTCTTCTTCATTATTCATGATTATTCATGATATTATTGTATTTAATTAGTTTGAATTTCATGATTTTCATACATGTATCGTTGCATATTAATGAAACGCATATGAATGTGTACATAAATACGTCATTGTAAGGTTGAAGACTGAATCATTTAGACACATATTACAGTGTGTCCGAGATCTAACCATTAAACTCTATGTCAGTTGTAATAAAAATAATTTTTAGCAACTGAAAATGTGCACACGTCATACAGTTATTAATAAAGAAGCGCTTAGCTAACATTTCAAGTATAAAATAACCTTTGTATCCAATTAAACGCAGGTTTACTTTGTCATAGTACTTTGACTTTAAGATACTTGTTGTTTGATAATTTCCTGCAATTGATTACTTCACAGTATATATCATAGAAAGTTGTGTCTATAAAAATGGCATAAAAGAGGAATTTATCTTTAAGTTTTATCAACAACCAGCTGTTCTATTCGCCATCGGTTAACCAGTGTGATAAACATCGGTGTTAATATCTCAAGTGAGACGTAACAGGTCACACTTATCTCATGGAAGCTACAAATTTTACAATTATAAATAACTTTATAGCTTTTTTAGATCCCTTTTGTATCGGGGGTAGCTTTAATATGCGTAACTCAAATAGCTTACTGAAATTGCGTCCCCAGTATTTTCAAAATCGAATCATTACTGACAAATTACATCGCACTAACAAGTGAAAAGTATGACAAAAGCAATTTCTTTATACGAAAACAAAAAACGAAAGACACATATACTTTTATGCAAGAATTGAGGTACAGCACATTTGTTCGTGCATTCACATCTGCAGAAGTCTTTGGACTTATTTATTCCTTCACACTGCGGGATCAGGCTTTAAATGTGCCCAATATTCTGCAGATGGTAAGCACGGAAATAGATGCATTTAATCTATAATGTTAACCCCAGTTTAAAAGATGTTATCCGTTTCTTGACAATTATTGTCTGTTCTCCAAGCTTATATCCAACCAAATTCTTACAATAAAAAAAGTTTATTTGTAAAATGATCAGAATAGCTTGAAAACTAAAAATAGTCTCTATTATTTGGTAACCATAATGCTCTGTAGATAACATTCACCAGCCAATTTCTTATTATGTTATAATCTTACCACGATAATAAGACATACCAATTTCTGTAATATTTGGAATAGGTCCGAATGAATCATATTGAAGATAGGATTCTTGTATTGTGTCTTTTCTAAAACCTGAAATAAAATAATGTATTCACATATGTTCGATTGTATATTTTCTATTCAAATCTCATAAACTTCTTACAATGAATATACTTTTCAAGGTTTAACAGGTTAAGATATACATCGATAAATGAAAAACAAATCTTTCCACGAGGGACTCAAAACATAGCCTTCAAAAAAATCTTTTTTTGGAACACTTTAGTTTTAACACATTTGCGTAGGATCTACATTACCTAATTACAGGATAATCTTTGAATTTCTATAAATACAGGCCTTAATATCACTCTTAATTCCCAGGTGTTTGACAGATATATGCTCTGAAATAAAAAGGCCAATTACCTATACAAGTATTCTTGCCACTTTTCATGATGGCTCACATTTATAAGGTTGTGTCAATATATCATGCAAACTTAAGGTCAACACAGTATGAATACATATGTATAAAAACAACAAAAACACAGAAAACTGACAGTTTTGTTAAAGAAAACGCGTAATCAAGTTTACCGACCATATGAAATTAAGCTTTTAAAACATGGTTTGTGCATTTGCTTATTCAAATAGGACATGTTCAGTTAGAATTTATTCTTTGATATTCTATTTGAAGATAGCTTTATATTATAAAACAAACCAGCTGGACATTCCTCTCCAATCATATAAATTGAATATCTTCCGGGAATCCAATTTTCTGTATCTAGGTCGGTATCATTTCGTACTTTAACACAAAATTTCATTTCATTTTTTTTCATTTTTTTAAGATTTTTTCTTCCAAGTTTCTTTACGTGTAGAACGCCTTTTCTCCATCCACGATTGTCTGGTTCGGGACACCCGGATTTTGACATGGGTATTGCAAATGGACCGGGTGGCCAGAGACTTGGCTTTTGCCGTGAACCTGACATGAAAAGGTTTTTATTTTAAATAATGTTTAAATAAACATCTTGATGAACAGCGGCCGTTGTATATTGTCTAAATATTATAACAAAAATTTATATGCAATACTCATACCATTTTTAAACGGTCACAAAAGTCTAATAACTTTCCAGATCAGACATATTTCTTCCTTTTCATTTGAACTACTTATTTATGAAAACTTGTTTTGTTACGAGGGGTGTTCAAATATGAATGCAACTAGGCCAATATCTCGCTTTTAACCATGTTTTGCATGAACTTTGAACATGTTTCGCAAAGATGGCTGTGAAAGCTATCAATTGATAAATACATGCGTGAATCAGTTCAGTCTAGCTTTGACAAAAGCTCGATTAACGCTGTCGACACGTGTATACTAAACTAAAAGATCTCCTTTTTCACTGACCAAAATACGGTCCTATATTATTAACCGCTGTATTCTTGGTATACAGGCGAAAGACATAATTAATGAAATATGTCGTGTTTATGGGAACAATTAACTATCTTTTTCATCTGCCACACGGTAATATAAGAAATTTAAAAGTGGTGTGTCAGAACAGGAGCACCTCGTGCACGCCGTCCGAAAACTGTAACTTCTGTTGTGCTTAAATGAATTCGAAAAGAAATTGGTTTCAAAATAACAGAAACATAAGTTAAATATAGGAATATTAGATTTTTTATTTTGTGTTTTCCGTTTTTACCTCTACTTATGTTCAGTGCCTTGCAATATACTCTTTCGAACTTCTGTTCACATTCCGAGTATTGAAAATTTGTAATTTCATCAACAAATCTTTCTTGTGTCAATACTGAAAAAGAAACATTCATTTCAGAACACAACATGAATGAAATTCAGTTCAGATGAGATCTTAACATTACATGTTTAATCAATGAAATATGAGTATTCGAACATCATAGCTTCCATATTTTACAAGCTATCATAACGTCATCATCTGTCTTTTAATTTGTTTGTCTAACATTTATGTCTCATTAGACATTTGTGGGTCGAAGCACATCCCACAGTGGTTTTACAATTATTTATTTTCATACATATGAACGGTTATACCAGATGTGAAACCAATGCAATGAAAGGAAAAACAACAATTACAAAAAAATCAAAAAGAAAACACACACACACAAACACACAAACACACAAATAACAACAACAACAAAAAACACAAAGGGACAAGGACGACACGTGCATTCACACTCGCACTTAATCGTATTTTTTTAAGAAATAGTTTCAAAAGCATCAACATTATATAAAATCTAAAGCATGCTATTTTGGCTTGAATTATTTCTTTATTACTTAAACTCAAAAACAGTACTTTTCAGTGTAGAAATAAGATTTTCTCAGCTGACATTTTTCTTTTTTAAAATAAAAAAATAAATTTTCTAAAAAGACTCCAAACATTTTCAAACTTCGGTAATCTATTATTTATGATTGCTACCTCTTTATCAGTCTTAAGCTTTTGTGTTATAAAGTTTTTGGCTGCAATCATTGATAAAGAAAGATCAAGCATTTTACACTGATAAATATACATTTTAAAGTATACTAAAAATAAGTTTTTTTTGCGTTAGATAAATCATCCTTTGCATTATAGCCAAACATCATTTCTTTTATACCCAAAGATAAAAAAGGTGCTTCATTTATTTTAAGAAATTCATTTATAAATTTTTTGACAATGGGACATAGCCAAAATAGATGCCCAATGCTTTCAACATCATTACTACAAAAAGAACATAAAGGACTTTCTATATACTTAATTTTGTATAAAAGATGATTGGTTCCAATAATTCTGTGTAAAATTCTTGTTTGGAACCTTTGCAACTTGGCACATTTTGTAATTCTAAAAGGCATTTCGAATATAATTTTCCATTCATTTTCACTAAAAGCTAAATTAAGGTTGTTTGTCCATTTTTCGATACTTGTCGGCTTTGATTTTTTTTATTTAATATATTATAGAAAGGTTTTGCATCATTTATGTCTGATATAATATCTTTAAAGTATAGCAGTATGTCTTGGCCAATGCTTTTCTGTGGGATGTTATAGATTATATTATATTTATTTAAAAATTGCTTTACTGACAAATCATACCGTTGAAAATTAAGATATTAGATTGGACATTGTATCTATAAATAAATTCATTAAAAGATAAAAACTTTCCATCAGATATTAGGTGTTCTATGTTATAAACTCCAGCATCGAACCACAATTTTAAATATACGCTTTTTGAACCAATTAATATGTTATTGTTATAAAATAAAGGATGTTTTCCGAAAGAATGATTTTCGATTGGAATTAATTCAATATAGCGTGAAAATGCTGTAAAAGTGTCCTTTCAAAAAATATTGTTTGTTTCTTTTGCAAGTTTATCAAAATAATGGTTTCCGCAGTGAAAAAACGTTTGCATATCTATTTTGTCGTAAAGAATACTTTTCCAACTAGCATTTAAGATTATTCTTTTAAACCATGTTTTTTTTAATGACATGATAAAGGCAGAAATATTTATCATCTGCAAGCCGCCCTCATCATAGTTTTTCTTCAATAACGGAAGACTTAATTTTTACATTTCCTTGCCAAATAAAGTCATTAAACATTTTATTTAATACACTGATTACATCTTCAGAAGGGTTTGGTAGTGAAATGAATAAATGATTTAGAGATGAAATCAAAAGTGATTTAATGACAGCAATTTTACCTATTGGTGTGAGAATTCTTCTTTTCCAATTTTGAATAACATTTCGGATATTTTCCATTCTTTCGCTACAGTTAAAATCTATTATTTTACTTAAGTCAACACGAAAATTTATGCCTAACATTTTAAATTGATGTTGATTCCAAGACAATTTCCATCTTGCTTTTATACTGTTTTGAGAATATATCAGTTTTCCTCTCCACACAACCTTAGTTTTATCAAAATTAAGTCCCGATAGTTGTGCGAAATCCGACAAGATTTTTCAAAGATTTATTTAAAGACGCACTTGATCCATCTAAAATCATTGTTGTGTCATCTGCAAATTGTGACAATTTATGTTCTACATTATTAATGTTTATTCCTTTAATAACCTTATCATTTCTTATTTTTAAAGCTAGAACTTCAGCACATAATATAAAAATATAACATGAAATTGGATCTCCTTGTCAGCAGCCTCTACCTTTTTTCAAAATCTATTAAAAGGAAAAGTCCAGGATTGTTATTTTCTTCAGTATACTGCATGATATCATAGATAAGACGGGTATTTTCTCCAATATATCTTCCTTTGATGAAACCTGTTTGATCTTTATTTATTAGTTTATATAGAGTAAGTTTTATTCGATTCGCTATGCAACCGGCAGCAATTTTGTATACGGTATTTAGAATTGTTATACGTCTCCAATTTTTCACGAATTGTTTAGGTTTATTTTCTTTTGGAATGCATGTTATTACACCTTGTGTTTGGGTCACTGACAATTTATTTGAAGTATAAGAATCATTGATAGCTCTTACCACAAAAGGACCTAAATTTTTCCAGAATACTTTATAAAAATCTGCACTAAAGCCTGATGTCCCCAGCTTTTATTATTTGCCATATTTTGTAAAACTTTACTAGCTTTTTCATAACTTATATAGCCTTCTAATACATTGGATTCCGATTCACTTAAAACCGGTGCTTCTATATTTTCCACAAATTGTAAAAATTGATCATTTGCATCATATGACGACTTTTTGCTGAAAAGAGTTCTATAAAAATCTTCAATTTCTTTTAATATTAACTTTTGATCATTAAGAATACTACCGTCATCTTTTTGAATCTTATGTATAGTCTTAGTTATGTAACTATGTTTTTCTAAACCGCAAAAAAAAATTGAAGGTTTTTCTCCTTCTAACGTCCATTTTGCTCTTGACCTTATAAGATAACCTTGAAGCTGAATATTATTAAGTTCTTTTAAATTATTTTGCAATTCTTGCAATCGGTTAAGTTTATCGTCTGACAAGTTTGATTCGATTTCATGTATTTCATTTATTATACTTTTTTCATCATTTCTTTCTTTTTTCTTAAGATATTTGCTGTAAGATATAGCTGTCCCTCTCAGTTCCATTAAAAGTGTTTCTAAAAACAATTGATCGTTTATCGAAAACTGAATTTCATCATTTAGTATTTCCAATATATTTTCAAGGTTATATATAGGTAAAGCATACTGTTTTTTAATATCAACTATTTTTGTCTGTATTTTATTCAAATAATCTATATCTTTTAAGAGGGAATTATTATGTTTCCATAAACCTTTTCCGTGTATAAAGTCATTAAACTTTCTCTTCATTATAACAATTGAATGATCTGACTGATAGCTTGTCTCAATTTTTATATTTTCTACATGAGGAAAAATTGTTTCACAGATCATAACCGTATAAATGAGTTAGTGTATTGTTTTGTAAATAAAGCACAGCTTATTGTATGTTTATGACTAGTAGATTTCATGACTTGCTTAAAGAATAAAAGAAAAAGAAAACTTCTCAAGTAGGCCTAAAGTACAGGAGAAATGTCTGCCTTGATGTTATTTAATCTAAGAAAAGATTTAGTAATAAATACTAGAACCAATTTCCAAGATATGGGGGCTGGGCAGCACCGCCTGACATAAAATTGAAATATTCTCAGTTGGAAAACTAGCATGTAATTGTTTAATTAACACTATTTTTTTAGGTATTTTTATCTTTTTCTATCTCAAATCAATATATACATTTAAACAACAACCTCTGACTATTATTTACACCCAAAACACAGAACTCTGATCATTATTTACACCCAAAACAAACACACATCATTTATCAGCCACTTATACGAAATATCTTTCCTCGTATACGTCTTTTTATACGAAACAAAACAAGACACCTGGCGAGCCCAAGCTCTAAAAAGTTAAAGGTAAGGACAGTTTAGTTATTGTTACTCTTGGTTTATTTTTGTTACAGTTAGATTTAGTTGACAATTTCAGATCATCACAGTATTTTTGTTCGGGGTAATAAAATAAATAACACATGGGTTTGTTAGTAACAGTAAAAATATCATCCCTAGTAAAATACCTTGTTACCATCGACTACGCCTCGGGTAACAGTATTTTCCACGAGATGATATTTTTACTGTCACCCACAAACCCATGTGTTATTTATATTCTATGATAATTATTATTAATATTATGATTATTATTATTATAATTATTATCATTATTATTATTATTATTATTATTTAGGTTTGAACTTTATATAGATTTGAATATTAACCAATATTTAAAATTTGTTTCAGCAGTCGATTTTGGCAAGATTTGCCAATATCTATACAATCTATCCGTTTGAACTTTATATAATTGAAAATGACATTCTTAAGAACTTTTAGCTCGTTTTAGGTTTAGTTTAATTTAGGTTCAATTGAGACTGGTTGTTCAGAGCTCAGATATCCAGAGTTCCTTTAACATATCAAACTAGATTATAACTTTACTATGTTTAAATATGATTATTGTACGAATGAAATTAGCTTACCTGTTGTACATGTTGTAAAGAAGAAAATTACGAATATATACACTATAAGATTGCCATCCATTCTGAATTAATACTGGAAATCTCGTTCTGAAAAGTACTAAACTTATTTGTCCAATGCAGCCTGTTTGAATAATGTCACCCGGCTAAATAACTCATGTCCCGGGAAACTGTCTGGGACTAAGCAGGATATTCTATGTGTCGCCTCATTAATGATAAATGAATATATGAATAAGCGGTTAGGTTGACATTTTTATAACATTTCCTCATAATATTCATGCTGCAATTTTGTTATTATCTCGGTGTATTTTTTCCGATCTGGGAGCTCAAAATATTGTTATTCAGAAGGTTGGATTGCTATTCGAGTGGTGCAATTAAGATAATTGTATGCCGACAATTTTGCAATGTTGTCTACCTACTTTTCTTGAATATTTTATTAATAAATGAACAAACATTGAGGTTTCGTGAATTTTTACGAAATGAAACTTTAATACTTTCGTATAGATTAATATACTTTTGTGCTTATTATTGCTGTTGTAAAATACTGTTATTCTATCTTTACTTATAGTCGTTGTTATTTATTTGTACAACGTGGCAATCAGTGATTAAAGTCTTAATTGAATGCTTATTGTTCAGTACATCCTGGATTACTTTACAATATTTTCCATTTACCATCTTAGAAGCTTATAAGTAAATGCTTTCTATATATAATAATAGCCAAAGCTGTTACTTTTTTATAGTTCAAACGCTACCTTATTATAAACGGAAGGTCAGACACGTTATAACATTATTTCTAGACAATTACAGGAGGTGGTTCGCTGATGTGTCGGCTGATGTAAGTCTGGGTAAAATCTTCTCTGAACGCAAGCATGCTTAGGTTTTATATACAGTATTCAATTGATATATACTTTATATATTTTTTTGGCATATATATTTGTATATCTTTTATTAAGTAGTAAGCCATTTATGGCCCATGAACATGCAGCAATATAACATTCAATGTTGAAAAAAATATGATTATATAGGTGTTAACAATATTGTACGGGATATAGGTCACTGACAGATTTATACAAATCACATTTCATTTCTATACTAACATACATGTAGGGAGAGACAAAGCATCTATTTATAGCAAACATGTAAACGTAGTTAGAATAATATTATAACAACATGTGTGCATTTATTCATTAACATTTAAACATATAACTAAATTGTTGACAGCAGCAATGTTCTTTTTCTCAAATGCATAGTAAATATAAGCTGCTAACTTCTTTATGTCGACTACATTTGTGGTATTAATCAACTCTACAAATTTAATATAATGTGGATGAACCTAGTAAATTCTATTTATATACTGACGCCTGAGATCAGCGTTAAGTGTACACTCAATACTGAAATGAAATTCATCCTCTAGTACATTGCAAAATTTACATTTTCTTTGTTCAATTGGTGTGCTTATGGTGTGCTTATAGGCTTTCTCCATCTGCCTGTCTCAATTTCTAACATATGGGATGACATTCTCAATCTAGACATCGACTTTCTATGTTTTTCTACAGTTAAAACATTTAAGTAATTCTGAAAATTTTAAACAAGAAATTGTTCTGTAGAATAATGCTTTTGATGATTCCTGTAAACTTGCATTCCAGTCCTGTTGGTATATATCATACAATCGTGTCTTTAAAATATTCAAAAATATATTGACATCACCAATTCTTTGGTTTAACCAAACATCATAAAATCCTAATCTAGAAAATAACCTTTTTACATTGTATACTCAAGTTATATGATTTGGATGTAATTCAAGATCACTTTTAAAACATTGTAAATTTTCTTTGCATATCTAACATCATCATTTTGACATAACTTTAACCAGTAGCGTTTTATATGTTAATATCTATGAGAAATATAAGATACTCTTCCGGTTTCACCATAAACAAATGCATTTTGACAGCTTATTTTAACACATAATAATCTTTTGCAAAAACGAAGATGCACTCTTTCGATATGAGTAGCTTTGTGAAATCCCAATACTTCAGAACCATAAATCATTACAGGCGTGACTAATCTAATATCATACAAATTTAACATATGTTTAGGTGTGATGGGTGTAAACTTATACAAATATTTATCAAGTTGAAAAATTGCCTTCAAAGTTTGGCCTTCTAACATTTTGTCCATTTCATTAAAACACCTGCTGTCGTAAATATAACACCTAGATATTTAAACTTGCTAACAATTTCTATATTTTTTCATTATAAGTGAATACTAAATTTATCAGGAAGGCGTCCATCTTTTCTAAAAATCATTTATATTACGGTAGTAATATACCATTCTTAAAAAAATCATTGAGCAATAGATCGAGGTCTTCCACTAGCACTGTTCTTAAGCTGTTTAACTGCTTTTACAAATTCTAAGTTACTTGTCTCTGAGTCTAATTCTGAAAACATTACTTGAAGTTCCCGATTTATATATCTATCGTTAAAATATAATATGTCTTCATCTGCCTGGTAAAAAATATTTTCCGGGTTATTAATGGCTTTTAAATATCTGGCGAAATGTTCAGTTGAAGGTTACATTAAATTAACGGTATTACCAGATAACCCTTTCAACATTTTCCAATACTGTTTTGCATTTTCTGTCCTGGCTTTAATCAATTTATTTGTATTTAATTATCTATATCTATAATGCTTTCCCTTAACATATGTTTATACTGCGACCTTGCTCTGCACATGTTTATTTTATTACTACCAATTTTACAATTTCGATACACATCATTTTTGCTTCATATCTATAACAAGAGTATTTACTGGGCTTTTCGGTACATGCTTAAATAGTGGGGAGCAAACTTTGTCAATAATAGTTAAAAAACAAGATATGTTTGCGTCAACATCATTGCTATTTACCACAGCGTTTAATTAAGATATAAGATTATTTAGTTGTTGTACCACTAAATTCTCAGACAGATTTCGTTTATAATCATGTAGCTTATCTGTATTTCATTTATACGTATATTTTATATTGCTACAAACATTTTCATCTTACAAATCTATATCTTGCAATTTTGCAGAAAGAATAAATGTTACTACACAATGGTCAGATAATATATTAGGATCTAGCACTTCAAAGGTTTAAAAATATTTCCACTTGCTAATATATAATCAACTAGACTTTTTCCAAGCGGACCAATAAATTTGTATTTCCCTATATTTGCATCTTTTCCTATACGACCGTTTAGTATTCTAAGGCCAGGCTGCTTAGAAAAGTCTAAAAGCAATGTTCCATTCTGGTTTGTCCCAAAATCTTGAGACATTCTTTGTAAAACATGATCTGGCACATAATTATCAGGTATAAAGCAGCTTATATGTATATCTAATTCATTATCATCGACATAGTCATTCAACTGACCAACTTGGTTGTTTAAATCACCTAGAACTATAAAAGAACAATTGTCATTTGTGATACTACTAATGTTTACCATTTCATTTAAAACTCTATCATAATATTTGATAAAATGAAAGCTTCTCTTGAGCTTCCTTTCGGTACTACATAACAAAGACACAAAAATATATCACCATGTAAATCAAATAATGGACCTTCAATTTTCAGCCATAAAATATCATCTCTATCTGTGCTAGACACAAAATCAATCAAGTCAAGTTTTACGAATACAGCAACGCCTCCCGAGTATCTTTTACTATAGCTATTTTTCTCCGACCGATGTTAACCAAATAACTCAAAACCGTCAACCTTCATGTTAATGCATTCACTCGACCAAGTTTCTGTCAAGAAAATCATACTGTAAACATTGAATAAAGTCCGTAATTCGAGTGTTTCTAGTTTATTAACATTTTTGGAAATGAGACACTGTACATTTAAAAGTGCACAATTAATATGTTGTTGTACCTTTTGTCCTATTGTTCGGTGTATTTCTGGTGATTTTCGATTATTACGGAATTCGGCGGAAAATCATGACCGCCCGTGCCACTACCGTTCACTAGGTTGTCACGCTCCATGTGCCGTCTGTCGTCTACCGTTGAAACAGACGATACATTGCTAATATGGGGTATATTTGGCGAGCAAGATGCAGTTCCCGCTGTTACTTAGTTATACGTAGGATTGGTAGATGACTGAATTCATGGTGGTATGCAATATCTTTGGTTTCGACTATCACTAGGATTCACCGGCGATTGTGAAAATTGAGGGTTGCTAACTGAGTTATCGGCTTCCGTGGAAACAGAGTATACATTTTGGTTATGTTTACTTTGCGTACTCTTTTGACCCATAAACATTTTACACCTGTCTTGGTTCAAGATTTCCTGCCAGTCGGAGAACTCGTCTGCTATAACTCGGCCCTTTACAATGAGTTTCGCTGGATACGCGAGTTTTACCACTGAACCATAAAAATCTCTTTCGTTGCGATAACGGCCCCAAAGTCGTTTCCTTGCGCTAGCAATTTCCTTCGGACAGTCCCTATCAATACTATAATATATATTATCGTGTACGCTTCAGTTTTCTATACATGTACCTTACAATTTCTTTACACAAATAATGCATTGATGTAACGCAAAATTCTAACACTCCACTTGATTTTTCACTATAGACAAAGAAGGGGAAAAAAACGGTGTTAAACTACAAATAAACACTGGTTAAGGACTACTTGTATATGCGGCTGTTATGTTTTTACCCTCGATTATATAGTTTACAAAGCCTTTTAAAGCAACAATAAAAAGCATTGTTATTTATATTTTCAGTTCGTATAATGTTTTCGTTTCATACAATACCGAAATAATATCTCACATACACTAACGCCACATATTTGATTCATATCAGTTAAAAATATTTTGACAAAACGACGCCAATCCGTAAGCAGCGTAATGACGTCATCCAAAGTAAACAACCCATTCATAAACAAGCCGCATATACAAATAGTCCCTAACCAGTGTTTATTTGCAGTTTAACACCGTTTTTTTCCCTTCTTTGTCTATAGTGACAAAATCACGTGGAGTGATAGAATTCTTAATTAAATCTGCTATTTCCTGATGTGTAATTTTCGTTAAACACTTTTAATTCATTTATTTTCATATAAGCCGGATATATTTGACCTGAACGGCTTTTAGTCTTTAGTGTACAAAGGGAATATTAAACGCTCAAGTGCTCGATTTAGGAAAAAACAAGTTAGATATAATAAAG